ACGGCCCCTCCTCTCCCGTAATGTATCTGTACTTGTCAACCACTGCCCGGGTGACAGGGTCAGTAACGAATATGAAGTGGGATTCGTGAAGAAGACCCATGGGAAAGAGGGACGAGAAGGGGGAAAACCGAGGAATACGAATGGCGTACGACATTGTGACGGTACAATGAATGAGAAAAAAAAAAGTGACGGTTCCTTGGTGGCTGGTCCCAACAGCTGGCCCCCTCCCTGTCGCAACGACACCCTCCCCTACCCCTCCTCCTGCTGCCCCTCCTTATCGTTATCGTGTGTCTACCTTACGGATAGGTAGGTGGTGCACACCGGCCGGCAAGTCGGCGGTCAGTCCATCCGTAAGGTAAAGTAGCGCGAACCACTTGATGATAGGATTCGCCATGATGCTGAGAGAGACCAGGCCTGGTGTTCGTCGATCAATGGCAAAACGAGCGAGGAACTGCCGAAGGATATCGACTTGAGAAAACCTTCCGTAAATGTTGCTGGCAATCGATCGTCGGTGTGTGTATCGAGCATCTTAAGCATTCTTTCGATGGCATCTTGTCGGCACGCTCGGCGGAATGTCGGGCCCCTCATGCTTCCTCAAAAGGCGGTCGCAATTCCGCAACAATCAGGGCACTCACACCCGTCGGGGAGTTGGGAAGTTCGCCATCATACGGTATACATCCGGGCAGAACAAAAACACGGCCGAGTGAGACAGCGCACGGTGTGGACCGACAGCAACTTCATCACTTTCGGACCTTTGGTTTTGTTCTGGCAAGCAGGCCAGTAAACCGGTGAGAGGCGGGCAGGGAGTCCGCAGCATTGCTGGCTTGCTGGGTTCTTTTAGGTGCATTTCATGATCGAGGGCTGTCCGGCTGAGGTCAAGTTGTGGAGACGCTGTGTCTCGCATATACCGGGGAGAAGAAGGCAACCGCAATAGAAGCCGTCGGATGCGGCTGTTTGAACTTTGAACCGGACAGCCTGAGAATCAGCTTCACTTTCAGTCCTTTTTGTGAGACTTGAAGTTGCAAAAGACGGCATATGAGGGTAGATATTGCAAAGAGGCTGGCGACACGATGTTTCGTTTTCAAGACGGATGAGTTAACGGCCGAAGCGAAGGGTGGTTGCAAGAAAACGAAGACTTGCCGGCGAAGCAAGCTTGGATGACAGGACCCCGGTCTGGATGCAAGTTCAGGGTCTCTCCTTCTATTCGCCAGATGAGGGAAGGTGAGCGGATGAATGACCAACTAACTTCTCGACCAGGAAGGACTCCTAGAATATAAAGTGCCCCAATTGTCACTGCGTAAGGTATCCGTACATCGCTGCGAGGCAAGCTGCAAAAGACACCTTCTGGTAAGGGAAGGCGGCGAGTCTAGGTTTTCCAGGGGCAGAAAGTACGAGACACTCACCTATCCATACGGATACCTCACTCGCTCGCCTTAACAGCCAAAAACCACAGCACAGGCAGGACGGATAGTGGAGGACGACAGGCAGGGTACATGGCGGGTGTTAAGGCCGTCTTCATGTATAACAAGCCGAAAACATGCTGGTGCTGCGAAGGGCTCGCATCTGGCGCGTGCGACTGGTCGATCAAGTTGAGTTTCGTAACACCTGACAAGCCTGCCTTAGTTGTGTGTTAGTCTCACTCTCACTCTCACTCTCACCTTCGTTCTTACCCTCCTCACTCTATCGCCCGGCCCTGGTTGCTCTCAGGCCAAGTCGAATCACACGGACCCAGAGACAGTCTCTCACACCCGAAGCCATACTACTTTCAGTGCAGCTTCCTGTGAGAATCCAACCATGATTTGTGGTTTTGTGGTGGCAGCGAGCTATTGAATAGTGTATTTTTTTCGGGTGGGGAATTGGCTTGCGTCTGGAGTGCCACGGGCAGAGAACATGCAGAGCAGTGGTGGTGAGTGAGTTGGTGAGTGATTACCTTATAGCCTATAGGGTACCTTGTCACTATCGTCATGCCAGTATCCTGCAAGCCCAGTAAGCCATGCTGTGCCCACTGAGGTGAGAACCAGGGCCAGCCATGGGATTCAGCGCCAGCCTTCCAGGTGTGCTGTGAGGAGCTGGCAGGGTAGAGTGACGAGAGACGTTTCTAGACACAGCCTCACAGGCCTTTCATCCGTGGCAAGGGTTCTGGACCGTATTTATTGATACTTGATACCTTTCGAAGAACGCTGCGAGTGTGTGGTATTATTGAGTGGTTGCCCTGCTTGGACCGGCCGAGCTCAGGTGGTTCATGTGAGCACCTCACTCACACTTAGATGGAGCTGACCAACTGAAGCCAGGACCCAGGACTGCCGTTGCGACCTACTGACACACCCCATGGCCCCCGGTCGTTGACGTTTACATACATACCGCTTTCGCACCACGACCGAAAGGTTTCGTCCTTTCACGACCCGGTCACGACATGATGATGCCCGGTGGAATCACGGCGGAGTTTTTTTTGGGAGTTCCCTCCGGAGGGGACAGCTGGAGTGGTAAGGGAGTGGGTTCTCAGCTTCGTCTGTCAGTCTGATCAGCGGGCAGAAATGCGAAGACTCCAGAGTAACAAACCTCGGAAAGAGAATTTATCCACACTCAGACGTTTCCGGCAGGCCAGCATATCGTCGCTTCCGAATCGTGGTAATCTGCTGAGGCTGCCGATGCTGATTATGATGCCAATATGCTGATGTGCCGATGCGGTGCGCTTGCATTCCCGTCAGCGCCCGCTTTTCCTGATACATCTCACTTTACACGCCTCCAGCAGCAGCGACTCCCCTCATCTTCCTCCATCTGTTCAGGCCTCCAGCCCAGTTTGATCATGGATGTGGTCATGAATGGCTACTATGCTCTTCCTTTGCCGACTCTTTCATTCTTCGCAATGCTCTCGAGGCCCCGGCTCCATCATGTATGGTTCTTTGAGAGCAAGGAAACTTTCAGTCTACCGCCCTTGTGCATCAACCCGTCCACAAATGGTCAACTGCGGATACCAACTTACATGGTTTCTGCAATGGTCAATATGTGGTTCAAGAGAAAGGCGACACCTGTTGGCAATGACGAGACCTAGCTGCAACTTGCAGCACATCCTCAAGCCTCTCCCTGTCCACCGCCGCCACCATCAACCACCGCCCATCCGCCATTGAGGACAGTGCTTGTGACCTGGTGTCGACCCAGTCTTTGGCGTATCACAATTTGTCTTTTCCCTCGCCGCCTCTGAAAGTGTTTAGGAAAGGAAAGGTGCCTTGCCGCCGCCGACTGACACCCGCCCGCCCCCATAGGATCCGAACAGCCAACAACGACCCAAACACACCCGCTCGCTACCCATGTCCGGTAAGGTTGCTCACGTCTCGCTCACTTCTGGGTGGCTCACCTCGGACGGGGGCACTCTACGGTGTATTCGTGGCTCACTGACTCTCAGTCTCAGATCCGAACTTGTCTTGGCCTTTCTCCTTCTGCCTCTTCATCCGCTTCCAGTTTCCGCTCCCAAAGCCTGATGAGCACCCGACAAGGGACTTTTCATTTAACCCTCGCCCAGCGCAGTCCATGTCGCATAGCTTGCCCCTCCAAAGAGACGAGGCCACGCACACCCCGGGGCCGGGCCTGCTTACATGTGGAACATTGACGTGGGAAAGACCACTGCGAATAAAATGAGGGCATCGCACAAGGTAGCCGTACCCAGTCATCCAGCACATTTCCGCCATATTAGTAGACCGGCACTCGAAGCAGCAATGAATAATAAACATCTCTGCCAACAGCGGCGCCAGCAATCAGCATCCGCCCGGCCTGGACTAGGCCACGCGGTCGAATTCCCGTCATTTCTTCCTTTCAGACTGATCCTGTCGCTGTTCCCGACAGACAGCCACGTCCAATATTCAGTATTTCCAGCCCAGGTTTGGCTTACTCTTACTGCTTATCGTTGTTTTTGGGTGGACCCGGCCGTACACTCAACTCGGTCACCGGAGAGAAGGCTTCGTGGGGTCCGGAGGTGAGGTGAGAGGGCCAAACGATGGATGAGTCGGACGCAGCATTATTATGAGGGCAAAATGCAAACCCAAATGCCCCTCGTTGGATGGAAACAAAATGGCTCTCAGCTGGGAACTGGACTGGACTGGACCGGCGGATGCGCATAGCCCTGCAAGTCTCTTGCTCGGCGCTCACCCAGCCGTCTCTAACTCTCACACTTACTTCCGCACCGTACCCCCAGCGGGTATCTTCCTCTCACGGCAAATCGTCTGCTGAGTCCCGGTCTTTTTTTGCCCTTGCTCCCTGACCCGAACCCCCCATTGGGTTGTTGTCTGCCGTCTTCCCTGACGGGAGTGCAGCGCCATGCCATGCCACGCCCAGCCTTTGCCTGCCCTGCCCATGTTGTGCTGTGTGTACGGATACAAAGTAGTGCTCTGTGTGCAGTGTGCTGCGTGTTGTGTGTATGTGTGTGCCTCTGCTCTGCTGCTGTGCTTTGCGTTGCGGCACTTTGCTTCGTTGTCTTTGGTTCGCTCTGGTCCAACCCAGTCCCGTTGGAGCAAAGCAATCCAACCCAGCCCATAATTACCGCCCTTTCTGCCCTGCAACGACATGACTTTCTGGACATGGAACATGGTCCCGGTCATGGGCTGCCCTTTGGATCATCGGAGGAGTAGCGGTAGCAATATCTAGCTGGCTAGCAGTACCGTAAAGCAAACGCCGGTCGGTTCGAACCAGCCCCAGCCCGGCCCAGCCGTATTGATTGTGCAGTCTACCAATTCGGTCCCGTCTTGTTGCATGGTTTCCCTCACTCTTTCTGCACATGTACGTATGTATGTTCTTGCTAGTCCACCCCCCGTCCCGGTGTCATTGACTGGGCACTCTCTGCGAAGGGGCTCCATCATCACTGGTCTTGTTCCAAGCCTGTCCTTCGTGAGGGTCGAGTGTGAGGTGAGTGTGAGCGAGATACCTGACTTATACCTCTGGGGGTGGTGAGGTCCAAGGTGGGCTTTGGCTTTGGCTTCCGGTGCCTTGTCTGGACCTCGCCTCGTCTTCCCTTCCGGTTCCCTTCCACCCATTCCCATTGTCTCTTAGACCTTGTCTGGCTGGCGTGTCTCCTCCTTCGTCTCTCTCTCTCTCTCTCTCCGTCGCTCGTCCATGGCCCTGTCGACCCGACCTTTCTTGCCTACCTACTAGATACACCTTGCCTAAATAAGTGGTGGTGTCTGTCGGTCTGGCGTCTGGTGTCCGGTGTCTGGTGTCTGGTGTCCCCAAGGTTCCCTTCCTTCTTGCCTGCGACGAGATACAAAACCCAAGACTGCCTGCCCACCCCTCTTTCGTTGCCGCGCCTTCCCTTCCCTTTTCCACCCCTCGGTGGCCATCTCTCGTCTCTTCTTCCCACTTCCTCCTCTCTTCTCGAGCCATCGTCGTCTCACCGATACTCTTCGCCGCCCACCGACCGCTCGTGAACCTAAGCCAACCTTACCTTCCAACGTCTCCCTCCCGGACCCCATCGACCAATATCCCTTGCTCGGCGACATCGGCGTCACGACGTATGCAGCCGGTCACAAGAGAAACCAAAACCCATCGAGTCACCGTCACCCCTCTTTTCGTCTACCTAATAAGAAGACGAACAGGCTGCCTTCACCCTCGCCCAGCTCCTTTCACTGCCTTACTTGGCCCATCTCACCTTGCCTAGCCTCCTCCTGAGTAGTCATCCTCAACGATACTCATACACACCACTTCATATAAGGTATCACATCCCTCTGCCTCGATCCCCCGCCTTGAATGGCTCTCACGCACAATCCTCTTACACGCTCCTCCTTTCATCCCTACTCCATCACCGCCCTGCGACAAGAGTAAGAGCGAACAAGCAGATTAAGAGACACAGACCGCTCTTAATACTAGTTTGTTACGAGGAATGCCAAACAGTCGTTTTTCCTCTCTCATTTTTATTCTAAAAAAATTCCCCACGGCATGAAACTCCATCGTCCTTACCCAGACTGCATCTTACCTGATACGGCCAAAGAAGACAGACGCCTGCATCCCGCTCCTTTGCGAACATCCGACTAACTTCTGAAAGCGGCATGATCCAGCGGCCCATCCCAGTGTCTTAGCAGCAGCGCCCCTCACCTCACAGCCGCATCACGTCCCGCCCGACTCTTACACTTCGTTCCGCCTCGACCACCCCAGGTACCAACCTACTTTGAGCACCTTGTGCATCACGCCTAAAGGACACGAACTACATCCCAAAAAGGTAAACCTCGATGGGTTACTGGGGAGTAAACATTTCGAGCCGACCCTGGAAACTCTTTATCGCCAATCGATAAAACCAGCAGCTACTCTTAATTGAACGCATTCCGAAACCTCCAGACTCACCCGCATCTACCCCTCCTCCAGTCAGTTTGCGACGACTTGCCAACAGATTACATTCGTTTCGGAACCCCCTCACTTGAACGATCCGCTTGCCTCGACCACCGGCAACTTGTACGACGACGAACGCACCTTCTGATCGATTGAACAAGGGCTTAGAAGAAGCAAGCGAGCGACGCCGTGCAGCTGCATACAAACAGAGAAATCAGGCGACAACAAGGAGGGGAATAAAGAAAAGAGCCAAGTTATTTGGTGAAAGAGAGACTGTGATTCTCCAATACAGGCAATACTAGCCACGATTCAGAAGCCGGCTTCACAGCGATAGGCTAGAGGACTTACCTCACGCAACGGTGGAAGGGATTCACAGCATGGACGAAGCCATGGATTACGCATACCATCATCCAGAGCAGTCTCAGGGTCAGGCACAGAATCCGTACGCACAACAGCGACCACGATGCCCTTATTTCCTCAACAGAGAAGGCCAACAGCAACTCCCTGGGATGCCACAGCACCGCTCAACAATGCACTACGACCCTGTTCACTCCTCAGCGAACTACCCAAATTGGCAGCCTCAAGTGCCACCGATACCTGGGCCATATCACTGGCAACACCAACCCCACTTGATGAACCACCGGGGACATCCAGCACCCCAGCACCGGCCTTCGAACTCGGCCTCTGAGGCACCTTACTACAACCATGTGCCTGTTCCGAACTTTGGCAATGTGGCTGGTGGCTACTCAGGGGCACCTCCAAGTGAGATGGTAGGCCCTCCAACCATGCAGCCGTCGTTCCCTCATACGCAGCTCCCTTCGGTGAGATTCAATCTTGCGACGGCCCTACCAGCAGGCCATCCGGCACAAGGCCAGCCGTTCTATACCAGCTCCGAGAGGAACTTTGGTGGGCAGAATGCTGCACCTCGCCACAACACCTTTAACACGGCTTCTCACTCTGTGAATACATCAAATCCTCCGGTACCACAAACTAGCTCAGAACATCTTGTGGCAGCCCCGAATCCTCCCCAGGTCGAGACATCAGACTCTACTGGAGGTACAAATCAAGCCCCATCTTCCGGGACCAGCATCCAGTTTGGATCTGCTCCTCCTTCATCTACTCTCCACCGCAGCACTGCAACCTTTCCCAATCCGCCATATGACGTTCATCAACCTAATTCAGGTGAGTGGTGTTTGCCTGCACCTGAGACTCTATATGTGCTAATGATGCCCGGAATATCACAGGCGCCTCATCTTCTGGAGCCTCGAGCTCATCAAGCAGCTTGGGCTCGCACCACCATCCAGAGCGACGTCGAGTCCCTGCCATTCGGCGCGCGTCCAGAAGACAAAGCCCTCTTTCCGACAGTGATGTCGATTCCGACCGAAGCGCGCTCGAACAGGTCATAGCATTGGCTGGAAACCCAACGCAAATGGCACGTCATATTATGACTCTGGAAGAAGACCACGTTCGGGCCGCTCAGTTCATGCGTGGCTCTGTGACCACGAAATATGTGGCGTCTTCGTCTGCTATCCAATCTCTTCAGAGCGTTCCGATCACCGAGCTATCAGAAAGCGAAAGAAGTCAGTTATAAGGATACCGGCTCTATTGTGAGAGAAAAAAAAAATGCTAACATGATTTGATAGCCTGTGTCATCTGCTACAATGAATTCGGTGTGGAAACACCCGAGGGCGTGAAGGAGGCTCCGCTGCGACTGCCCAAATGCAAACATGTATTTGGTGATCACTGCATCAAGAAATGGTTTGAGGAGTCGGACAGCTGCCCTTACTGCAGAGATAAGGTGCCACACGAAGCCAGGATCACATCCACACACCCGAACTTTGACCGGTACTACCGCAATCGTGGTCATGTGAACCTTGGAAATCTTGCTGGTTACGCTGGCTACATGCGAGACAGGGACGCTAGTCTTGCGCAGGACGACGCCAACCGCTCGCAAGGATCTGGATCTAGCCATGGTGAACGCCGCTCTCCCCCGACAGACAGCGGTGAAAGTCGGCGTAGGATTCGACCTCGTACTGGTATTCAAGGGCCAGGGTCACCAACATTCAGCAGCAGCCGGCCCAGACCAGTATCCAGCACATACGAGAGTAACAGGAGAGCGCATGCTGCAATTCCTGCTCTACTCCCACCTCGTGGAGCTTTCACATCCAACGGCTCCAGTCGTACGAACCACGGTGCTATATCACAGGTGTCCTTTTCCGGTCCCAACATGCATCAACACCATCAGGCAACTGGCTTTGCAGGTCTAGGAGAGACTGGGAGCGCCTCGTCGCAAGGAGTTCCGATAACCGCACGCCACCCTAACGGAGCTGCGCCAACCGCTCTTGGCGTGCCTGAGGGGCTCCATGGGAACGGATATTTGAACCCCGCGAACCGAACCTCACTGCCGGCAGTCCTTCCGGGCCCTTGGATCGGAGACCTAACAGCACCCGACGAAAGCCATCGGCGTATGATGGGTAGTGAGAATGGAGTGCCGCTTCAAGCCAACCCATGGGTACGGGAATAGGGAAGTCAACATGGACTTGGCGGCTGTGGACAGCGTAGGCGTGGACGGCGTGGCCAGTGGAAACGTAATTGGTATACTGGATATGGGGGACAGTTTCACTAACCAGTCTACAATTTTCTTTCGTGGAAAGGCTCGGTTTGGCATGCAGGATGACCTTTGACACAGATCGACCACGGCGTTTATTTTTTTCATTTTTTCGGTGGTCATGGCGTTTCAGGGAACCAGGGATCGTCATCTTCGTGATGGCATGATTCAGGATTCAAAGTCTCTCGGTAGGATTCATGAGGTCCGTTGGATCTGACTGGTTTTAAGGGCTGACCATTTGGGGGGGCCGGCCTGAGTGCACACATCATCAATACATTTCACGGGGCACTCACTTATTTGGTGTTGGCCTGTTAGCCTTGATACGCAAACAACGCGGCACCGCACACATGGCGGAAGCGACACAGCAAGCTAGTCTAGTTGGTTCTAGTTAGTTGAGCGGACGAATACATGACTCTATCCCACTCATATTCCGTTTCCTGAATATTTCGTTGTAGAATCCAAGTGCATGGGTGAATTTGTTGGCTTACGCTGATTAAGGCACAGGTTTTCCATAGCTGACCCCAAAAGTAGGCAGGCACACAGGTATCGATATGAGACATCACGGGACTTGGTTGACACACAGACTCGTAGTTTCTAGGGAATGATTGGACGGCGAACACTTCTCTTTTGGCCGTTGGAAAGCGAACTTTGTGGAATATGCAATGTGGACGGCACGGAACGGAATTTGGGGTCTCAATAGCCCGTGTGAAATCCGCCGGGACGGAGGGGCGGCAGGGCGGCAGGTCGTGCCCGGTTTACGTATTGCGGTTTTGTGAATATGAGATCCTGGCCCGATTCGGGGGTTTGGATTATCCCGGCGAGTCTTGTCCCGTCGGGAGCGGAGTAGGAGCGTGAAGAGGGGGAGGAGACCTGAGAGGAGAACGACGACCAAGTCAGACTTCTTGGAGATTTTTGCTTGGGCTTTCCTTGACTTCCGGGATGATGGCGGGTTAGTCGAGGCGAGGAGAGGGGCAAGAGGAAGAGGGGACGGTTAAGTATCTAGGGTGCAGTTCCGGCGGGCACCTACCTCATTGCTCGTAGGACGTCGGAAGTTTGGGTGGTTGTGTTATTTCTGCCGCGTGCGTATGTGAGGGGGATCACGAATCATGGGAGTTTTTGGAGAATATCAGATGGTAGTATTGTCAAGATACCCTTGGAGAAAGCGGGTGGCGATGTGTGTATGGCGTGTAAGTGGCTGGGCAACTTGAGGCCGCAAGATGTGACGGACAAGGCAGATGGACACGTAGGTAATGAGTGGTATTACATCATCTTGCTAACTGTGATTAATTTCAGGCGTCGATTTTCCTCTTCTTTTCTCTCTGCGAAGTTGTTAAAGTGGAAAGTTGACCAGTCGACCGGCATCGATGCAGAGACGTGTAAGCGAATGCGAACAAGATCCCCCTCGCGGCCCGAATATGGATAATGAATGATGGAAAAGGTTGGCCGTATTTCCCATTGGCTGGAGCCTCGTTGTCCAGGTGGTCCCTTTTGCGTGGCATCCGTGGCGTCCGTCATCACGGGAAGTGTGCATTCTGCCCAGAGGGGCAGATCTACAGTATGGGTAGGATTTAGACCCTTTAGGGACCCGTGATGTATTATCTTAGCCGTTCAATCACCCCACATCTTGGGTGCTGTCCTGATGCCACGGAAGACTGCCACCCGAATGTAGAACTGCAGAGTCGCTGCTGCTCTGCCACAATTCCTGGCTGTCATACATTGCCGCTTCTTCCCGAGCGGTGCAGCATTCGCTTCGAATGACCGGGCGGTGCATGATCAAATGTTTTGGAAATAAGGGGAACGGACGTGTGCTGCCAGCAGCAGGACGGGACCGCTTGGGTTCATGGCAGGCAGGACAATGACGTTAAACAGGCGGTAAAGGTGGTTTGTGTCACCAAAAGCTATCTTTTGCGTGGTGGAATGGTAGGAAGATGAGATGGGTTGAATAAAGGGGTTCTTGATTTTGAGCCTCACTTGCACAGACGGCGGAACGGAAACGAGGCCTGCCGTGCCGTAGAAGGGCGAAGGCTAAAGGTGGCGGTGCTGCTTGTTGTGTTTCTTGCACTTGATGTTTCCCGTGTTCTTGTTTGGGCCCTTTTGGGTTGATTTAACCGCCTTTTTTTTGGTGGTCTTTATGAGGTTTTGGGCCTGTGCGTCGTGCTGTTAAACGACAGTCAGAATAGAAAGGGTGAGATTCACAAAACAGCCCGATGTTTGGGTCAAGCACGCAACGGCAACGACTTGGGCTGAAGTTGGACGTTCAGGAGGGCAAGGTTAAGTTATGGTTCTTCTTGACAAATCAGTTTGAATTTGGCTTTCTTTGGTCGTCCAGACGAGACGTCTTTTAATGCTGTGCTATGCCCCATTCTCAAGTCATTCTGCAGAGAATAGTCCAGGGCTCTGCTTGTTTGAACAGGTGAGGGGCCAAACCGAGAAGTAAGAGAGTGAGGCTCTGGATAAGAGAGGCTCTCGATTACCTTGTTTGGGTAAAAGTCCCCCGTACTCCTGCAAGCCGTACTCGTCCTGGAGATGAAGGCGAAAATGTAGAAAAGGAAGACGAAGCAGGAGAGAAGGGCACTGTCCACGCGATTGAAACAGGCATGCTATGCGACTTGGCCCTGCGTCCCCCTTCCAATCGAAGGGACCATCCGAAACGATCAAGTCGGACTTTTCTGACTGAGCCAATCGCCTTTGCCTCGCACGGCCAAGCTTGGCGTGGTATCGGCATGGGACTGGACCGAGTCGCTGGAATCGCAATAACGTTGTGTCCTTTGCTTTTTTTCCCTTTCGCTCACCTCTCTTTGGTCCGGGATTCGGGGTCGAGGAGAGGACGGGTAGTGGTTCCAAGGTGAGCCAAATGTTACACCGAAAAGAGGGTAACCCGTATTGCGTACATAGCACTCAATGTTGGAACTCAAGACAAAGGCAAAGGAGCGCCACGACTGCGTGCAAACGGAACAAGACTGGCACAGCTAGAGACTGGACAGTGCCCCCCCAGGGTTTCCAAGGCGGCAACATCCCGCCGGAATTTCCTAGCACGATGGAAGAAGAAAAGAACAGCAAGCGAACGAAGAAGGGTGGGATCGGGCAAACAAATCATCCCAGAAGCCCGTTGGACTGGGACGATGGCCAGGGACCCCTCTCAAATCCCGTCCCGGACTTTTAGTTCCCCTTCTAAACTTCTTCCAGATATCTAGGTAGGCAAGCTGAAGCTGGGCCTTTTCGGTTTTCAAGACACGACGCAACCAATCCACAGCGAGCTAGGACGAGAATGGCATTCAATTCGAGCCTGGTGTCTCCATCAAAATGTAGTGTACTCATCATCCATAGAACCCCTCCCCCTACCATCCCACCTTTATTGAACAACCACCAGTCGCGGGTCATGTGCCGATTCGTCGAACGTGGTGCTGCTGCCTTTTTGCGGATGAACTTCTGAATCCCGTGCGTACTGCAGAGAACATATTCGCAGGTAGAGAGAGTAAGACGGAGTCGGGAATCTGTAGTGATATACCGTGTACACCACGAATCGCCTACGGATACCAAGACGGATGAACAAGAAACACGAGAGGCAACGAAATACGTACAACTAGCTCCCTTGTCAAGCAATCGAGCCGAGCTCTCTTTCTCTCTCCACCGAGCTGCAGAACGAAGCCAAGAAATCCGCTAGGGGCTCTTTTGGAGGGGGGCAGAGCAGCTTGCAACCAACGGCAGACCGGCTCATTGTCATCACTCCAGCTCCGTTCCCCAGCATCCCATCTCGTTTGCTTCTTTACTTTAGTAGGGGAACGTCCTCCTCCATCACCACCCTTGCTCACTCGATTGACCTCGGATGCCACGTGCTTTTAGCGTGTAGTTGCTTCATCGACTTTCATCAGGAGATAACATCTCAGAACTTCTTTCTCAGATTCACCAACCCAGAGCTGACAACAATACGGTACTCTTCACATCTTTTTTTCGGTTAAGATAAAACCAGATTACAACAAAAGCCGGGTTCGTCGTTTGAAGAACTTCACTCACCCCTTCTCCCAACCACCCCCGGCATCCCGTCGCGTCTCGTCTCATCCCAACTCCGTTCTCCATCGTCTCGCCCATCTGTGGTCTCCGACAGCCAAAACTCACCACCCCACGGCCCCTTGTCTGAAGGGACAACCCAAGAACGGACTTTTGGAGGAACCAAGTGTCTACCTTACCTCACGGACTGAACAGTTGGAACAGGGCAGCAAATAAGGGACTTCCCATAGAAGACGCGGTACGTGCGTGGATTGTCTCTCTCTCCCGTGTGTGTTTCTCTCTCTTTTGCGGCTTGCCTTGTTGTGCATGTGCTGGCGATGCTTTGGTTCCATGTCTGCAACCCCGTACGCATGAAACAGATCGACCCGGCCCTCATTCCACGCGGGATCTACCTCGCCTTGCCTGCCCTCTTCTACCTACCACACGCCACCACCACCTCTTTTCCCTTCTAATTGGGAGCTTAAACTTCAAGAAACAGCTTTGATCCGGTGTTGCTCTTTTCTTTCTATTTCACCATTTACCTTACATAACCTTACCCTTACCCGGGAGTTTAAACGCCTAGGCTGGCTTCTTCATTTGCGTGTCATTGGGAAAAGTTCTGGCGACTTACGCAAATCTTAAGGTCAACAAGACATAGTACCAAGGAAACCGTCTACTGCGCGCTTTTCGACATTGAGGTCTTTTACGAGAGTTCTAGACGCAGTCTTTGACAGATCTCGCTTTGCTCATCTCGAAACTCGGACAGCTCGCCTTTTCGTCGCAACGTAGACGTTGGAGGAGTCGTCGTCATCAAAGAGAACTATCTACGCAGGCATCGCTCCTCAAGAGAAAAAGAGACTCGAAGAACAACCGCAACAATGAGCGTCCCTTGGCGCGGAGTGTCCGTCAGCTCGGCTGCAATCGCCGTACTATTGGCCCTGCGACAACCAGTATTCTCGAGATGTCACCTGCTAGTCGCCTTCGTGGGCGCATTTGCCTTCCAGATGCTGGCTTGGGGCATCTTTGTCGTCTTCTTGTTCCCCCAGTACTTCTCGTCTCTGCGCTCGCTTCCGGGGCCCAAAGGTGATCACTGGTTGATGGGACAGTACCCGAGGATTATGCGCGAGCCGACTGGCGTGCCCATGATTGAATGGTGAGTAGAACACCGGAGAGAGAGAGAAAGCTGTCTTGGCATGTGACGTGAAAGAGACTAAATGTATACGCCACGCAGGATTAACACCATCCCTCACGAAGGCATCATTCGCTACCGCGGCTTGTTCAACCAGGAGCGCCTCCTGATCACGTCACCCAAGGCTCTCGCCGAGGTGCTCGTCACCCACAACTACGACTTCAAGAAGCCCGGCGCCGTCCGCTCGTCCATCGGCCGCATCCTCGGCATCGGCGTGTTGCTGGCCGAGGGCGACGACCACAAGGTCCAGCGCAAGAACCTCATGCCAGCCTTTGCCTTCCGCCACGTAAAGGACCTGTACCCGCTCTTCTGGAGCAAGGCATGCGAGGGCGTCCAGGCCATCACCGATGCCGTTCACGCCGAGGCCGCAAAGGGCGCCACCGAGGGGCTCACCGACCCGGAGAAGGCCGCCCTGGGCCCCAACACCGCCGTCCTGGAGATTGGCAACTGGGCGTCGCGCACCACGCTCGACATCATCGGCATGGCCGGTATGGGCCGCGACTTTGGCGCCATCCGCGACCCGGCGAACCCCCTAAACCAGACCTACCAGCACGTCTTCAAGCCGAGCCGTCAGGCCCAGGTCCTCGCGGTCCTCGGTCTCCTCCTCCCGGGTAACCTCGTCCACCATCTTCCCCTGCAGCGCAACGGCGACATCGCAAAGGCAGCCAACACCATCCGCGCCACCTGCCGCGAGCTCATCCGCGAGAAGAAGGAGAAGCTGGAGCGCAAGCAGCTCACCGACATTGACATCCTCTCGGTAGCGCTCGAGTCCGGCTGCTTCACCGAGGACAATCTCGTCGACCAGATGATGACCTTCCTCGCCGCAGGCCACGAGACCACGGCCTCGGCCATGATGTGGGCCATCTACTGCCTCTGCCTCAACCCCGAGGTCCAATCCCGCCTCCGCCTCGAGATCCGCGAGCGCCTCCCGACACCGGGCACGCCCGGCGACATCACGGCCCTCGACATCGACCACATGCCCTACCTCAACGCCGTCTGCAACGAGGTCCTGCGCTACTACTCCCCGGTGCCCATGACTCTCCGCGAAGCCGCCGTCGACACCGTCATCGACGGCAACAAGGTGCCCAAGGGCACGCGCATCATGCTCTGCCCGTGGGCCACAAACAAGGACACCTCGCTCTGGGGCGCCGACGCGGGCCGCTTCAACCCGGACAGATGGCTCCCCTCGCGCGACGGCGGCGACGCTGCGGAGACCAAGAAGACGGCCAACAGCGGCGGCGCGACGAGCAACTACGCCTTCATGACGTTCCTCCACGGGCCGCGGAGCTGTATCGGGCAGGGGTTCGCAAAGGCCGAGTTTGCGTGCATCCTCGCCTCGTGGATCGGGCGGTTCGAGTTCAGCCTCAAGAACAAGGAGGAGTACGACGAGAAGAATATGACTATCAAGGGCGGCGTCACTGCGCGTCCGTCAAAGGGCTTGCACGTGTACGTCAAGGTCGTCGATGGTTGGTGAGTTGCTTGTGTGCGTGTGTAGGTGTGTGTGGAGAGTGAAGGATGTGCTTTTGTGTTGTAATTAATGATATGAGCATGACTGACTGGCTGGCTGGCTGGACTGAACTGGGCTGGGTTCCTGGTATGTGTCAAAAGCACAAAATGACGTATATAATGGGAAAAGGGGGCACGCTGAGCGCGCAGACGAGCGAGGTCTGTCCCAGCATGGTGTTCTTGATAGCATTTGATGCTTGGGAAAGGATAGAAGAATATGGCGTTAAATCCAATAACACACATATACGTTTTGAAGCAAAAGAGGTCTTCAAGGTTTTCTTCAATCAAGGGAAGAGAGTTCGTCCAGAAAGAGACCAGGTCCTCCCGCAAACAGCTCATTAACGTCTTGAAACCCATGGTAATGCGAAACCTTTTATCCCCTTTCGAAGCAGGCCATCTACATCGCTGAGTTCCATGCCGGGTACGATAGGTAGGTGGCGCATCTAGACTAAAGTAAACAAACCTGAGGTGCTTTTGGTGATTCAGGCAGGCACGACCGGCCCGTACTTTCCTCACCTTCCGACACATCACCCGCGAGAAGGCTATATACCCCCCGTCTCAACTCCGTTCCCGTCACCAGCCAGCAGGCGCCCGTCTAGGTCGACGGGTCAGGTCAAACTGGCTGGGTGGTGGAGTGGTTCACGGTCGATAATCAACTTACGCCTACAGCCTACTCGACGACAGGCTCCGAGTTCGAGTTCGAGTCCCAGCATGAGCACCAAGAGATGTAGCCCCCAGTTCAGCACCGAGAGGGTTGAAATCTTTTTACTTCTCAGTCGTGATTATATTGTTGACGCTCCTGAACTTAGCTGACGATAATGAGGGGAGATCTTGTTGTTTGTATATCGTTACCTTCTTGTAACTGCCATAGCCAAACTTTTACCTCCTCTATCCGCACCTTCTTCCGTAACTATTTACTAGCTTGCCTTGAGCGCGATCGCTCGACCGCGATTACGATTTGCTTGAGTTCCATATTTAAATAGATCCGGTTCGGATCCAGGGTCAGGAATGATTTCCTTAAGCCAGTCGGTCCTTGGCGATCTTCCGGTTACTTTGGCAAGCACCTAGTAGCCTACTGCCGCAGCTTCTTTGCGTTTGGTACAAGCTTTGCGCCCTTATGACTACCGGAATTCCTTAACGCCTCACATGTAAGGAAGGATAGAACACGGGCCGGTAGCGAAAGGAAGGGCCTCAGTGAGGGCCAGCGACGGTCAAAGGGCAGTAACTAGAGGCTGAGGTCAGACATGTTTTTTTTATTTAAAGCCCCAAATCTTCTGTGGAACTGCACCTTGTGCGTATCTTCCCATGCTCGGAGCAACGACTGTTTCTTAGTGGAGGCCCTGTTGAGTACAAGTATGATGTTCATGCGGTTGTGCTTAATGGCAGTGTACCGTAGATGTCCTCCAAAACTTGAAGACGCTAGGCTTTAATTTAGTATAGTTGGTGTTTGGTATAACAGAAAGCCAGGAAAAGTTCAGGGTCACACAGTAATGAGATGGACTGGAACATTTGTTAGACTCAGTGGTAGATCCATCGCATATATTGCCTTTGATCTGCTTGACCAAGCTCACGCAAGCTAGGGGTATAACTATGAATGTACGAGAAAAGAAAAAGGGCGGCTGTACGCTTTTGCTATGGAATGGTATTCGCACAGGACCCCTAGACTCTCTTGCCTTGCTTCAGCAGATCGCCAACCTTGGGCGGCAACACCAAGGCACTTCTGTCGTTCCGCCTGTAAAAGTCCACGACTGCCAGCGCCGTCTTCTCTGGCAGATCCTCTTGGATGAAGTGTCCAGCTTCCGGGAATACTTGTAATGCGTACTTGCCTATTGCCAGGGTGCCAGTCAGCTCTTATCTGGCTAGAATGGTACGGGGAAAAGAGAGCAACGTTAACGTACCCTGCATCTGACCGATGGTCAACTCCGTGTCCAGCCTGTCCGTACCCGCCAGCAGAAGCAGTTTTCCACCCCTCGCCTCGAGAAACTTCTTGCTCAAGCCGACGAACCAGCCTTCCCAGAATGGTTGCGTCGCCGCCAGATCCGTTCGCCATCGCCACGGCCTCGTCGGATCGATGGAGTCGTCGTACACCAAAAGCGCCGGCACTGAAGTCCGCGCCGACACCGAGTTGCGGACGGTGCGCGAGCGGATATGCCAGTCTATACCGGACTGCAAACTGGCGAAGCCGGTGGGCCGCGTTGAGAGGTATGTCAGCATGCTCTGCAGAGCATCCATTGCCGAGCCCTCCACCACATCCAGAACTCCGTACCCGAGCAGAGCGTTGCCCAGCTTCCCCGACTTGGCTACATCCGTGACGACGGCGCCACCCAGCGAGTGTCCGATGAGAATGATGGGGGGAAGTTCAGGCCAAGACATCTGGGTCTTTGTCAGCTGGATGACGCTGAACAGGTCCTCCGTCAGGACGTCGAGCTTGAGGTCGAGCTCGGTGCCGTCCGTGATGACCGTCGAGCCGTGGCCGCGAGCATCCGGAGAAAGAATGCCGGCCGAAGGGAGACGTTTCCTGATCTCGGACGAGAGGGCCGCAAATGAGAGGCCAGAAGAGCCGGCGCCGTGGTGCATGACGAAGAGGGGTCCCTTCCCGACAGGGGAGTTGAGGTAGGCGTGGTATGTCACGGTGGCAGAGTCATCGTCTCCGACCTTGGGCTTCAGGAACAATTCTCTCTCAAAATAGGTTGTCCACGGGATTTGCTCCAGCGTGCGGCCCCTCGACACACTAGAAGCGGGAATCAGCGCCTTGGTGTAAGCACAAACGTGTTTTCCTTCCTCGGGCCTCGTGGCAATGGCGGGAGGGGAAGAACAGCAAAGGGCAAGAGAAAAGTACGTTACCCTTGCGGTCGAGCAAAGAGGTTCTGACTCGGAGAGGGGATGATGGTGCCGGTAGAAGAAGCGGAGGAGGCGGAGGAGGCAGAGGAGGAGTCTCCGTCGTCCATGTGCTCCGGCAACTCGGGGAGCTGATCGGTCTCGGGTTCCTCGTCGTCGAGGTCGTTGAGGGGCTCCGGTAGAGGATGCATGGGGTCGAGTTTCCTCTTGGCCCAAGCTCTTTGCAACTCACTCATCTTGGGCTGGCCTTGGGATCTGCCGATAGCTTCTGCCAAAACAGGTGGATGTTGTTTCTTCCCCTCTCCCTCTTTCCTGTGCCTTCTATAGTGAGGCAAAGGCAACTTCCGGCGTGGCTTCCGTTTGTGTGTGTGTGTGTGTGTGTGTGTGTGTGTGTGTGTGTGTGTGTGTGTGCTGCAGGCGTCGCCGACCAGCCGGGATGCCAAGCCGATGGTTGCAGATGCAGGAAAGTTTGACGAGGAGAGAGATCAGAGACGATCAGAGCCGTGTAATTGAAATGGCCGCAAGATGAGGCCCGTCACACGGAGCGGAAGAAACGAATGCAGAGCAAGGCTGGAGCCGCCAACTTTGGGCCAAGTGGGATGCTGTGAGACCAACTTTGGGAGTTTGAGTTGCCGTCGTGGGGATGACGTTCAGTGGGGTGATGAGGGGCAGCCCTTTCCACTCGCACTGTGCCTCGGTAGTGTTTTACGTCTGGTTTACAGTGCTTAGAGGCAATCTCTCGCACACGCCGGTCTAATGGAGGCAACTGTGCCCCAAAAACCTCGCTGAAAGAAAGAGTGGCCCGTCCCTGCCATGTGTTCCTTCCACAGTGACAAGACAAAGGCGAGGTTTCCTGAACATCTTCTTTGTTGAGCTGCCTTGGGCTTCTTACTCCTTTGGGAAGACCGTTATACCTGGAGTTATCACAATAAATACACCCCAAGAACCAATGGTCTCATATCGTCTACATCGTCAACCTCTTCCCTCCAACTTCACTCATCACTCATCACTCAACAGTCACATACTTTATACTATTAATTTGCGTTCCATTTGTAGGTATATACTTATCCGAGGCCCTTTCCTCCGCTATGCAAACCCTCCGCCCTTTGAACCCAAAGAAGAAGATTACCTTGCGGTCATAAAACGTGTATATCCCCACAGGGGACATTGAGCCTGCTTGGTTGTGCATGTTGTTGATAACGACTGCATAAAAGGGTTCCTCTTCTCCCTCTCCCTCTTCCCCTTTACGACAAAAGGCAAAAAGAAACGAGAAACTCAGAGAGGCAGCCGTCGATATCATAACCATTGGTGTTTGCAGAGGGTGTAAAACGTTATTGTGTATATCCGTAGATATCTTTGAGAGAGAAAATGAGAGAGACGGACAAAGGATGAGCAGACCCAAGGAAATAAGTTTTTTGAAAATATAAAATAAGAAATAAGGAAAGGAAAAAGTAAATAGGATATAAGTGGCTTCCTTTCTGGAATCTCTGTGAACAGCTAAGAGAGATCCATATGTCATACATTCCACACTTCTATGTTCATTGTCATTCCAACAGGTACACACACCAGTCAAAGCGTCTCCCTCCCGATTCTTTCAGCTTTTCTTTCAGTGATACACACCCCGGTAACCGCCACCACCATAGCCGCCGTGGGGGTTGTGGTTGAAGTCGCCGCCCACGTTGGGCAGTGTTGGCGCCCTGTCGGCAATGGGTGCCGCGCCGAGGACGAGGTTCTCGCGGCTTTGGTCGTGGTGGGCGTTGCCGTAAGGCGTGCTTGGCGCCAGAGGGCGGTAGGGAGCGTTGCCCGCTGCGCCCATGTAGTGGTCGGGAGACTCCGAGCGCTGGTCCTTCTTCTCGGGGACGCTCGACATGGAGAAGGTAGTACCGGCCTCGGGATCCTTGCGGTCCATGAGGAGGGAGTTGCGGGCGTCCAGAGGAGTGAGGGTGTCCATGTCGCGCTGCATCTTCTCTATAAAGGGGGTCAGTAACGTGATATTCAGATAGCGTGGAAGTAGACTTACCCATCTCCTTTCTGCGCTTGCGGTGGGGGTTCTCCTTGCAGCAGGCGTTGATTGCGTTCCACATGATCAGAAGAGCGAGCACACCGGTCAAAGCGGACTGGACGGCAATCAAGACAACGCCAGTGACGGTCTGGGTGGTCTGCGCGATGCCAAACTCCTCGACAAAGACGAGGATGCAGGCAACAGAGAGGACGCGGACGACCTGGATGGTGATGTTGATGACGTTGCCCGACTTGCGCTCAAAGGGACGGCTCCACAGCAAAAGGCAAAGCATGAGACCCTCAACGACGAGCTGGGCAGAGGTCTGGGCCATGCCGTGGCCATCGCCAGCGGCAAGGATGCAACCCTTGGCGAACAGGTAGACGATGACGGGGACAAAGATCCACCAGTAGTCCTTCTTGTAGGACTCGTAGAAGAGGCTGTACTTCATCCAGTTGTTCTTGTCATCGTAGAGACCGCTCACATCGCCCTCGGCCTGCTTCAGCTTGCGAGCAGTGCTCCAAATCTTGTAGGAGAAGAAGGCGAGAATGCCAGTAAAGATACCCAGACTGACACCGGCAAGAACCTTGGCAGCCCATGAATCACCATTGGTAAACTGGAAAATGCAGTACAAGACCCAGATACCATAGAGCAGCATGATGAGCGAGGTGATGGCACGGGCGATGGATCCCCAGTAGTGCTCACGGAATCCGGCAAGACCCTTGGGGAAGTTACCGAAAAGAGCCCAGAACTCGAGAATGACCTTGACCAGGAGAATTCCGACAATGATGGCGGCAATGACGATGGCGACGATGAGGAGAACGGTCATGAAGGTGTTGGACTTGGGGACACTGAGAGTGTTGACAAAGGCAGTGATACCCTGGACCTTCTGCTTGATAGTGGTGACCGGGTCGTCAGAGTCGCCGCTGGTGGTTCCGTTGACGCTGGTCTCAATCTCTCTGAGGACGAGGGCTTGGAATGTCTCGACGGCACGCTTGGTCTTGAAGAGGGCGCTGCCACCGTCGACGGTGGAGCCGTCGGCGAGAATGAGAGTGCTGTTCTTGAGGATCTCAACGCTGTCCTTGCTCAAATCACCGCCGGTCGCACCGCGGAAGTTGTCGATGGCGACCTGCATGTCGGTCCAGGGAATGATGCCGCAAGAGAAACCAAAGTTCTTGACGAAGCTGCTGTAGACGGGAGGGTAGCTGACGGAAAGCATGCCGTTCATGGCCATGCCCTGGAACCATCCGAAAACCTCGGTGAAACTAGGGCTGATGGTACCAGCACCTCCAGTGCCGCTGCCACTAAGGGCGGCACTGCCTCCAGCGAAAGCAGAGCTGACTGCAGACACACCGGTGGCGACAAGAGCGAGACCAGCAACTCCGGCGGCAATGTAAGAGACGGCAGCGACGCTGGCGGTCTTACCGTTAGTGACCTGGGACGTGATGCAGGCGACCTCTTCGTTGGTGTCGAGGGTCTTGAGCTGAAGCTTGGCCTGAGCGGCGATATCGGGGACTGCGAAGGCGATATCCGGGACCATGCTGGCATACTCATCAGGAATCTTCTGAGTGCCACGAGCAGAGAAGCTGCCGGCGGGAACTGAGATTTGTTAGCATTTTCCGTAATCGAAACGTCAACTCATCCACAGCTGGCACATACCAGGGCAGAGCTGCTCGACAAAGGTTCCTGCTTCGCATGGGTTGAATGTGTTGGAGTAGATGGCAGTGCCGTAGGCGCTGACATCCAAGATGGCTGTGACGTTCTGAACCTTGGAGCTCGTTCCTGCTACATCGAAGGTGACGGTCTTGTTGTCGTTGTTGTACTGAATATCAATCTTCTGGACGGAAATCGCGGTATCGTTGCCGCAAGTCGTGAAGCTGCTTGTCTTGAGGATGGAATCGGCGAGGGTGCTAGAAGCAAATGCGGTGGCCAAGGCCAAAAGGCGCTTCGGGCCCCAGTTGGGTGCGGTTCGCGTCATTTTGTTGTGTTGTAAAAACAAAGTTGTGGTAGAAAATTCGTTGTTCGTCGTTCTGTCGGGAATCGAAAATGTTTCCCAAAGCCGTGTGATGGTGGGTATATCCAAAGTCTATACTTTTTGAGCCTCTTTGTGCTTCTTTCTCCTGTACTCCCAGCGATTGATGCCGTCCCTTTCCCTACTATAACAGATTGATACGCTTTGATAACGAGTTTGGTGGTGAGAGAGATAGGGGGTTCCGTGTTCGTCGGGGACCGGGTTGTGAGTTTTCTTTGGCGAATTGAGTGATACTATTCGAGTCGTCGTCGTCGCGTCGGGAGGGTATAATGCGAGAGTCGTGGACCAAAGGAAACAAGCAACCAGATTGTACTAGTGGAGTCGAAGGATTGTGAAATGGTAAGAGGCTAACAAGAAGCAAGCACAGCTTTCTACAGAATGACACGAGAGAGATGAAATAAAAGAGGCCGAGGATCAACCTGGAAAGAAGAGGAATATGGGCTGGCCGCGAGGTGCCTATGCAGAGCCCGAAGGGTGTCGATGGGATGAGCCCGTATGAGGCTTCTTGTACGCCGAAAGAGATGGATCAGCGGAAGCAGGTTGAAAACCTATGGTGGTGAGGTGGGCGTTGGAGGTTATGATAGATCGAGAGAGTGAGCAGTGTGTTGGAGTAAGAGAGAGTTTCTTCAACAGCCAGATAGGCGAAGAGAGAGACAGTGGCTGAAAAAAGAGGCTAAAGTCCACGGGCGGGTATATGAAACGAGCGAAAGGTGACGATGCTGAGAATGCACGCCGGTCAGGAGGTGGTGGTGGAGTGGGAGGAGGGAGGGAGGGAGCAGAGACAAGACGCAGAGAGAGACAGAGGAGGAAAAGGAACGACACGAACGAGCGAGAAGGGGAAGCGATTGGCGATCGATGGTTGGCGGGAGATGGGGCCCCAAGCCTGGAAGCGACCTCAGCGTCGTCTGTTCTCGTCCACGGGCCCCCCATGCAAAGAGGGACATGGACCCTGGGATGGCGTGCGGATTGGTGTGGATGGGGGCAACGCACGCACACCAGACGCAGACGAACAACGGTACGAACAATCTGGACGGTCTCCGAGCCTCTCACGCTCTCCCTCTTGCTTTGCTGCTTGACGGATTTCGTCCACAGAACCACAGCTGCTAGCACCGTCTCTGATCCGTCTCCTCCTCCCTCCTCCCACTGGGACAAGACAAGACGGGGAGAGGAACCATCTGTGGGAGGTCGTGTTCAACATCCTGGTCACCTCCACCGGGCGCAGGTTCGATTGGAACCTCGTCCCTGACATGATCCTTGCCCCATCCAGGCACCTTCAAAGGCTCCAGAGTGCAAAGGAACGTCAACCAGCCGGAAGGCCGTCAACCCTGGTCAAGAGCGTCTCTGCCCTTGCGCTGGTTCCAATGTCCAGTAATAGCCCAAGGATTGGGTCGACCCACGCAGCGGCGCTGACGAACTGGGTCCCTCGTTGGGTCCTCTTTGGAGCCCAGCGTAGCCAAACCAGCCCATTATCTCCTCCCGTTCCTGATTCACTCAGCGTGGTCTGGGGGAAGGTAGTGTGAGGATACCATGGCGCCAGACTGGCGGCGGCACTGGCATTAGCATGCCATGGTGCGGCTTGCTTGTCGCCGACTCTATCTCTCTTGGCCGTTCGACGGTGCGAGGCGTATTAGCGGCGGTGGCGGGCGGCTACTGCGAGGAAGAGGGGGCGGGTAGTGAATACGACGACCGGTAGATGGTAAACATCAGCTTACTGTGGTGGAAAGGCTGCGAATGCGCATTAGTTTTTTACGAAAGGCTTCTGTCAAAAGTGCAGTACGTACCGGGCCTTGATGCAAAGTGAAAACAGATGGCGGCGCAAGGTCTTGCAAGTTGCAGCTGCGTGCAAAACCAGACGGGAGAAAAAAAGTCAAACTAAGGCAGCATCTGCACACCCCATCTGAGCCCCCCGCTGGCATCTGTCTAGGCCAGCCGCGGTGTCGTGTGGTCGAACAGTCCAGACTGGCCCGTCGTGGTCGAAGTCCTTGCTGGTGTGAGGAAACAAGAGATTGAGGGTCCGGGATTCAGCAAGGAACAATTTGCCTGGAAGTGAGCGACGACGATACGTACCGACAAGTGACCTTTGTCAAGCCTCGAGCATCAGAGTAAAGGTACTTATTCGAAGAGCTGAGTTGGCTGGGTTGCTCAGGTACCGCCTTACATAAGACACTTTACTTTCCACAGGCAATCACGCAGAGATGGGACCTGCCTGACCTTCCCGCCCGCCTGCGATCAAATTACCGTTGGACAGGGCCGCTGCGGGCAGCAAGGAAGGTGATTGATACCCAGCTTCTAATCTGCATTCGGCTTACATAAAGTAGGTATACGGAGTAGATACAGATACGTACAGTCTATCATACGGAGCATGAAACGTCAATAACTTCTGTACGCAGTATAAACCGTCATACGGATTCAGTCCATCCAAGTTTCTATTCGAACACACACTTCGCACGCCGTGACGCCATGCCGTGGGAAAACGTCTGAACACCAAGTTAACCTTACATAAAGATACACGGCTCGCCCATTCTTTCTTGTGGAGTCTGAAACAATGCCTCGAGGAGGAGCAGGTCTCGGCAATTCCGCTCTAAATCAGAGACACCGAGGAACACCAGCGACCAACGGTGAATCATGAACATTCTCGAGTAATCCAACCTCCTTCCACCGTTTCCCAGTACATTGTCTTTGTCTTGTTGCCCGGTGACTAAGGTTTAGCAGTCGTCAGCGACCACGCGTGACGCCGAGTCCAGTGCCTCCTTGGCCTGGCAGATACGCGAGCGAAGAAAACTCTAGACTCAGGGGCAAAACCCAAGGCTAGTGCCGAGTCAAAGTCAGTAAAACGGTATCTTTTTTATGTACGTGTACGGTGATGGACAGGCACAAAATCAACTCTGCATCCCACCCGTCCCAGCCCGCAACAACCGCACTCCGTCCGCGCGCCCCTGCATTGGCGTCAGGGGTCCCCGTCGAGGGGCTTAGCCAGAATGGTACTGGTGGATCAACATGGGGGACTGGTCGGGACGCCGGACGGCCTCGACTACCAGAACGGGGCCTTCAGTCTTCACTCATCTTTTTTTCTGCCAGGTGGTGAGCTACAGGAACCATTGGCTATCGCTGTTCCAAAAGCTACGCGGCAGAAGCAGAGAAGGAAGAGAAAGACACAGAGAGAGAGGAAGCAGGGAAGCCAGAACCAAATCATTCCCTACACCCCCGGTCCTGTCTGAAACTGCGCCATCACGGAGAAGGAGGAGGAACCTCGTCTTTCACCAATGAGATTCTCTTATCTATCATCAATTATCCAGCTGTCAGCTGGAAGTCTGGGACTCTAGGAGGTGGGTGGGAAAAATTCTTGATTGTGGCCGATTCATGATTCCACTGGAGCCCAATCCAAGTTTTTGCACTCCGTCATTGTAGAAACAAAACAGAGAAAAAGACTCAAACTGTCAAACACTTTTAATACCAATCGGTGGTTCTGACTCTGTAGACTGTCCTTCCTCCAGCGGTCCAGCCCCCATTTGTCTTGGGAAAGCAGATGAAAATGATCAAAAGCCCAGGCGCTACGGGAAATTCTTGCCGCTGCCACGTTGATCAATTCAGGTCGGTCAATCTCGTCACAAGCCTGTCGGGAACCACAGTAACCACAGTTTATTAACGGGCTTAAACCGACTTTGGTCACTGATTGTAATGAGACCACTAGGTCGGCACATGAAAAGAGAGTGCTCCGTACGGATAATCAATCGATGAGAACGGGCTCGATTCAATCGGATTGCCGTTGATACCCTACTAAGATTAAGAACCTTGTTTACCGTGTAAAAATAACCGTTTGTCTCCCAACCCCAATTTCACACACCCCTAACCTCATCTCCATGCTTCCGCCATCTCTTCCTCACCTCAATGTCGGAATGTCCCCACGTCACAATCCAAGCCGCGTCGCTTATCCATCATCGCTACCACGTTCATATCGCGATGCTGTGTACTACGTAGGGACGTGGATCGGTGCGTCTGCATTATCATGTACAATATCCGTCATCTTAGCATCTAGGTCCACATCAGCAATACACTTTTCCCCAAACCTTGGACAATTGTATGCAGTAGAGGAAGAATAAGAAGAAGCTACTGCGTACAGACTACAGAAGAAAAGGGCACGGTAGTTACAATGCCCGCAGGCACAGCCGCTGTACTGTACCTTACCTTAGCATGTGCGGCTGCCTGTGCGTTCTCACGGCATTTTAACTTGCGCAGTCACACAACCAAGATGTAAAGTGAGGCAGGGCAATCCTGATCTTTCACACACAAGTTGAACTTAAAAAGACAATGACTTCGGATCACCCACTTCTTCCCATCCCATCTCCCGCGCCCGCTTCCCCCACCCACCTTTTCGCAGTCTGCTCACCTGCCATAGGAATGCTCAACTATCCGCACGAAAAGATGTAAGGTTAGCATGGCCCGTGTGATGCCCCCCGGGAGGCCTGCCAAGCCACATTCCAACCATTTGTCCAACATTCCAACTCTAGTGTTGGCTCTGCCCTACCCATACTCAACGCTGGCACCGACCATTGCTTGTCCTCCTCTGGTCCTGCAGCCTGCGGGATTCTCGCAGCCTTCGACAGCCTGAGCAAAGTGACGAATTTCTTACCCCTCCATCCGTCCACCGGCTCCCATCCGTCCCGTCGCTACAAAAGAAAGTCCGGGCAACAGGCGAGCGCGCAGTCCGGTGCCGTGCCGTGCATATGCCACCTCACTCCTCCCAAGCCGGACATATCACGCCGTCTCGTCTCATCTCCTCTAAGCTGTAGGCTATGTGCAGATGTGCAGATACTTCCGTGCTTTGCTCTACCGAGTTCGAGTACGCTGAGCTCAGCTCAGCTCATCTCAGCCCAGCTCTGGCCTGAGCCTCGGACGGCAAAAGCAAACGCAACACAAACGACTTGTGCCTCAGAACCCCCGCGCCAAAACTGCCTAGACGGACGCACCGCCCCCTTGGGCCTTAGTTGTCAATCTTTTCATCCGATATTGACGACATGTCACGTCTGCAGACCCCCCTTTTCCCAGCATATGCACAGAAACGCAAAACGCCAAAACCTTGATCTTTTGGAAGGGCAGCCTTCTTTTTTTTCGTCAAAAGGTTACATCCTGTTCGCACGCCGTCACCGAACAAAGGCTGTTTCTTTCTTTTCCCATCCAATCGTTTCGTCAACAATATGACCTCGAGTTTCTCTGTAAACGTCGCCGAAACTCGTCAAAGCCCCTGATTTACCCCCCTTCTCCCACTCGTCTCTGTCTCACGGGTTTCCTTTCCGACGTTGGCAGTGGTACCGTGTGATTGGAAACACTCTCCACCAGGAGTTTTGAGGGGAAGGAAGAGGGGGTCGACCATGAAGCCCAGCAGCGCCTTTCAAAACCTGTCCAAGAAAAAAGTAAAAAGTGACTTCATCGCCAACATCCCCAAACTCTGGCTTCAACTACCGTGATGTCTTCCCAAACTTCCCAACGCCCCGGAATACCCATCCATGTCTCGGGCTTCAAGCGCCTTCTATCCTCCCACTAGACTGGTTCTCTTCGAAAGAAACGTAGGTAGGCCTCCAGGACGGCTTCCCCGGACCCCGACACTTCTCTCCGTCGTCATTGTCAAGCATTATCCCTCGCTTGCGTTCTCACTGCCACCCACACGTACGGATGTTCAAACATTCTCACTATCCCGTAGAGAACCCGCCCCCTCCTCATAAACAGCTCCTCGCTCTTGGACCCCGTACCATACCCGCGGTATCTTTCTTGCCTTCCACACGATCGGCGGTGATGACGATGAGCCACAATAGTACCTCTCAGCTATAGCCTCCTGTCCATACAGATTACAGATGGATGGATGCTCGTAGACACTCGAGCGATAAGATCCAAATCCTGGAAAACCCATCATTGCTCTCACTCTAGAATCGCGCCCCCGAGAGACGAGCAATGTAGTTGATGCATCTGGCAGGTCTTCTCTCTTCAACGAGAGGCACCCTTGGCTTCTCGAAACCCAAGTCCAAACAGCACGTTTTGGGTTATTTGTCTTCGTCTTTACGCTTCATTCCGCTCCCATATCCAACCTCTCCCAAGTTCCGACTCCAACTCCCAGAGTAAGAAGAATATACAGTATAGACACCAACAACACGGCCCTTCCTCCCACGGCTTGGACACAGGCTCACCCTCACATCTCGAATCCCCCCTCTTCCGAGCGGCCCCCAACCAACCACAACCCAGAATACCGTGATGGAAATAGATTAATAAAAGCAAGCAAGACCGTCACCAGTATTTCCCAGCTACCCGGCCCGGCTGCCCTTTTCCCTGCTTTTTTACTCTCTTGTATGGTATCATTGGTATGTACCCGCGCCTTATGCCAAACGGTAATAAAATATCAAAGGGTATCCCGTACCCCGACAATCAGGCACCAGATCCAGAATAACCTCCGTCCGTCCCAGGTCCCGGTCGGAGCCCGTCGAGACCAAGGAAACTTTTCGTGATTTATCCCCCCCTCAATCGAGAGCATAAACTGTGAAAAGAAAAGATATGTTCATATTCCACTCACCAACCAGACTTCACCCGTCCATTCCGCTCCGGCTTTACACCACCCCAACCATCATATACCACCCACAGTACTCGGTATGCGTACACTGACTATCCATACACAAAAAATCGCAACCGTGACTCCGCGGTCGCCCGTTCCCTCCTTCCCGGCCCGCGGCCCGGGGTACGTATTACCGCTATTGCGCCTCGTATGAAGCGGGTCTTCCCTCGTCCTTACTTAGGATACCGTATGCTGCGTACAGGCACGGTGTCACCAATGACCTCCCTTCTCCATCCAAGTCAAAACCCCCCGTAAGTGTGCCCCCCGAGACTGCGACGCATTTGCCTTGGAAACTGTGGAACCTCCGAACACTACAGCGTGTCCGTACAGACGCAAGAGCACAATGTTGGTAATTTAGGGGGGGGGGGGGCAGGGAGGGCTTCAACATCCCAGAGACTTGGAAAGGCTTGTTCCTCGATCAAGTCGGATAGGTAAGCTCCGCGGGGGGTTTCGACCGTTCGACCCGGCAAGACATGAGCACGCTGATCCCACGGGAGTCCAGAGCACCCGTACTCCGTAGATATTTTTTGACTGTGGCCACTCCGTATCGCTCGCGTACCGCTCATTGGAAATCTCTGGAACATTTGACTGGACCCAGGATGCTAAAAATGCTTCTCTGGTGGGGACCAAAAAAGCTAGGTTGGAACTTGGCACACTGAAAGGGTATGTCGCGTCCGTGTTCACGCGCGCTATTGAGTGGGTTAAGATGATATTGGGTACGCATATCAGACTCTTCTCTATCTACGTAGTAAGCGTTCGCATTGGAGGTATATGGCCTTCTTTCATGATTGATGATACTTTACTATTGAGCAGATCTCATTCAGGTCTGAGAATACGATGTAAAACATACATTGTCCAGATATATAAAGAACACTCGCTCCCGTCAACTTGGTACTCGACACTTGCACTCTTTCTCTTGCGTGGCATCCCTAGCTACCACAGTGCATGGCATTATTCAGCTTAGAATATTCCGTGACTCCGTTGACCGTCTAGATTTCTTACTGATCCTCCATCCTGAGCGCCACCATGCTTGCTCTGACACTGGTATAGGCCGTAACATCGATACATCGTCAAGCGAGAGCCGGGTCCGGCGTTCGCATTCCATACAGATGAAGAAATAACCGGACTAAATTGCTATGAAAAAGGGTATCTAAATACGCGAGAAGATTGAAGCGAATATTTCATGGCCTCGGTTGAGGCACACAGATACTGCATGATCTATTGTGGTGGGTAGAACCCTTGACCACCTTGGAGGGGAGAGTGTGAATACGGTGAGATAGACCCCTGAGAATTGTACTGGTTCTCCTCGATGTTGCTCTGTCCTATGAGTCCATCATAGGCCATGCCCACACCCATCTGCCCAGGCTGGTGTAGTCCAAGGGCGTTGTGGTCGAGTGCGGGAAAGGGCTCAGTTTCTTGTGCCAACGACATGTATTGTTGCTGGGCTCCCATATATGATGCGGCAGGCATGGCCACGTTGTTTGTGTTCTGGTATTGGTGGTTGAATCCCTGGGTTGCTCGGTTGACAGGCTGCATGCTCATCAAGTTCTGAGCCATCGGCTGACTAGTGTTCGGATACTGGGAAGAGTACATGTAGTCTGGGAACTGCGAGTTACCCGCGACCCCGGAGAACCCAAGGTTGTTCATGTTCTGGTATAAACCATTGTTGTTCGCCATCATGGCGTGAGGTTGATACGACGACTGGTTCCCATAGTTGTGAATAGAGGGTTCACTCTTGACGACTGACTCGTCCAGGGGAGTTGGCGCATTGAAAGGAGCTCTGGGCGGGGGGTCTTGCACCGGACTGATAATGGTGTCTGGCTCCAGCTCCTTGGCAGCGACCAGATGTAGGATAGGTAGACTGAGATGCTCCATATGCTTTGCCAAATGGACTGTCAACTTCTTCCACGTAGGAAACTGCTTGCCACAGAAACGGCAAGGCTCCTCCTGTGGCCTCTTCGTTGTTTCATGACGGCACTGTTCTACCTTGTGCCACGTGGGATCGATGGCACCAGCCCGTTTGATGGCGGCTTTAGTCTTGTTCTTCGGTTCGACAAACTTGTGCTCGCGCACGAGATGCTGCAAGAAATTGTCCCGGCGGTAGCATGTGTGCCGACAGTCCTCAACGTCGCATGTCCACCACTCTAGATGCCGATGGCCCTCATTCTCATGGCGTACCCAGTCGGCTTTACGCTTGAAGATCTTGGGGTCACGGCATCTGTCCCAAGTGCAAGTGAAAGGCTGTACATCCTCGTGCACATGCTTCGTCCAGTCAGAGGGCTTCTTGGGCTTCTTCAGCGTGAAGCAGAGCTGGCATTCGAACTCCGCCGGGAGGGATTGCGTAGGCGGCATAGGTATGTCCTGGGGGAAGCTATCCTTGGTAATAGCACCCTCCACAGGGGTTGAGTCTCCGTCCCCAGAGTCAGCGCCCGTAGACAGAGGGTCAATGTCTCGTGAATCGCCCTTCTGGTCGAGCAGGACTGGCCGACCACCACGAGCCAAACAGAACGATCCGCACGTGCAGGCCTGGCCAATTCCAAGATGCTTCACCTTGGCATTGAGTAGGCTCTTGTAGCGAACAACCTGCTGATGGGCGATGCGATCAACGAGATAGTTATTGTTGGTTGCCAGATCCGGATTCAGGCGGAGAACATGCGTTTGGAAGCCTGCGAAGTTTGGCGAGACATCCTGGATCAACTTGCTGGATTCGGCATTCATGTCACCATCCTCGTAAAGGTCATCCTCGTCGTCATCATCCTCATCCAGGTCAACATTTGTCGAGTTACTCTTGGCAAGGACAGCCACAGGCGGGCCGCCTGATTTCCTCCACATGCCAACAAGGTTTGAGTGTGTTTCGTTTCCGCTAGCTTTTGGTAGATCCGACTTGCTCCTTGGCCGACGAAGTGTGTTTTTGACTTGTAGACTGCCAAATGGACTCTTTGGTGATGTGATGGGCGTGCCGCCAATTGAACCGTTTCGTGCGTGTGTTGTGCCAATTGAAGCCACACTGCTTCCCATGGTGACGAGGGCGGTGTTGATACTAGGCGTAGGTGTCTTCTTGGACCCCCAGCTGCCAGTTCGTGCAGTGGGTAGAAGATGAGGCAAACTCTCACGCTTCTCCATAGGGGGCGGAGCCTCCGACTTGGGAATGTTTTCGCCATTGGTGCTCCTAGACCGCTTGAGCAAATGGCTGGCACTCGGCCGACGGACGAGGCCGCGCAAATCCTTGAGGATGCTTGGCCTACGACCTCCCTCGCCTCTGCTGATGGAAAGCTTCTTCAATAGGTTCCCACTGGTGACGTTCTCGGTGTCCATGTCGATAACGCTAGGCAGACTGCGTCTTCGTGTGCCCCAAGTAGCCGCTTTGGAAATGATGGATTCGTTATCCATACACATTCTGTTGAAACGAGCAATTGCAGCTTGTGAAGATTCCGGCTGGTATCGGTCTGTGTCTGGGCCACTAATAGGGTGTACAACGGGCGAGTCCCCCCAGACACGGTTCGAGTTCATGATATGGAAGTCCGTAGCCGTCATCTCGCCGCCGCGAGCTGTGAAATAAGTTTGTCCAGGTTGATGGCGGTTTTCAGTCTGGTTGCCAAGATGGATGCCGTCTTCCCCAGCCATGGCATCAGGGCTAGCATGCAATCTGGTCTCTGGCTGAGAAGAGGCTGCAGCTGGGTCGTTGTTCAAGCTACGAGACAGCCATTGATCAACTTCCTGGTTCTTTTCCTCGATCTCACGGCGAGTCATAATGTCATTTACGCTGGCAACTTCAGTAGAGGGCCTATTCGTCGGATCTAAACCATGGCGGCTGAACGATGAGCGTCGTGGGGTTGTCGTATCGGCGACTGGTCCTTGGGACGAGATCAAGTCACCAGCGGAGCTGAGCCCGGCATGTGCTGTGGTCGAGTTCTCGTCATCTGGTGTGAATGTGCGCTCAATTGACTGCACCGGTTCGGTAGCATCTTTTCCCCACATGGAGACAGTCACTCGAGGACTCTGAGCAGCCATCATGGGAGGAGACGGCACTGCGCTGTCCTCACTGGAACGACCACTACCACTGAGATCTGGTGTCAACTGAGATGTGGACTGTGCGGCGAAAGTGGAAATCTGAGGAGGCTGGAATGGCCTTTGTAGCTCCTGAGGTGAGATGGATAGAGGGAGTCGCTCAGGCACAGACTTGGCAATCGTTCTCATATCGCTGCGCGGTGAAGTCGTGTGCAGTGATGCCGTCTGCTCAGGGGTGAATGGATAGGTATTAGCGTCCAGGTTTTTGCTTCTCGCCTGAGAAATTGTGGCCTGGCCGAAGCTGTCGGTTCTGTGCTCCGGGTCAAGGAAAGAGGGCGTACCCGCTTCAGTATTGCTAAAGTCGACGCCAAAGAAAGGGTCCAGTCCATCATCCATATCGCTGAAGTCGCTCGAATGATATTGGCTGTAGTTAGAGATGGACTCTGCCGGAGTATCGTTATAGTTGGGTGAGACGGAGCTGCTCTGCAACTGAGACGAAGGCGAGAGATGATTCGGGTCAAATGAAGTGGCAGTCAGTCGCCGTTGACCACTGCTTGGTGGGGAGGGGTTGTGGGCATCGCTAGCTTGTCCATCGTGCAAGGCCGCGGGAGGTACGGCGTATGTCGAAGCCATTGCCACGACACGACGCGAGTGTATGGGGGAGATTGTAGGAGAGGCTAATCGTGATATATAGGTCGGCTTGATGTAAAGGTACGGTAAATCAGGCAAACGGAGCCAAAGCCGAGGACGAGACTACTCTTTGAGAGTTGTTAGAAGACAAGCGCTGTCATGTTCCGACTTGTTTGAGTTGGTTGGATTGGAAGCGATCAACTGAGCAGGCTGAAGGTGGGGTTAGGCGACAGTCGCAACAGGGCTCCAGGAAGCAGTCTTGCACCAGTTTGTGGATTGGTGCAAAAGGCACGAGACTGTATTGACAAGACGATGCGATACCCCAGAGTAGTTGAATGTGGAGGAGGAAAGCAGTCGCCAGCGAGCAAGAGGAATAGCCACAAGAAGAAGATGTGGTCGTGGAGGGCGGCGGCGTTTGCGCGGCCTAGATGTGTTGGTCGTTTCTCTCGTCCAGCGCTTATGCTTTTCGCTGATTGTGTATTCGTACAGGCGCCGTGGGGAACAACTGGGTCAAGCAACAAGAAATAGATCAAACTTGTCCAGGTATGCGAGCATCAAGGTACTGAGGTGATTTCGAAAGCAAAAGAGTTGTTTGCGGCGTTTCGCGGTGAGGCTGAGTTGAGGTCGGTGGCAGAGAAGTATGGCCAAGATGGAAAGAGTGACAGTCGAACGGCGGAAGAACGGGGGGGTGCGAAGCGGGATATGCGTTAGAGTATCCGCGGTCTTGTGTAAAGAAGCCTGGGAATCAGGGGTATGCGAGGGGGTGTACAAGACTCGATGAGATCATGCAGAGACAGTAGAACGAGGCGGAAGAGAGCCTAGGAACGGCGCATGGGTCGAATGTGGCAGAGTCGCGAGCCAGACGGGAGGCAGAGGAGGGGAGAAGGGGAGAAAAGAGTTGGTGAGACTTGTGAGAGAGAGGGAGAGGGAGAGATGATCTTGGGATGACGAGGGGAGGGATGGTTGGAAAGGCGTAAGGTACGAGTACCCAGCGGGCTAACCTTGGAGAAGTAAGAGACGGTTGGGGGTGGGGATGCGATTGTGACAAGACAAGCGCGAGACAGGACGGAATTCAATCTCGAGGAGGGGCGGAAACCAATTAGAAGCCAGGTACCTGACCTACCTACCTTAGTTAATAAGGCAATTAGGCGGACATTTGCAGGTGGTGGTGGTGGTGCATGGCGACAGTACGAAGGTGCGCCTCAGGGTCAATTGAAGCTCAAGATGGGAAGGGCTAAAAAGTACGGTACCTTTTTTTTTTCTTGGGTAAAGATAGAGTACCTATTTTCTCTATGCTATCTGTACCTTGGGATGAGGTACCTTGGATAATTTTCAATACGAGCAAGAATGGAAAGCGAGAGAGAGAGGCTCAGGGAGAAGTGACACTGCGAGAGCATGGGAGTTTCGGTACCTTGAGGTAGCTTTTCCCACTGCCCGCTAACCCACACACCCATTGAATTAGACTTGGGCAGTCTGCCTGGTGTCTCTCACTCTCCCATCTCTCATCCAGGTTCAGCTGTCCCGTCCGGTCCGCCCTCGACATTCAGGTTCCATTGTCTCAGTGAAATGGGAAGCGTGTGGGCGGTACCTTAGCGGTAGCATGCCGGCCACTTGCGCAGCCCACCGAAGCGGGAATGCGCCACAACGCTGCCCTCTTGTCACCTAGGTTCTTTACTGATACTGTCATGTCCTATGGCTACGGGGACGGAGAGTAGAGGACGGACTACCTAGTGGCTGGGTACGGACAACAACAAGGTAGAGATGGCATGCGGAATTGCTGCCCGTCTGTTCGCATCGTTGGTTCAGATTTGGTTCCCAAGTGTTCGGCCGAAATCTGGAGGAACCATGCCTTCTTGATCCCGAGACTCGGTTTGTGCGGTCGAGAATCGCGATATTGTCAGATCAGGTACCTGACGTGCTGACCCAACTTGGAGGAGTCGTGATATATCGCTATCTTGCCATATCTTCATGCAAGAACCTTCCAGGTTCGGAGCAGATATTCTCAGAATGCCTTGCCTTAGTAATGGTCTTGCTCCATGCTCCATGCTTCCTTTCCGTTCATATTCATGTCGACTGCGACTTCCTCATGGCTCATGCAGCAACGCTGCCCCGCTCCGTCATGTGGGGCATTTGGAAGACTCCGAGAAATGGAAGGAACGTTCACGTCTCTGAGTGGTTGATAGCTCAATACTGCGGTACATATCCCTTAGCCTCAGTACATGTTCGAAGTACCTCTCCACAGGCGCACTCGCTCGTAGGGCGGAATGGGGGCCGGGAGCGAACCAGGAGCGAACCAGATGGCAAGGGACCTGAGACTACCACCCACTCACACGGCAAATCAAAGTATCGTCTTAAGTCAAACCCCCCACTTCCTGGCACCCCCCTGTTTCTGGCACCCACAAAAACGATGGGATCACAACCCAACCTCCTCATTACTATTAACTATTGATCCTCAACCACAATACAACTGCCAGCCTCACTAGGGCATTCAGAGTCGCTGGATTCAGCCGTAATAACCTCCTTTTCACCCGCTTCGATTTGAGCCCGATGGATATCCTGATGTTCGCAAACTTCGTGTTGGGATCGATCTGAACAGTCTTCCTCTTCCTAACTGCAGCGTTGGTAACTTGAGCCCTCAGGTGAGCCAGCAGCTGCTGGGCAGCTGCCAGTTGCCAGGCCTGCTCTGTGAAGCCTTTTTCACCTTCCTGAACAGCAGCCGTTGAGTGCTGGTATCATTGTCGAGTTGGGTGTATAAGTGCAGTTGACCGCTGAGCTCTGCCAGCTTCCTGGGTGTCGACCAGACCACTGCAGAGGAAGCAGAATCCCATGGCTCAACAGGGGTAGTTTGTTGACCATTATGGCATCGCTTTTTGCCCCGACTGGTTGGTTTGGTGTGGTGGGCTTAGCAGAAGGCTCAGGTAATACCATAGGGTTCATCAGGGGCTTAACCATCGCTACAGGGTGTAGACCAGTCCACTTCCAACCACTTCTGATGTTCGAGACTGATAGACCAGCAAGTCGAGCCTTCTGGTAACAGTCCAGGAAGTTCCTTTACCTATAATGGTAGAGTCGTTCCATTGAGACAAGTAACCGAGCTCCTTCCGATAGGCTGACTTAACAGGGCTGAAGACAGACTGGTCAAGTGGCTGGAGGACATGAGAGGAGTGTGGTGGTAAGAACAGTAAATGGATATTGTTAATATAGCAATTCCACATGAAGTCTGTCGTCGTATGACTCCCATGCCCATCCACAATCAACAGTCGAGCCTCGCCCTCAGCCTCGGGCATAGTCTGTGGGATAAACACCTTCTCTAACCATTCAATGGCAGTTAAGTCTGTAGTCCAGCCATTATCTGTTGCTGTAAACTCCCACCCATCGTATGGAACCAGATGTAATGGAAACCACTGTTGTTGGACCGTCTTCCTTGAAAATGATAAGAGGACGAAGTGCCCTACCCAAGGCTGAGATACACTCAATGATAGAGACCCATGCCCTCGACCCAGGTTGTTTCTTGCGAACAGACGTCGTCTCAGCCATGCCCAGCACTAACCCATTAGCTCCCTGACCCTCGAGGATGCCAGTCTCATCCATATTATATCTGTTGGCTGGTTTGATGTCCTTGATCTCAGGGATAGCAAGGAACTTAAACCAGTTCCTAATGACCTCAGTAGATGCCCCATTAACGCGTCTAGAATCGATGGAACGACTTCTCTGAACCTTAATGATAGGGTTCCTTCTCACGAAGGCATAGATCCAGCCTTTCCTAATGGTTTGGTATCCCCAGCAGCAGCCAGAACTCGCTCTGCGAATTCCTTCACCTGTTGGTGCGTTGGTGCGAGGCCCAGCGAAGCCTGAATGCGAACCCATTGTGCCAGCTTACTCTCCTGGTCAGAGACAGCCTCTGCCAGTCAGCAAAAGCCACTTTCCTAGTCTGACCACCTTGGAGACGTAGTTGGAGGGTTGATCGTGGTATCCCATACTCCAATGAGGCTCTCTTTTGACTCTTGCCGTTTGAGATGTCCTCGAGAGCCTGACGAAGCTGATCTTCGGTATATTGAGGCATTAGATATAGAAGAAGGTATGTGCAAAAAATGAGCCCATTTGGACTCGAATTGAAAATGTTGTGATAAAAGGAGGTTGGGGGTGGGCATTGCGTTGTGGTGGATTTTCGCGTTTTTGTGGGTGCCAGAAACAGGGGGGTGCCGGGAAGTGGGGGGTTTGACTTAATTCTTCCATTTGCGCGAGGCGTTCTTCTTTGCTGTCGTTGGGCGCATTTCTCTCAGCCCCAGCCCGCAGGGCAGTTTTACCTCTCCACTGCAACTTTGCAACTGGAACACCCGGCCGACCGTCCTCGACCTCAGACTCAGAGTCACCTCGGACCTCACCTCACACACTCATCCCGTCACCCACTCCCCGTCTTACACTTGCGCCGCAGTATGAGCATGGATCCAATACCTACCTACATCCATCCCACCTCATGTCTGCCATCTGGCAGCCCACCACATCTTGTCGCACAGATGCAAGCTACTGTGGCTTACTTCTGTCCCTCCGCTTAGGTCACACTCTCTGCTCTTACCCTCAGCGTCCGTCGCTGCACCTCACAGTACCTTAGTAGATGGGTGGCTGGATTCTTGTCCCTGGGCTTGATAATGCCACAAGATTAGTGTCATCTCGACCTCGACACGACATTCGGTCATCGACCATCGATAACCCTTGGGTCAGCCTGTGTTCACCGAGAAGGCAGATTTCCACTTCCGGCCCTAGCTCCGCATGGTCCCTCTCACATTCTATCGCCGATGCTGTCCGCCTAACACCTCATACCGACCACATACCAAACCCTTGAAAAGCGCTCGTCAGACCTACCGGCTTGCAGACGCTTGATGTCATCCGACGGCATGTGCTTCTCGCTGAAAAGCTGCGGTAACGTACGAATGCATGCCCTTGTGGCAGATGCTACAGATAGGCATCAGCCCCTAAACAGAGTGTCGCGAATATCGACAATTGTTTCTGCTTAAGGATCGCTCGTCAATATGGCAGCAGAAACGCTTTCAGCTCGGTCGCCATATCGCTCTCGCATTCAAGAGTCTAAAAACCGAATAACCCCCATTATCCGCTCTGCACAGGGTATCAAGTACTGGGGAAAGCGACATTGGCTAGTGGGGCCTAGCACCATTATGCACAGCCGCAGCCGCCGTGATGGAACTCGGATATTTCAGTCGAGTTGGGGATCCTGGGCGAAGCAGAAGCGCTGTGTTTTTGAGCTTGACCGCTGGCCTGGCGGTGCACTCCGCCGGTCGCCGCTCCAAACCCGCGGCATCAGGGTTGCGCGGCGCCACAAACATCCCCGACTCGTCCGTCCATATCGGCGACGCCTCACGCTTTGCATTGAAATACCGGCGTTTTCATGCTCGCTTGTTGGTCTCCGTGTCTTATCTGCGGCTAATAATGATGCTCCCGCAGACCTTGATATGTATATTTAACCGTACTCTTGGAGTGTGCCTCGAGTGAAGTCCCCATCTTCCGCCTGATCCGCGAATGGTGGGCAAGTCTCCATTAACGAGCGCCTTCAGTAAACGCGATCTCTTGGCGGTTAATTAGATTAATGCCCATCTACGAGGCATGTTCTATCGCGAAATAGACGCAGCGAGTGCGTCGGTTCGACATGGTGCCGAGTATGGAAAACTTTCGGCGACCTGGAACCATGAATGGACACCAAGACGCATGGATCATAATCCCAACGGATAACGACCTAGGCTTAAACCAGACTTTTATGAAGTCTCCTAGGCCCGAACAACTCTCAAGATCTCGACGTAAGGGCTATACAAAATATGGCATACAACCAAGTAATATTAGCAACAGAGCTTGGGTGCATATATCAAAGTACCTAGCCAGCCATTCTGCGTTGGCGGAAGAAAGGATTCTAAGTGTAAGAAGGTACGGTGAACGCATCCTCGGGGACGACTCGGCGGGCTTATCTAATCACGGCACCTGATCCACCTCGGCGACGTCGACAACCACCACCACCAAGAGCCAGGGTGGAGATCACCTGCCCAGAAACTCTAAAGCACTACACCTCAGCTCTGGATCCATCTACCTTACTCTGTATCTCTATGGCGATAGAGCCATTTCAGCCCTGAATTTCGCCATTCGTTAACTTGACTGTTCGGCTCCTGCAGCCTTCCAATTCGCTTCATTTCTTCCAGTGAAGACGCCGCATAGATAGGGATACTATCCAGTCGCAATCCAACACGGCTCAACGAGACTGCAACCTCGTAGATATCTTGACCCGGACTGCTTGGGGACCAGCGACGCAGTAAAAGAGCCTCTCAAACATTTTATCATCACAATGTTCCAGGTTCGTATTTCCATCTCGAAAGAGAGCATCTTCTGCAATGCCACATCGAGGTCTACAGTCCCCGATTTTTCGTGATGAACCACCCCCAGCTCACCATCGCCTTTTTTCTCATCCTCACAGCCAAACCCCCAAGACCACCTTCACCTGCGCCTCCACCGCGCCAGATCCGTGATCCTAACCGCCGAGGAGTGAGTCTCAACCTCTGTTTCTCTCAAAAACCTCTCCCATCATTGACAGTATTAACCCTTCCCTCTCCCCGCCCCAAAAGACTCGTCGAGATCCGCGCCGCCCAACGAACCTTCGAAGGCGCCTACATGCGCACAGCCCTCTCCCAATTCTCCTTCGCCCTCATCATCCTCAAAATCTTCACCTCGGAGTTCTACGCCATCGGCGCCCTGTTCGCCGTCTACGGCGCCGCCGTCATGCTCGTCGCCATCTTCCGCCGCCACGAGGGGAACCGCCAGTTCTTCACGAGTCCCAAGGTAGACGAGGGCAGCGGCGTCGCGAGCGGCGGCGTGGTGCGCAAGTTCCGCACGAGCGGGAATAGCGTCGCGATGCTTACCGTCTTGAGTCTTGCTGCGTATGTTACGCTTTTGGTGCTGACGTGGCAGCTTGTGCAGTGATGTGAGAGGTGAAGGAGGAAGGGGGAGTAGGCCGATCTGGTTTTATGCGGTTTTTTGGTGATGGAGGATGGAGTTTTGGCGATTACGGCTGCTGGCGTCTCTTCTGTCTATAAAATGTACGAGGCCGCGGTGATTTATTCTCTCATCAAATCATGGACCCCGAATCTCAGATTCCAGACGTAACCAATAATTGACTCATCAAGGTTCTCCAGAGCAGACCAAAGACAAGGCCAGGGCTTTCCGTGACCTCTCTGTCCTCTGGCACATACTCCCAGCCTAGATATCAGAAACTCGGCGCCATGCCAAATGACCGATGGTCAAGAATCGCAACACAGATGTAGGTAACGGGTATCAGCAATGCCAAACGTATTGTCACTACCAATGGACACCAGGAATGGTGATCAGAACATAAAGTCCTTGGAGAGGTCTAGTCTCAATAGTTATACACTAGTACGCCTCAGGCAGCCTGTAATTTTGTCAGGGAGACAGGATCTCCATCTACAACGTCACTAGGGGAAGGGGGTTGAAAGGGGTTTTTCAGTTACGGAATCTTGATTTGAAGCAAGATAAAGGGGTATACATCACTGAGAAAAATGTCTGAGCCTTGGTTTCTGTCTCCGTACGAAACTAATCTCGTCCAGTGAGAGTATTTCTATCCATCTTCAAACCTAAAGTTACTCGTTCATTCCAGTAAGCTGGACATTTCTCCCTGACCCATCATGCATCATGCGTTGGGACTCGCGGGCATGGATACCTGAGTGACTTCAATGTAGTTCCCGCTGAGTCTCGACGTTACCGAATTCAAGGCCGTCTCCCCATCGACTAGGCATTGGGGGTTTATCACCAAATACGAAACCATGAACTGCCTCTCAGGGTAGACGGGCAAACAGGTAACAGCAACCCTCAGCACGACCCCTCACTGTAAGAGCCTAACAGGGTTGTGAGCTTGATTTCACAAAGACAAGAAAAGAGCTTGATAGATCTAGAAGCAAATTCAAGAGGACCAGAGAAGAATAAATGGGCTCAATACCAAAATCTGGATTGGAGTATTCGCCATTCCCAAGTTCTCAGAGGCCAGGGATTCTATGTACTGACAAAGGGCGCGCTCGAGAGAAAAGAAGGGCAAAGAAACCAAAACGGCTGTATGATAAGAATGTTGAACTATGAATCGAAGGAGATTTGTTGAAGTGAAGAAGAGGAAACAAAAGAGGAAGCAACTAAAGGCGAGCAACAGGTAAGCGTCATGATGACGCCGGTGGTATAGAATGTGCGTGCGTCTCCAGACCCGACGAATGCGATCCCTCCCCTTTTTGTTTTCGAGTCCTTTCTCATCCACTTGCCATTGCTTCTGTACTTCCCATAGCTCCTCAATGCTCGCTTCCAATATAAACACGAAAAGAAAAGGAAAGACTCTTCGTCCGACTGTACGGCGCTGCGGATCACCGCGCCCGGCCCGAACCTCCCGTCTCACGGTGCGTTCCCGAGACAAAAAGTGACCTCGTATTCCGCCTAGGTATAAGTAGGCACCTCCCCCTCCCCGCTTGCTCGGCATCGGCCATGCGCCTTGCGCTCGGGGCCCCGCAACATTCCTTCCGCGATGTGCTTGCACTTAAATCTGACGTCTGCCAGCAACACGTTTCGTGCGATCCCGGCGTTGCAGAGCCGTCATCGGCATGGCAGTGTCCCTTGCTCCTCGCTTGAAAATGGGGCATATGGTTGCTATTGCTTTTGAAATCCCCCAAACCCCCATTGATTTCTTTCTGTCGTTTCTCGTTCTGGTATTCGCCCCTGTTTTCGAGTACTTTGCGCCGCTCCAATTCGACAACTGCTGCATCCGAGACACGACTTCGTTCCAGGGCGGTTAAGGCTACCGTTTGGCATATCTTTTCCGGTTTCACATGAAATTGAACTACTTTCCTATCTTTTCTACTTAGCCTCTTGTTTGCTTAGGGTGTTCTGTTTTCCTCGTTCTTCTCTCTTTTCTCGGCCATGGGGTCCGTCGCGTCTCCTTTATGCGGTATGCCAACTTCGGTAGAGTTTGAAGCAGAAGAAGGATGTCTGGAACCGGGTTTCCCAGGGTTTTCCGTTGATGATGTAGCACGATTGTGGCTAGGAAGTGCCTACCTCCCGCTACTGTTGTCATAAGCCGTCCAAGTGTCGTATCCCTCGGATGGCCTAGGATAGCCGTAGGGGGGCTGTTGCTGCTGCTGCTGTTGCTGTGGCCAAGTACCGTAACCTGAAGGCGGGTTGGCACCTGCAGACATGGAAACAGTGTGCGGGTCCATAGTTGGGAAACTTGTCGCAATCGGGTTCGTGTACATGTCAGTCGTCATCACCGTCGAAGACCTTCTGGGGAATTGCCGGCCCTGCTGTGACATCGTGGGGTATTGTGTAGGTATCTGTGTGCCTCTTGGGTATGCCATAGGGTTCCCTATTGTGAATGACGAGTAACCCATATTGTTTTGAGCATTGATGTCTGCATTGCTCCAGCTGGCCGACGGTGGGGCTTGAGACGTATACGGCGAGAAAGACGGAGACGGAGTAATCGGGGACTGTTCAGCGTAAGGCTTCTTCGTTTCTCTCAAGTCACCTGACTTTGTTGCATAGTTGGAACTAATATCTGGTGATGCCCAGTTCGTGATTTGGGGATTCGCAAAATCGTAGGGCTGAGAAGACGTTGTAGTGCTCGATACAGGCACTGTTCGCTTGTTAGCTATTTGACATGTCCCCGGGATGTGTGGCAACTAGCCTGTGGGGTCCTGACCAAGATTTCCGGCTGCAGAAGTCTGGATAGTTGTCGGTAGTACGTTTTGTGGCGAGGGCAGAACTCCTCCTTGATGGTGCTGATAGTGTTGGGATCCTTCTGGGGCTTGTCCAGGAAGTACAACGGGAGAAGACGATGCGGAAGCGGTGTTAGATCCTCCGGCAGGTCTAGGTTGCGCTTTGGGCTTTGCTTCAGTCATTTGAGACGGCGCCTGGTCTACAGGAAAGAAGCTACAGTCCTTCTTCAACCTGATGCAGTTCCTACATCGGCCATCACCTTGTACCTCTGACATTATGCACCGAATTTTCCGCCTGCGGCAATGTCCTTGACGTTGCTGCCGTCAGTACAAATTCAAAAGAGACGCGAGAGGACGGGCACAACACCTACCACAAGCTACCGAGGTCCGGTGATAGCCCAGCTTGTTCCTCTTCTTATCCCCAGCTTGTCCAGACTGACTTGAATCAGAGATGTTGGCCTGCCGCAGTCTGACATTAGGCTTGTTCATGGAGCGTTTCGATTTTCGACGACTCGCCTGTAAGATGGAATCTCTACGCTCCTGGTCTGTTGGCTCGCGGGTCCCCTGGTCCATCGATGCTTGGCCTGAGCCTGGTGCGTCGTAGCTAGGCGCGAAGCCAGAATTGGGAACCTCCATGTCGGAACCGAGGGGAAGAAAGTGCGAAGGATATGGGTAAGACATGATGGAACCCTGCACTCCAAAGTCGGTGACGCTGCAAAGTCGAATCCTTTTCGGAAAGGTTAGTCCATATAAAGGTCGGAGACCTATACTGCTATACCCTTGATAAACCTGTTGATGTCGAAGCGTCACACGATGGAGATGCGAAAGGCGTTTCGAGGTGTTGTCCCCTTTAGACTGGCGATACAACTTTAGAATCCGGGCGTAACGTTGGCCGAGGCCTGCTGATGTTGGTCCGGAATAGAGGCTTCGGAGAAGCAATCAACGAAGATGCAGTGCGTTCTTGACGTTTGTCAACAGACACTTCTTCGAGGCGTTAACGAGGGGACTACCCAAATGACGGGCTAAGATTTGCTGTTGATGTCGCGTTGGGTGCGGTACGGGTAGAGCGCGGTTATGACCGATGCGGACACGGCACAAAGCGATGTCAGGGACGGACCAATCGAGATGATTTGAGTGGTCCAGCTAAGCTGCGAGTGCGGTAACGGCCAGGATGGTGTACCAAAGTCGGAAAGCTTTCTGAATGGGCTGCCGTCAAAATTGGGTCGGCTCCCCAAGTTTTTCCCGGTTCCGTGGGCTGATGATTACCACCCAAGTTGGGTAGGAAGGGGGAGTCTAATGACAGCAACTGCAGACAGCGTGTACTCGAATTCTCTGCGGTGGAATGCGTGTCATGCGGCTGTGGAAGTTTATATCGAGGGTATATTGGGTCGAGTCGGTTAATGGTGATGCTTGGGAGGTGTGACGTGGAGACAGAAAGACGAAGGTATCGAGCCTGAGAATGAGACCAAGACGTGGTCAGACAAGATTCAACCCTAAGTATGGTTTTGCATGATGTAAAGGCCAACCACGAAGGAGGAAAGAACGCACGAGGGAGAGATGACGAAAACATCCGAGAAAAGAAAAGAAAAGAAAGGCACGTACCTTGCCAGTTACAGGCTGCTGAACGATAGCGACTTCCTTCCTTGCTTCTCTGGGAAACCTCCAGGACTACAACGGCAACAAGGGTGTCAACAACATGCTTTTGGTCTTGGGCATCCAGGTCAAGTTTTTTGGAGTCGCGCCGTTACATGGGAATGGGGGGCATTGATGGTGTGTACCTGATCTTTGGAGATGGTCGTCAAAGAGAAAACCATCAATAGGCTTGCAATTCTAGACAGCAAATGCCTCTCGAGTATAAGAAACCCAGCCTTGGCTGTGTAATTTCCTCAACCTTGATATCCCAATTTTGAGTTCCTTCGGGGGCTCGCGAGTGTAAACAGGGTTCTTGGTTCACTATGGTAGTCGGTCAGAAGGTAGATGCAAGGCACCAACGGACAAGACGATTGAGGAGCAAATGGATAGAACCCAAGTAGCTTGTGGAGCATCAGGGAACCAGTCTCCAAGTGAATACACAAAAGGGGAAAGAACTTTGATGTTTACATGCCTTGCTTGACGTGTGGCTGCATTCAAGGAGTGCCCAAGGAGGACCACGCAGCTAGAACGTTGTGTTCGAATGCGAATGGACCGCGGCAGATGGCTGTACCGTTCCAGCGCCACCAGATGAGATTCTCGGCTTATTAGTTGAATGTACGCGCTAAGAGGAACGCTTTAGATGATTGATGGACGTTTGGTGACAACTGTACGTGGGGGCCAGGTAGCTTGTCTCAGACAGCAGATAGGATGCTTCCTATTCGCCCGTCTGTTTACCGCCTCTTAAGACTCGTCTGATCGTAGGGCAGTCTCTTCGAGGCTGAGACGAAGACGTCGGGCCACGACTTTGAGCCCTTGAGACTTTCGGAGCAGTCGTCGAGAGAGTGAGATGAGTTGCAAAGACTCGAGGGCTGGGTTGCTTAGGTGTGGAGCTGAGATGGTAGATGTGGCGGGTTTATAGAAAAGGACTGCTGTAGCGATCTCAGTGGCGAGGGGCTCGCTGGAATCCTTCGGTCATTGGAGGAGGCCGGTGTGAGAATTTTCAAAAGAGTCCAGTCTTGTAGGGATGCAAAGCTGGTCAAATGCGGAAGACCCTGAAAACCTGGTTCTGGTCCCCTCCTGCTTCGGTCCACTCTGACATCGAATGATGATGCTCGGCCCTCTGCTTGCGTCTGCCGTGTGAGGATGGAAAGAGAATTGTGAATGAGGTCTCAGCCAGAGAGGTTGAACCAGACTCTAGACATAGAGAAGTGATTCAATAATGACAAGGGGAGAGGAACAAGGAGGTGCGGCGGGACGGCATGCAGTTAGCAAGAAGTTGAGGAAATTAGAGAATACAGCCAGAGCCAAAAGTCATCAAGCCGTTCTAATGACCCCAGAGTCTAGGCGAAAATGGAAAGTCAAGAAGAGCAAATTGGCTTTGGGATTCTGAAAAAGGTATCCTGAAACTGCTTCTCGAAAAGCGCTTGCCCAGAATAGTCTTTGTCCTTCTTCCCTTACCTTTCTGTGACGACCCTATACCATTGATCGTGTACCTAGGTCGTTATTCGGACTTGATAAGCGCCGGGTAGTCTGGAGGCCCTAGAATCAGCAGATGCTCTGCTTGTGATCTTCCCTCGACACTCCCTGGCACGATCCCTCGTCCGTGATGCGCACTGAGCAGACTCCCGAGCCAGACGGTGACCCTACAAAGGATATTGAGTAGCAAGCGCTGGGTACCCGGCGTCTCATCTAAGGCAGCGCAGCTGTCGATTGGCTGGTTGTCGTCACACTTCATCTCACCCCATCTCATATCCCATGCTCATCTTGCGAGCTCTTGGAGGGTGCTTGAACTGACCGGGGGCCACTCGCCGTCGAGTTGCCTCCAAGCGGCCCTTTCCTCCAACCCCTGCCCCATCACGAACGGGGATCTAGGAAGTGTGGGAGTGTGGATATGAAAAGCCTAGGCAGCCAGGGTGTGTTGGAGGGGTATGTAACTGCAGATGACAAGACAGAAGCCCAGATGCCATTCTCGAATCTTTTGCCGAAAACCAGGCACAGGAAGCACGCGGTCAGGTCCTTCCGAGGGCTGAAAAATGGTGAGCATCGGCTTCTGGCGAGGACATACCTCAATCGAAAGTGAACTGCTAAGAGACATGGCGAACTATCCTACTGGTTTTGCTGCCAACCTGGAATGTTGACCACTATACTCCGTACCCGTCTCGCCATAGGTGATAAGAGACTTATGGTCTTGACTCTCCAGTTTTTCCGAACGAATGCCTCATCAGAGTCATTCTACCGTATCCGCTTGTACCCCTGTTTGAGCCTGTCAGTTTTGCGGATCCTGGTGAAAGCAACGTCCAAGCACTGCTAGACTTGGGACGAAAGATGTGGGAGCTTGTCCCGCTACTTCCCTGCTCGCGCCATTGCGTCAAAGATTATCTTTAACCGTTGCTATCAGCCGTTGTTGTTCGCGAACTCCTCCACCTTGAAGTCTACAAGAAAGCTTATTGCGTCCAGACAGGTGCCGGACGTATCACCTGGTAGGTAATGCGAATGCCTATCTGGCTACAACTTACAACAGTGCTTCCATACCCTAGTCTCTCGCTGCGTTGACGCTGCGGAGACTCCGCCGAAGATACCAGGCCCGTGACGCAGGAAGTTGAACAAGTGCGATTCTCTGGGCGATCTACAATTTCTGGCCATACTGTCTGCAGGCACTGAAGGACCTCTAGGTTCGGGCGCTTCCGCCACTCGGTAGAGGCTATATGTGACTCAGTATTGTCTTGTCATCTACAATGCTAGACAGGCTGTGCCTAGTTGAGGAAAGATGGGTTACCGATGGCGGGTTGCAACCTCACCACGTTCGTGGCCCATGCGTCGTCTCCAGGAGCTAGGCCCGTGACCTTCCGTTGCCGTTGTCAGAAATCCCAAGAAAATCCCAAAGAATTCGTTATACGTAAGGTATCCGTAGAGTGCCCGTTGTGATTCAGGGGCAAGTCGCCAAGCGCAATGGAAACCAGTGGTCTGGACCATTAGACCCAGAAAGGCGCATATGGCAATGCGTCGCGCTCATCTTTGATGGATTGAACGACCCTTTCATCTCGCTTTTGCTCTTCATGCATGCTTTGACTTTGTCACCTCTGCAGCATTCGAAAAGGTTGCAGGGCTAGCGGCCCGCGGCGACACAGCTGCCGAGATGTTCCAGCTGCATGGGAAGTGCCTGAACCATTCCATGCCTCAACTCTCAATTGCGGGCGGCATCATCCGATCAAGCGACGCTGCGTTGCTGCATGTAGGGCGGTGCGGCAAAGCAGAGCCTCGACCGACGGCCACTACCAGTACCGCTGCCACCACCGTAAGACTGGCTTCTCGGCGGGCATGAGGAGACGCCTCTCAAGTCCGGGACAGTGGGCCAGAAAAGACGACCCGACTAAGTCGAGTAATCTCATGCAGGCCCAACTCGGAAGATTGTCATGACAATAACTACGCGATTCGAGGTGTCGCGACAGCGACGACAGCGAAGCGCCCGTGAGTAGGCCGCCAGTCAACATTAATCCTGACGTGCCGCTTGACAGGCCAGAAAAATCAGCCTTGGGTTATTGAATGATCCGCCAACGAGGTGACTTCTCGGGAGATGTGACTTCGTCTGAGAGTTGGGACGAACTAGAGCTGACGATGGGCGATGATCAAAGAGCATATTGCCCAAAGGTTCTGTGTCCGCTTCCACCTTCACTTGCAGGACTCGATCTGGCATGATGCGCAGCCAGGATATGCCATCAAAAAAGAAGCAGCCGCACTTGACGATGGTCTTCCCGAATTTTGCTATGGTGTTCCGCTGCACCCCGCATTTCCTTAGTTGTCGTTGTTGGCCCTGTCGCCGCAAGTCTCGGAGCATCGTCCCTTGAAAACCTTGCCGATCAAACCTGATCTGAATCATCCCAACGTCTTCGGAACTGACAGACATCAGACAACCGAGTCCCCTGGCACCCCGAACAGCAAAGGGACAGAAAAAAGCTCGGCCCGTTATGTTGCGATTTTCTTCTTCCCCAACAAGCTCCACCCCTCTGTCAAGGAAGGTCTCCGATCTATCCAATTCCGGGATGGATCAATAGGGAGTGATCATGCGTGTCACAGTTCACGATTATTATGCGTCTTCTGCCTCGGCCTGCTTCCGAAGCCACGAGTATTGTGCTGTAGAGACTAGAGTAGACCCATAGCTGTCACGGTTTCCCTCGCGTCCAAATACTCCTTCTGCTGTCCTCGAGGCCACAACTGGTTGCCTTGCTTGGTGCAGAACCTCGTGGATTGTGACGCTCTTGGTCGCGTCTACCAAGCAGTCTGGGGTTCGGTCTCATTGTGCCATACGATATGAGCATTGCCAGCTTGCCAGGCACGTGCCAGGCTGAGAACCTGGGCCACAGTTTGAGGTATCATTGTCTTGGAGAGATCGCTGAGAACCTGGGCCACAGTTTGAGGTATCATTGTCTTGGAGAGATCGCCGGCCCCAGCCAACCGACAGGGCTTAGGCAACCCATCCCAGGACACATGGTCGTGCCTTTCCCGCACAAGGCATTCCTGAGCTCGAAGAGTGGCTGCTCTTTCGGTTCTAGCGTAGACGAGCTGAGCCGCTAGCTAACATGATCCTATATGGGGAAAAGGACCGTATTGTGGTGGTGTATGGTCCGCTCCCACCTCGCTCCTCAACTCCAGATTTGCGCAAAAGATGATCGACCCTCCGGCCATCCGGGACGGCGTATATGCCACAAAGGGATCGCCGTGATCTGGCGCACTTCAGTTGAAGCCAGACTGGCGACACTGCCGTCGATCTCGCGACAGGGACCGGTGCTGGACAACGCGACTAGGATGGCGACACCATTTTTTGCTCGTCCAGATCTAAAGAATTCAGCGAGACAACCGTATGGATGGATCCCTGCCGTGTCAGACACCTTCAACTCCGAGTTTCCTGTTGTAGATCCCGAGGCTCCTCGCGATATTCGGCAGTGGACCTGTGGGTTCGCTTCACCCACTTGCCAATCTCTAGGCCTTCGGATGACCTCTTTCCTTGATGCAGGGAATCCGCCACCATACTCTGGCTTCCGCAAACCCTGGCTCGGCACAAATACTCGCAGTGTTCCGGAGGTTCTGCTACAAGACCTAGGCAGGTCTGCGTGGCGTGCGTCGACGTCAGTCAAGAGTTTGATCTTCTCTCATCCTTGCCCTTCTCATGTCCGTTGTTGACCACTCCGGACTCGTTGGTGGCAATTAAGACACGGTCGATCGCGACTGGAAATCAGCCTGTAATCCGCTTGTGGCCGTGAGGCTGTAAAGGCGAGGAAGGTCAGCCGGGCTCCCAGTTGTCCTGCTGGTTGAGTCATGGTTTGGTGACTGTCGGATCGCAGCTTTATCCGACTGTATATCAAAGTCAAATCCGGATGCTATGCTTCAGAAGTCTATAGGTGAGAGATTCGAAGGGTCGGCGCCTTACATCAGTCATGGCGCATCCAGAGCTGAGCACTTGTAAACTGCTTCAGATGTGAGGTCGCCACTAACACCAGGCTATGCGAGGTCCTTGGGACGCTTGCTTTAGACTCGTCAATGCCGGTTCCGAGGTCAGAGGTCGCCACTAACACCAGGCTATGCGAGGTCCTTGGGACGCTTGCTTTAGACTCGTCAATGCCGGTTCCGAGGTCAGAGCAACCTTTCCGCACGTAGAATCTAGAACTCGAGGCGTGGTGCCGATAGGAGCATACAGGTACTGCCTGAATGTATGATGAGGCCAGACCGATCAGGAATTTGACGTCTGTGTTGATGAGCGGTCGACGATCTGGTTAGACGCGCCTCGAACGTAGCCGAGTATGCTCTTCAAGGCATTTCCATCCTCACTTTGTTCTCGTAGTGTAGTTCGTCAACTCCTGTAGGCGGTGTGGTTGACGAAGGCGATTTTAGATGACTAGAAGAGGGGGTGCTATGACAGTGGAAGAAGATGGCGAGCTCTAAGTTTGAGCAGAAGATGAACCCCAAGTAAGTAGGGAAGCAGCGAGGAATCTTTGACAAGCTTGGATAAGACAACAAGAGTACCAAAATTATGAGGAGCCACCGTTGGCCAAAAGCAGTACCGTTTCCTTCTCCTCTTCTTCTTCTCCTGGAAGGATCGTAACGGAAGGCAAGATATCGCCACATGTGTAGGATATCTGCCCACGCCAACGTGTTGGGAACTTGGGATCAAACGGAAGGCACATCAAATGGAAGTAACGGCGGTTCGGGTTCGCTAAAGGCCTCCTGCTGCTCCTCCTTCGGATAGTCTCCCCGAAAGACGGGAAGTGAAGGTTTACACGGTTCCGAACCCTTCAAGGGCAGGCGCCAGCAGAGAGACCGGCCACACACACGAAACAGGAAGGCATGAACTGTCAAGTACCTTCAAATTTCAGAAATCGCATGACATGTTCAGCCCCAACATTTTCTTACCTGCTTTGACACCTTCAGGCTATCATGGCAGTTGGCATCGCCGAATCAAGCGCATCATCCGGTTTGCTTGCGCCTACGACATTGGGACCGATTCTAGAGTCTGATGAATATCAACCCTCGCCGGCGTACCAAACAACAGTTTCTGCTACCGTATCATACTGGACAGCTCTTTAGTAATATCCCGATGGAATGATAGATACAGATCTCGAGATGAGTGTCCGTTTTTGATGATTTCCTCTGAGGCTCACGCTAATCATTTCCATGTGGCTCAGTTGCGCAATTGTATCGAATATTCTGATGGCTCACGAGATTTATATCAGATTCGATTGTGACATACACCTTTGTAACCTAGTTAGCCTACATGCTGAGATATGCGCAAAAAGGCTGGTCTGATCCGGCTCTCCTCGCCATTTTGGTGGAGGCTCTCGCAAGTCTATCATTCTCAACTAGCATTCGACCGATACCATCGTATGCCATTCTGATTAACTATGCTCCCCTTGCAGAGATCTGTGTCCCTTTCCGTCGCAATTCGTTCCTTTCTGTCCTGGACGAACGAGCCTTTCCGGAAAGTTGCCGAAAGGTTGAGGTCAAGGTGGATGGGCAAGGCTTGACTAGGCCCCTTTAGAAGAGACAAGAAACACAGCTGAAAGGTTCAATTTCAATCAAGCAGCCGTCCCAAGTTGGACGCTCGAAGCTGCCTTATCAAGAGAAGAAGGCCACTCCACCGAGTATGACCATAAAATCAACACGGCCCAGGACTCTCCGTACCAGACTGTCAAAGGCCGCGCTCTATGGCTTCCAACCGTGAGTTCATCTGGTAGCCTCCTCAAGACGCCATACAAAGTCAAACTATGACACCCATCGACAACATCAACGTTGTGCGTTGTGACGACGAGAATTGCAATGCTTCTCGGAAACTGCACAACCTCGCAGGACAGGTCCTTATCTAGGTCGCAGTAATGCACTTTCGAAGCCCGATAGCAATCATTCTATCCGTGTATCAACGCGCGAGTCACTGCGAGGGGCTGCTGTCCAATGTGGAGTCGAACCGGAAATCACGCGCAGAACTTCTCCTCGAGCGCATCAGTTCGCCGGCCACGCTCGGCGAAAAGAAAGTGTGAGGGGGGATCGTCCTACCTACTCAACAAGGCATGTGGGCTTGCGGGCGTCCGAACGGGGACCGTTCTCCGTAACGTGAGCATGGACACACGGAGCAACTGGTGATCTCCGACCCGGTCCGGTCGCTTGTAAGTCAAAGAGGACGACCCCGTATTAACGGCGACCTTCAATTTCTACAGCGTTATGTCGCCGAGTTGACACGGTTGTCCATGGTGCTGCTTGCCCAAGCGAAACCCAAGGGACCTCATTCAGTGTAGAAAAACCCGATTCGGATACTCAATTGCGGCAGACGGGCACCGATCGACTGGTCCCATATTACCCGGAATAGCGTTACCAACTACGGCCCCACCATCCCGCGCCGACGTCCCGGCACTGGCGCTTGGGGGAACGGAAGACCATCCAATGGTAGCACATGAAACCAGCCAGCAGCGGCCAAAGCACCGAAGAAATGGCACACGGCAACCGGGCGTATCCGTTCCACACGTCTGCAATTTATCCAAACGGTTTCCTCTGCGATTTGCCCTACCGATATCCGAGCGAGAGTCACGTTCTGGCTCTGTCTTTGCTCAGAAAGATCAGGTGAAGGAAGAATCAAGGCTCCTTATCTAACGGCAGTCAAGTTTACTTCGAGGCGTTCCTCACAAACCGTAAACAAACTTCTCGCAACCGTAACTCCCATCCTGTCAAGCTTTTGCAGCCACGGAAGGCTGATGGAGGGACGAAGGATGGCTAACACCTCTTCCTCTCGGAGCCCCTCCCCGCATCAACGTCAGTAAACCACCTACCAACCAAACTCAGTTCCTCTGATCCAGTGCCGTCTCTCTTCCCTTACCCCCCCCCCCCCCCCCCTTCCACCATATTCTGCCTCGGTTTCGTCAAAGAAGCCGCCCTGTCATCGCCAAAGTCACAACCCAAAAAAGCCAAACAGGCTCACTCCCTGCCCGACCTGCCACTGCTATCTCTCAGAGTCCCACGAGCGACCCAAGCAACCGGCGCACCGGGCAGAGGCTTTCCAAAGAAGATACAGGCAACGATATCGCTGCTAGGAGAGCATTCTCACGCCCACCATAATCAGTAATCAAGACTGCAAAGGAGAAAGATATCCAATGGGAATTTGTCGCACTTGAAAATTTGACTTTGAACTCGCTGAAGCATTACTTCGCCGATCGTGGTAGAAGATTCCTAGACATCTTTAGCTTGACGTTTGCCTCGATCGAATAATAAATCGTCAGCCATGATCCCTTTCCCGCTCGCCCTCCCGTCTGTGCTCCCACCGACTTTGCCCACGTTCATTTGCGCAAATGGATGGATGTCATGTCAGCCAAGCCTGCATGCGCGCATACGTTACCATTACAAGTTTAAGCTCATTACGGTCAGGCCCTAGGTGCAGGTGTCATAGAACAAAGCCAAGCCTGCATGCGCGCATACGTTACCATTACAAGTTTAAGCTCATTACGGTCAGGCCCTAGGTGCAGGTGTCATAGAACAAACGCCAAAGACAAGAAAAAATCATGATGAGAGTCAAGAAACTTTTTAATTTCTGGGAAAACCACCCGCGTTTGGTAGGTCCCCCCTGGTATCATCTAATGCCCGCCCCATTCAAATTGAAGTATGTACAAGTGTTGTTGAAAAAACAGTATGGACCTTTGTCCGGCTTACTGGACTCCGGCCCTCTGTCGATTAGTGCGTGAAATACCAATTTCCCTCCCCTCTTCTATGGACCTGCAGGAACGGTCTCGACGTGCTCTCTCGATTGTAGTGAAACTCAAAAAAACGCCGCTTTGTGATTTAAGGTTGATTGTAGGTAGTGATGATGACTCGTCGAATTTCCGCAAACGGTGTTCAGACGTCAAGTCACGCCAAGCCTGCTCATGCTCATAGCACGAACAAGACAGCGGCGAAACCGGCAATCATGAGCGAGATGGAAGCGCCGCTTGTAGAGGCGGCACCGGGGAAAGGCACGATGGAGCTCGTCGGCGAGGAGGTGGCGGTAGGGGCGGCGCCGGTTCCGCTCATGGTCGCCGCGGTGGTGGTGGAGCAGTTGTCGTGCGAGTCGGGCTTGGTGATGAGCTTGAAGTTGGCGCAGCTGATGCGGGTCTTGTTGGCGAAGTGGAAGACGAAGCTGCGGTTACCGAAGAAGGAGCCGGGGCCCTCGACGATGGAGAGGTAAGGGTCAACGTAGGTCTTTTCGTAGTCGACGGCGACGGCGCCGTGCTTTCCGCTCAGGTCACCGACCTGGCACGTCTCGGGCTTGGAGCTATCGCATTTGGTGGCCTCGCCGCGGATGAAGGGATCGAGATGGGCGAGCGTCTTGGTGCAGTTGCCATCCTCGGGGACGGGGTCAACGTGGAGGTGGTAGGCTGGAGGATGTTAGTCGCAACGAAAATAAGAAATCAAAATTGAGGGATTGAACATACTGAAAGGACCGCCCTCCTTGGGAAGGTTCGAGAATCGGACCTTGAATTCGACACCCTTGCCATCGGGGGCAGTCACGGCGACGATGGAGCCCTGGACGTTGCCCTCCAGCGAGCCGGCCTTGTAGAAGGGCTTCTCGGGAAGGACAGCCTCGTAAACAACACCGGCCGGGTTGGAGACGATGGTGGCATCACCAAGTTCCTGAGAGTCATGTTAGTACGCTTGAATCCGGCATGTGAGTTGAAGACGCGGTGACATACGCCAGTGGACTGGGAAGCGACACGGCCAACGGCCGCGGCGGCGATGATGGAGACGATGGAGAAGGACTTCATTTTGGCGGTGACGATGTTGTTGTAATATCCTAGGTTGCTGAGGAACGGGATAAGACTGTTTGGAATGCGGCAAGCGATGATCAAGGGCGAGCTTGTGAAGTTGGGGATCAAGTGAAGGGTAAGAGGGGTTGGGAGAGCTTCTTAAAAGAATAAGAGACCGTGGGGATGCCCAGACCAAGTGATGATCCAACTGGGGAGGTAGCGAGCGTAGGTTGGAATTGGAAAGCTAATGGAGATCTGCAAACGGCAAGAAGGTATTGGGTTGAGACTCTTTATGGCCCACACACACACTCACACACTCACACGAGAGAGACTCGAGAGAGATGTGATGAGGATGGGACCAACGACAGCCCCCAATGTCACGGTAGCTTGGCACCCTACAGGCCGGTATGTATGCGGAATGCCAACGGCAGGGTGAATGACCACACCCCGGCTGCGCTAGCTCCAGATTAATCAAAGAAAGGAACGAGAGTCAAGAGGAGGCCACAACATCGGATGCTTTGTGCCATCATGTATTTCGTGCGACCAGGGGGGGAAGAGGAGTGGAAGGGGATGTAGTGTAGAAACGGCAGCTAGCCGTCGGCGCATCCAGGCGAAGGAGAAGAATGTTTCTCTCGCAAGGTACGTATCGAAGCTTTGCGCTGCCGGGGTGGACCTTGTGCGCCCTGTGCTACGAGAGAAGAGATGATGGAAGGGCAAGCTGCAATCTGCTAGCTGCAAGAGGGAGAATCATAGGAGGAGGAGGGCCAGGGGTTGGGGGGAACGTCAAAGAGACAAGGCAGGCAGGTGAGTTTGCAGGCGGTAGGTAGAAGGGACCGTCTTGCTCTTTCGTGAGTCGTGACGCGCAAAGGAAAGTTCAACTCAATGACAAGGAGACTAGCCATTACCTCAATAGCCGACGGAGTTTACCTTACTAGTATTGAGTAGAGTACGGATACTTCGGTACGGGAAGCGGAAGCGAACACAACCTCCTTCACTCTGAGTATTCGCAATCAGGATGAATAGATGGTCAATGGCTAAGAATTACGTCCCTGTCTCACGCCTAGAAATCTCCATGACATGGTCGAGCCAAGCAAGCACCAACCTCGGGACTTTTGATAGTGTATCCGTGGCTGTAAGGGCCGGCAGGGGCTGCAAGGCGAGGAAAGGAAACATACAGAGAAGGGCCAGAATCCTGGTAGGCATCTTGCCCGATTTGGCATCTCGCTTGCTGGGATTTGGTGCGGGAACAGCGGAGGGTAAGACAGGCGGGTGAGCTCGCGCCAGGAGCGACGGGAGGGATGGGCGCAAGGGAAGGGAAATCCATTAGCTGCCACTGGGCAGACGAGACTGGGGTAGCAACTCTGAACTCTGGGCTACCACATACATTGCATGGAACAAAAACAAATAGGCGGTTGGTGATGTCTGACTTTTGTTTTCCCATGCACTGCGCCACCTTGGAAACCCATCTCGCCCCTGCCAATCAGAAATAGATTGCGCGCTCCAAAGAAACGTGCCAACGGCGAACACAAGTTCGGGGGCTTTTAGGGGCACGCAGCTCGCAGATGCGTACAGATACCTATGTTACTGAACATGCAGATAACCGCTCAAAGAGCAGGGCAAGGCTGATGAGTCGGTGGCTGTGGAAAGAGGGAGACCCAAAGTAGACAGAGAAGCAGTGTCACTAGATGTCAGACTTGAGCCAAACAAACGACTAAGAGCATTGGTAGAAACATAGGCTGAGGCAGAAACGGCGGTTACCCAGCCTCCTCTTGACGTACAGCTGTCTGTCCGTCCGCCTTGTTGTTGGTTTGAATGATGGAAATGAGCCTCCTCTACCACGAGCCTGGGGAGAGGTAGACCTTGATCTATCCCAGGCACCAAAGAAATTGTCTTTTGGGACTTGCGGGCGCATGAGCGTGTGACGAACTGTGTTGGTGTTGATGGGACATGATGCCCATGGTAACGATGATGGTCATGATGACATTGATGTTGGCGGGCTGAACATTAAGGTGGTGGAGTCGGAATTCCATGGGGGCCTCGCTTCAGGCCGCCATAAGCTGTGGGCCAGTGAACAGTCGGCCTTTCTCAGCGTGCCCGTTGAACAAGCACCTTGTCCCGTCATAGACATCCTGGCTTGCATCCCCGACCCAACCAACGTCCAGCTGAGGGGCTCCTGATGCGAGTTGTGAGTGACATATGTGAGCTCGGATGCTCTACCAGTCGTCTTCTGCATCCAAGCGCGCTGTCTCCTTCGCTCAGATGAGTCCGTCACTTTACTCACTCACTCACTCACTCTTACCACATGGAATCCATTAGGCGCGTTTTGAAAGACAACGGCTTCTACGAGGTCCCGTATTCGACTGACTGTCCGTCCCTTGCCCTAGGACCTTGACCAAAACTGCTGCCAGCATGACAGGGGCTGATGAACGGCCCCCGTAGACTCAGGCGCACTTTGATGCCAGGGTTGGTGACTGGAAATTTGGGGGGTAGTTGCAGACTGCAGATATCGGAACCCTGACGATGAACATCAACCAAACATTTGCTCTCCGCCCCAACGCTGGTTTGCTTGGCTCAGAGCTGGCTTTCTTTTCTTCTGTGCCTCTCTCCCCCCTTCTAATATGTTTCAGCGAGCCCACCCTGGGCCCTTGCAGTTTGTCCAGCCCATCTGGACCAACAAATCTACCAAAGACCAGCTCGGGACGTTTCTTTCAGGTAAGGCGAATGTCGGTAACGATATTCCCATGACCAGCCGTGCCTCCTCCTTTCCAAGACCATGCAGTTGGACTGTTTTGATAGACCCCATTCAATTTCGCTCCGTGGAATTGGCTCGCAAACATGTTATTGAAGCCCTCTGGGCAGGGCTCAGGACTCAGGAGACTCACCTCGGGCTATTATCCATTGGCGAAGCGCAAACGTGCCTCAAACCACCAAGGAGAAGAAGTCTGCAGGGCGCAAGTCGTGCGAGTGTGACACTGGAAGATGCTTCCCCGAACTTGCATCCATCCTCTGTGTGCCCTCTCAATGTGCGTGCTGTGCCACCTTGCCTTGGCTTGCCTAGCCCCTCCAAATTGTTCCAATAAAGTGCTTGTAGCATGCTAATTATCGATGGACTCACCATGTTGCCCTGCCCACCCGTACTGGTTGGTTGACAAGTTTCAAGTTCCATTCCGAGCCGAAGAGCAGCGTTACTAGCGCTGACCGGCTGGGAAGATGCGTGGTGCTTGGGAAGCTTTCGGCGCCAGTGCCTTGCAGATCGCTTGCGACTCTGCTAGTCTCGATTGATTGGCATTCCAACCCTGGCAAGGCTTCCCGATGCAGTCACCAGTCACCCACGTTGCAAGACAAGGTCTTATTGGCCCCCAGGCCTTGGACCACCTCTTGCAAAGCCTTATGAGCGCTAGCAGCTCAAGCGAGAGAGTGCCGGTACGAAAATCCAGGGCAGCGTGGAGTGGGATTGTTCCGATACCCGGTCGTAGAGAACCATCAGAGATGCGCCACCCTTTGGTGGTGTTTCGAAAAGGGTGCGGCTGTCAGCTGCAGAGCGATCTCGCCGTGTGGAAAGAGTTTTCTTATTCGTAGCCAAGCTTGAGTCGAGCATCACTCATAGGGTCGAATGATTTTGTCTATGACCTGAGCTCGTCTTCTCATCCTATCCTGTCAACCTCTTCTCGCCATGCAGCGGTGACGGCCATCGTCCCGTTTGTGCAATCGGCACCTCTGTGCCACTGTCGTCAGAACATTCTCTCTGCCGACATGACGAAATATCAACGCTTGGTGTGGACGTCTGTATCCAAGGCACAGGATGGAGGACATGCTCTCCTTTGGGCTGTCTTCGGGGATGCACAAAGGACAGGCCAAAGGTCTGTTCACCTCTCCTAAAAGCTTGAGTGTACTGCGAGTGTTTCAAGAGAAACAAAATCTGGTGATACCCAAAAGTTTGGCGATATCGTATAGTTCCGTTCGGAGGTGGACCATCCGTCTGGGTCCAAAGTTGCTGTTTCAGCTTGTCATGTCACTGCCCAAGCGATGAACACATTGGCGGCCCTGCCGTTTGGCTGCTTTGCCAGCTTGATCCCAGGCTACCAGCAACAGATGCCGCCCAGTCAACTTCTTATCAGGCGAACTGCTGCCCACTGGTCCTGTCAACGTCGGTGACAAACGGCCGTCTCTTGGCATTCGATCTTTCGTGGTTTAAGCTTCTTCCACATCGATGCACCGTTTCTCCACTGCTAGATGGGCTAGAACCGTTCGGGATCTGAGCAGAGCCTTCACTTAGCAAAAGATAGCACAGAACACCGTTCCCACTCCACTGCTAGATGGGCTAGAACCGTTCGGGATCTGAGCAGAGCCTTCACTTAGCAAAAGATAGCACAGAACACCGTTCCCAAGGTGTCAGGTGACGGTTTAGCACGTCTAGCTCAGACTGGCCTCGGGCCTGATTCATTGCACGCTAGACCTGGCGTCACCTTGTGCAGCTTCTCTTCATGGATTTTTCCCCTTGACCAACATGCGCTTGCGAATTCCGTCGTTATTTTTCTCCAGTATCGTATTGTCCAAGGTCGGGGTAGAGGGAACGCGTTTCAGGCTTCAGGGTTCTGAGCAGACGAAACCATTGGGGGCCGACTTTGCCTATTGTGAAAGTCTATGTGGGACGGCAAGGACGGCTACATCGGATCCTTCCGACTGGGAACCTGAGGCGACTAACGACTATAGTCGTCGGCAGAGCTTCGTATTTTCCAAAACCATGGTTGATTGGGGATGCGTCTGCTGCGATCTCGCGGGGACGATCCGATGCACCTCGAGATCCGGGAAGGACCACATCCGTCCAAATTCGGCGGGACACGCAGATTTCCCTAAAGAGCCATTGCAGATTGACTAATGGTACATATCGATCTTGAATCTTAAGCTGCTTTAGTGTGAAAATGAGCATGTGTCCGCCGTGTGGAATTGGATGATTGAGTTGCAGAACAGAGGTCCGGGCACAGACTTGCGAGCGGCCCCACCCGCGCCGAGGCGTGGCCGGGCGGTAAACTCGGCGGGTCTTTCTTCCGTCCATGTGTGGCTAGTGAACGGCTGACTGATATGTGGCTGAACCGAACAGTGGCTTGAACTTCAAGCCTGGTTAGTCAGGCAAGCTTATTGGACGTCACCGAACTGGCGTGGAGCTCGGCGAGATAGGTAGCAGCAACAGCCTCGACCTTCGCGATCACTGCCAACGACGCCGCCACACGCATCACGACCCAACGACTTCGCACTCGTGCTTCATCAGACATACAGCCAAGAAATCAGGCCTCCGCCACAAACCGCAAACATGAAGCCTGTCGTCAGTGCCATGCAAGCATGGCAATGGTACGCCCTGCCCCGATGCAGCACCCCCCTTGAGCCAAGCTTCCGAATACTAATTCGCCTTCGTTCGATAGCACTGTCATCTCCGTTTTCGCGATCGTTATCCTCGGTGTTCTCGGCATCCTATTCAAGCAAAACCACCCCGAGCTCGTCGGTAGCGAGGAAGACCCCAAGGACGGCGGCGCTGTTGCGGGCACCATCTTCGTGTCTGTGATGATCTACGTCGTACGTCACGCACCCTCCTCCTACACACATCGGCAACAAATGCACGCGCTTGTGAGGAACCAAGTTACTAACCGCCAACACTAGGGTTTCTTCGTTTTCTGCGGCTTCCAGGGCCTTCTCCACGTCCGAGAGAATAGACGAGGTGCGATCGCATTGTAATGTTACGGAGAAGGGGGTTATTGGAATGTGCAGAGCATGGCATCAAAAACACATTATGGTTTTCCTGGCGTTTGGCATCACGTTGTTGAATTTTTGTACGGCACAGCTCAGGCACCCGCCTCTGCCTGCGGTGGGTTCCCCAGCCGGATGAGAGGAGGAGGGCCAGCTCTGTTGAGAGCGTTGTTCCTGGACTTGAGCCTGTCGTTATTAGCATGTCGCTATGAAAGAGCAGGATGGAGCATGGGTTTCGATGTACGAAAGATATTCTTTTTAGAGGCCCGCGCGGAGTTTCGTATATAATGAGCAAGCGTAAGCTCTTGTTATCAAAGGCGCGGAGTGAAACCTTTTGAACAACTCTCTGCGCTCGTGTACAAGTTCCGACTTGGCCAGATACACTCTCATAGTGAGGTGGCTTGTGGGCCTGGGCGAGAAACACATCTCGACGACGGAGACGTGGAAATGAGCCTGCAAGTCAGAGTATTCATTCTCATCACATCATTACGGCTATTACTTACCATGGTGTGATATTTCTTCTATTCTACACTGTGCATAGCCTGCTATGTCTGATGCTTCGGCTAGAGTCTACCCATCATATTCCTAGCTACATCGAGGATTTGGTACTTTACACTAGACGTGATGCAAACTACGCTTAATGATTGAGAGATCACTTCAGCTAGCACGTTTTCAATTGCTAAGTCCCTCTGAAGTGTGTTTATTGCACCGGGCTGGCGTGGCGAGCTAGGTATATCCGAATGGTCTGCCGGCTCTAATCTACTGACCCGGATTGGAACCTACTATTTATGCCATCAATTCTGAAGAGCGGTGATTTCATGATTGCCAACTCCGTATTGAGGAGTAATGTGTGCGTATACTCCAAAAAGTGCGGGAGATTAAGGAGGCACTTGTCTGCGACTTAACGCGTGGTAATTGGGTTGATTTGCAACATTCTGCAAGCGTAGTTAGCAGTGTATTTCAAATGAAGTAATTGTTTTGCCGAACTGCTACTGTTTCTGTGAGATACAAAGACAGTTCGAGGCAGGTACTTTGAGCTTGCGTAACTACACTGAGGCTAACTTGGGCGATCGCATCTTCCCTTTTCATATATCAACTAGTATGCCACAAATGTGCTGGAGTCTACAATAATAACCTTCACTTCAAGGGTTAGAGAAATATGTGAGTTGTGGTTCTAGCTGTTAAGGGAGCAGACGAGGTAGAGGTAAAGAATCGACTGAGCAACCTACCTCCACAACCTCGCTCTTACTCTTACTCTTGAGAGGCGAAACGTCAAAACAGCAAAAGTCAAGAAAAAGGGTTCAATCTGTTCTTCAAGCTCTTCGTATAGCTATCGCAGTGACTGATATTCGTGCGAATGTTGGTTGTGATTTCCGTTGCTCTGTGGTGTTGTGCGGCCTTCATGGATGTCACGATGCCCTCATCCCAGCACATACGACCATACCCATTGGAAAACTCGGGATCCCGTCCGCTCTCCCATAGATAAGCCAATGAGGGCCGGATTAGTAGTTGGGTCGGTGACGACCAGCGAATACCTGGTGTTGTATGTTCTTTTGCTTTTTGGATGTTGATGGAGTGAGTGGATAACGAATCTTTGCTAGTTTGGTCTTCTTGCTCAGGTCGGTGACGGCCGAGATACTCTAGCGAAGTGAGAGGGACAAGCAAGTATGTGTCCTATAGTCTCTGCCTTGCTTTGCTCTATTTGAGAGTTTTCTGGTGTCTAAGTGGACTTCACAGGGACCGTCTCAGTAGACCTCCTTCCCCTTACGAGGATGGCAACTTATACCATAACGTGACTGCGCTCCTTGCCGGTTGAACAGTAGGCTGTGAACAAGTACATAGGTGATGCTTCTAGATGGAAACGATGGCCCATGGGTATCCTCAACCCATAAGGACCCAAAGTCGCGGAACCCATGAGTAGGGAACAAACCATGAGAACCTGAATTACTGAAGTTCTACCTATGGAATCCAGGTCCGTGGGGACCCAATGGGTGATTACCCGGAAACCCACGAGTGTCTCCAGTTCGACACTTGAGGACTTTTGGACCCCCAATTTCACAGTCACCCAAAGCCCATTAAGTCCCGTTTACCTATGGGAACCCAAATCGTGATAACCCATAGGAACCCACGAACAGCCAAACCCGCACCAGATTACAAAGACTTAGGTGTGAGACCACCACTGAGCTCGCCACTGACCCTTCCGTCAACCACCATGGCTGCGACTTAGAAAGATCGCGCGTATAGTCAGTAGAAGCGATAACAAGCTTCGAAGCTCGGCACAAAATCTACCAAAACCTGCATAAGACAATACGTGAATTGTCACCAAGACCAGTCAGAGGCCCTAGAAAAATACACGAGCCTTTTACTTCAAAAGACTTAGATTCAGGAAAATGATGTTTGACTCAGAGAATCTGGCCTATAGTGGTTGTTGATACTGTTAACCTCGCTGCTTTGCGCTTAGGGAAGAAGCTGATTTCGCACCCGACGGAGACATGGCACCAGAGACAAAAAGTCTCACATATGGTGTCCATATCCGGGTATCATGTGTCGAACTGAGCCAGTACGAAGGTGCCGTATAGATCAACAGTCTTCTAGCCAATGTGGCCAGACCGCGATGATCTACATTCATCGCGGCATATTAAGTTTAGATGAACCTGAGCCGGTTTTTTAGTGAACACGAGGCGGCTATTCCGAAGATGGTTCGTCTCGTCCTGTGGAATGGGATGAATCCGTTTAAGTCCGGTACTGCGTACAAACATTACATATTATAAAGCCGCAGTCCTCGCATCCAGTCGAGTGTACCCTGCCAACCCTGTCATATTATACATGCTCCGACCCCATCGATAACCTCCTACTCTCCCCCTTAGCTCCAGCCTTCCCGTAAAGCTCATAATCCGTGTAGACGCTACTGATCGCGACCCTGGCGGCGGGAGGCGCGTTCCACTGAGATGGACCGCCTCCGTCGTGGTGGTGCTGCTGCTCCGCGGCCGACCAGGCGTCCGAACCGACGCGGGAGACCTTCTTCGCCGTGTTATACGTCGCGTACGTCTCCCCCGTACCCGCAGAGGATTCTCCATCTCGCAAAGGCGTGCTCGTGCTCTGAGGGAAGACGCACCGCCACGCGGCTCGCAGGGTGGGCATTCCAAGGACAAGGTTGCCGACTAGCATTGCGGTACTCGTCTCGCGCACGCACCACATAAACCAGACGAAATCGGTAGAATAGGTGAAGACGGCGACCTTGGTAAGGATTGCGCAGAGCATCTGTTTGAAAGACGTCGGTGAGCAAAGCGAGACTAGTATGGCGGGAGAAGATGGGGCCTCTTCAGGATGGAACTTACGACAAATACGCCCATGCTAAAGAGACAGATGAGAAGGAGTTTCCTGTAGCGGTATCGAATTTAGCATTCAGATTCTATCCTGGGTGAGGATCCTGTCGTCAACATGCAACCAAAAGGGTGTACGTACTTTCCGATTTTCATCTTTAACCGGCTGATTAATGTGACCGGGATTAGAAGAAGCACCAGATCCGTCGACAGGTTCATTATGATTTGTAATATGTTGTAGTTCTTCCATGTCAAGCATTCCGCTGAAGAAGCAAGAGTCAGTTTCCATCCAATAACCCGTTTGCGAAACAGCTGATGTGATGCCATCAGCTTCCAATCTATGAAGAGACTCACCGTTTTCTGGCTGAAGCTCCATGTACTCGGAAAATGGCCTGCACCACCCTCCGTATAGTGATACGATGACTGCAACGTATGCAAGCCCGGTGTAAGCTGCAACGCTGACCCAAGTCTTTCGATAATGGCCAAAGAGACTGCCAACAGTGAGCACTTTGTGCTAGAGAAGCGATGGCAAAAGGGTTGCAGACGTACGTCAGGCGATTGTATAATAGCAGTAAACAACACTTATTACCCCAAAGTGTTGTTTGCATCGATGTTTCGGATAGAATGTTCAGTATTCCCATCTTGCGACCAACTGCGGCATACTCTTCCGGAGTCAGGGCGTCAAAGTCGGTCGTCGCAACGATGTCAAAGTAGATGTACAGAGAGGAGATCGAAATCGTGTATATTAGCTGAGAGATAGCAAGTTAGCTTCAGCCGCAACAACTTAGATCAATTGTGGGCATTATAAATAGCTGCGGCAGGATTGATGCAAAGACTTACGACTATTATAGCCATCAATATGTCGTCTATAGTCATTTTGTCGAAGAACCTGCGCTTGCGGACGAGGTACTGAGACTGACTGAACGGAATATCAGCGTCTGGATTCGGGAAGTATCGAATATCATTTACTCACTATCTCATTACGACCGCACCAATCGCCAGGCCGTACCAAACCCAGCACTCTGCTCTCGTGCTGAGTGGCATAGCCATCGCGGCGGTGCCTTCGGCGGAATGCCCGCCAAGCTGGTGTCAAGAATATGAGGCTCGCTGATGACCAGATGATGGCGATACTTTTCCAACCCCAGAACTCTCTTTTCTCTTTCTTTCTCTCGATGAATCAGTTTCCGACCCTCCATCAAAATCAAGGGCACTGGCAAGGTTCCACAGGGAGGGGTTCACTCACGACTATATCGCCGGCGCGGTAGTCTGTCGGAACGATGAGGCATTCCAGTCCCGATAGCCACTGAACCGCATGCGGCTTTCGAAGGGGGGAAGCATGGTATAGGTGCCCAGAACAAACCCACAATTGCGAGCCTGCCTTGACCCGTTCGACACAAAGATGGCTTTGAGCCAACGACGAACTCAAAAGCCACAATCGCAAGCTCGAGGTGAGCGGTTCTCCAATGACGGGGGTTTCGCCTCCATATATCGACGTTGGCACTAAGCAATGCGTTAACAGTCGATGGAGAGAAACACACGGATGGCTGGTAAAGGGCCTGATTCATGTAGTATCTGGCTGCATTCGGATGGGGGATCGTCAGCTATCGCTGGTGAGTTTTAGCGCGAGCACTACAAAGCACCAAACATCAACGGGGTCGGAAGCTTCCCCCATTTCCCGTTCCCCCTCGTGCCCCTCAATGGCGACTTCAAAGACATTCTAAGGGGGGAACCACACGACTCAGACAATACTGATTCTGTCCTCCTTCTCCTTCGGACCCGCAACGGCGACGATGCCCAGGAGGCGATCACCGTCCGTGAAAGGTCATTTCTATTTCCAAGCTATCCAAGCGTTCGCCGAGACAAGCGATGGGAGAGCCGAACTTGTTGACCCCCGAATCTAAGGGACGGAGACAGGTCCGACTCGGGCACATGTGTGGTTGATCACCTTCAGGTTATCGTCGAAAAGGGTTTGCCCGCCCGCCCGCGAACCCGCCCATGCCGCGTCGCATTAGTGTCTCCCGCATTGCTAGTCTCGTCTGTCCGGCACTCCATAACCGATGACGGACTGGTCATGTCTGGCGGGCGCAGAATTACTATCATCTCAAGCCCCTGCTGTGTTTCTCGTTGTCCCGGCCAAGGTCTGGCCAGGAATTGAGTACGCGAGTGTCTCGCCAGCTGATCACATCACAGCAGCCGTCCGATGTAATAGGGTGGCTCACGTTGTGAGAACGCCACCGCTCAGCCACGGTTACCTGCAAAACCCGAGAATCAGGTTCGTCAACGGCTCAATTTGCACATTGACTCGGGTTTTCGTTTAAGTCGGTTATTGCAACCACTGAGACGGCGGGAAGGGAGAGTGGACTCGGCTGATATTGCTATATAACCGACTGTGATACCCTAGACGAAGCGAGATTTATGGACACGGGGATGATGCTGCATCTCAGATTCGAGAATTGATCGTGTTCTTCAACAGGTCTTTCGGGAAGCTCGGGCGGCGTCAATGGTGGCTTCGGCCAGACGAGCATGGCCGAGTCCGTCTCCTTCCCGTGGTAGCCCTTGATTCGAAGCATGCTTGAGCGTTCTACACGGCGGTACTGGTAGGCCGACATCCGGCATGGCTGGATCATCGTCGCTGACGGGCTTGGGAACATAAAGTCCACGTCGCACAAGGGGAAGAAGGGCTGATTTCAGCCACGACATGATCTGGCCAGGTCATCAGACGAGGTATGGGAAGTTCCGCTGATCAACAGGTGAATGAGTTCCAAGCCAGGCTTCCTGATGAAGACGATGGCGACATACGGTGAGATGATTGTTTGTCTAATAACAGTTGCTGGCCAGGTCAAAACCTGGCAACGTAAAGTACTCAAAATATCCAGTCGAACCAGCGTGTGAGCATGACACTGAGATGCCTAGCCGGGCAGATCATTTTAATCTGCACAAGACGGGCGTAGAGATGAAAGAATTTATGGCCAATGAGAGATATAGGGAATGATCCCATGCTTGGGGGAGTAAATGGTCTGTCGAAAGTGGCCTAGTCCTCACGTCGAGATCGTGAAATATGAGCGATGTCGTCAGAGTATCGTGGTTTTCCAAGCTATTTCAAAGACTGCACGCAGTTTATTAGGTCAGGTGCTCAAGAGCAACTTCTGACGGGTCTGCAATGACAAGCAACTTATCCATGTTAGAGCTGAGAGATGGTAGGGGTTGGCCTTGTGAGCCTTTATGTTGCAGAGCCTCAATATGCTATGCCATTCTGTTCCCCTAAGAGATAGGAATCGCAGTTTCCTCATTGCCGTTCTGCATGGCATTGTCCAAGAGATTGATGGTCCAGATTTCCGGATGCTGAACTTCGGAGCGGCTTACAGCTGATCCATGGAAACGGGGGCAGCGGGCCTTGATCAGATCGAGAACCACCGATACCTCACGTGATAAATTGATTATGTCATGCAGTCTCTGACTTTAGGTAAGCATCAGGAATGGGAAGGCTCCTTGGCTGACATAATCCAGGCTCAATTCTGACCTAAGCTGTCTGGCAGACTGGCACCGGTGCTCATGATCACTAGCCATAGTGTGGCGGTGAGAGTATTGCGCCATCTAAGCTAAGGGACCTGCTCAGAAGCCACGCCCAAATACTTGAAAGTGACATGGTCAGGTGTTGAATACTCAGGTAGGTATCCGGGCCGAACTCCCTCGCGTTCGCTCTTCACAACCACCTCGCCCAAAGACGACCGTCCCTTTGGAAATTTTCTCAGGAATGCAGATCGCCGGGTGCCGGGGCCTGGGGTACCATGGCCGGGGCAGGCCGCAGACCGACCCAACGGGCCCGGCAGAAGACTTGGGCAGACTTTGACTTCTGGGCCGAACTATGTACGGAGTATTCGTACCTCTGTATCCCGTACAGAATACTGAAAGATGGTTTGGTAATGATCCCAGGTAGGTAGAGCCAATCATGACGAGTTGAAGAGCTCCATCATGTGGCTACTTTGACGTAGTTCTCTCTTTTTCCCCCCGAGGATCCAAGGGGCCAACACCGAGTTTTCGGTGTCGCCGCTCCCGCTAGCTCCAAAAGCCAATTTGGACCTTGTTCGGACTCCGGAGCGACAAAAAAAACATGAAAAGCTTGGGTGGAGAACTTACCGAAGCCAGCCAGCTCGAGGCGAAGGGGCGAGGGGGCGAAGATGTAAAAGCAAGTCAGAAGTCTGAAGAGCGCATGTCCAAGATTATAGCGAAATCTCCGACTCAGTTGGATTCCCGGCGCGCGTGCGGCTACCTTGTTCCTGAAAGGTTGTTAGAAACTGAGCTCCTGACTGGCTAGTTGTTCGGCAGAGTTATCATTACGTAGGATCATCACCACTGTCCCCATCGCCCATACGTCTGGGAAATCCGGGGTAACGTCTGCTAACTATTCTGCGGGTATCAATATCCAGTACTCCGTAATGTATAAGAAGTCTACCTACCGAATACTCCAGTAGATTTGACCGCTAGGCGAGGAGACGAATGAGGCAGGAAATCATTGAAAGAAATGAGTCACGGCACTTTGCTACCTTCCTCTCTTACTACCTGGAGGCGAGACCATGTCTCACAGACAAGCCACCGGGGCTTAAAAGAGCAAGAACAGCTCAGGGAATGCACAACAGTGGGAATTGCAAATTGCTTGAAAATTTCCTTTGCCCTAGATTTTCTCATAGAGCTCGTCCAGGCCTACCTAGGTTCCTCGCCTTCGCTCTTCGGCTGAGACGAAATTCGCGCAATTGCCAAGCAACCGCCAACACTACCGCCCCCAGCCTAGAGATACCGTATTTTCATGGCCGCCCCGGACCAGGCGAAGCGGATGGGCTACGAAATGAATTGCGCAATCCCGAGGCACTGCCAGGAAAGACAGGCCAAGAAGGGGGGGTTTTCAAGTCAAGTGTTCACAAATTGATCAAACAACGCCGGGGTAGGTAGGTGGTTCCTGCAACCTCAAGTATCCGTAGTGCGAAGTAAACCCATGGCCAAAGAGCATGCAAAAAAATCCGGGGTAGGACTGCATAGTGCAGCACTGCAGACCCCCTCCCAATTCTTTACCGCTCGCGGCTGGATTGCACACCGAAGCGCAATATCGAGATGCCTTTCCATTCGACCCCGTCTCTTTGCTTATTGCATAAGCCAGCGAATAAGCCGTCCCTGCTTTGTGAATGTCCCTCCTTAAGGTAAGTTACGAATACCTGATGTACACTGCTCCGTCTTGGTTCCTGTCACACCGAATGTGCGTTTCACACTTACACTTACACTTACACGCACCTTCCCCTCTCGCGTGTTTGCCATGAGGCACGAAGCGAGCGGCTAAAGAATTGCCATCAAGTGACTCGAATTCCCAGGTAAACCGTAAAACGACAATGGCACCCCCTCGGGACTTTACCTATTGGGGTCCAGCAGCCGGGGGTGCGAAGAAACGCTGTTCGTGCCTGGTCTTATTCAGCGGGTGCGTGGTGTTTTCGACTGGATGTCGTTATTTTCATTACGTTTTAGTTTGTCAACGTTTGCCCCTCCACACACGGTACACCCCTCCCCTCTCCCATGACTCTCCGCCAACGCCTGTGAGAATCGAGGCCTCGTTTCAATTTTCTCTTCCCCCAGCTACAGAATTTTTTCAGGCTTGGCCCACCTCTTTTCCCGCCAGCGCGGTCTGAGACGTAGGTACATTCTCCACCGCTACAGTGGACAGAGGAGGAGAAAATTTATGGAAGAGCACCTGGACAGATCGGTGGACCGAGAGGCCAACAAGCTTGCAAGCTCAAGCAAGGTCGTTCGTCGCCGAGGCCGTGCGTGAGCAGCAGCGAACGCAGGCGTGCACACCCCCGGGGATGGCGCGTATGTGGAGAAACCAGCCAGCCAAGGAGCCTGTTGCAAGAAAAGAATGATTGACCTTGTGATCAACTTTTTTGGCTGGCGCACCCTACGTCAGGCAAGGCCAAGGATGACTTGCGCCGTAGTTGGCAAAGGTCGCGCAATAGCTGCTGCTTGCAGCCGAGAATCCCATCCTTGCTCTTCCTCCTTCCCTGTGGGAGGGAAGCACCTCATACGGACGGATACCTAGGAGGTAAAACAAAGACCAGATATTGTGTGCTACTTGCTGTGTGTTCCTTCTCCAGTTCCTATAAAGCTCCTTTGTCCCGTCAGGCACCACCCCTCTAGCTCACCAATTTCCACCATACACACATATAAACCGGAGAATCTGTTTTCCTGAGAAGTCATAGACTCATACCTTTGCCTACCTGACTGCACCATTGACGCACCAATTCAACTCGACAATTCCATCCGAAGAGCCTCGCGCATTAGACCATCTTAGACGGAACAGCACGAACGTCTCCCGAGTCTCATAAAGACGTTTAAACCATACACTTTTCCCACACCAAATCCCACATCACAAACTCCGAAAATGCTTGCTTCACACGGACGCGGCGGTGCCGGCAACATGGCCGACACCTCAAAGTCGCCCAAGATCACCCCCAAGGACCTCGAGACCCCGACTCTGAAGACATCTGTCGTCACCACGGGCCGCGGCGGAAGCGGAAACATGGCCAAGAACGCCGATCCCTACGAGACTCGTCTGCGCCAGGACGTCGAGGGGTAAGTTTCTGTTCCCATTGAAAATCGAAGAGAAGCAAGCAATAGTTCAAAAAGCTGACAAGAGTTTTTTGATCCAGTGTCCCACGACGCGAGAGTGCCGGCGCATCCCACTTTGGCCGCGGTGGTTCAGCCAACGTCTTCAAGGGATCACCCGAGGAGGAGGCCGCGGCCAAGAAGGCCAAGGCTGAGGGCGCGAGCGCCGTCGACGACGACGAGTCTGCTACCACCCTCCGCAAGAGCAAGAGCCCGTCACCGCGCCGCAGCTCCGAGGAGAACGCCAACGGTCTCGCCGCCAAGGGCAAGCAGTGGTTCAACAACCTGACCAAGAAGGCGTAAAGCCGTCATCTGCTTCGTTTCTGTCTGCTTTTCTTTCTCTCTTGCGCCCCCAATGGGCGGGATTTACGTCTGCATTGTGTCTCTTCTCGGTATGAGGAGTCATTAGCGATGGCGTATTGTTGAGTTGGTGACCACGCTTGGACGCCACACGGCGTTGAAGCCTTCTTCATCGTTTCGGCGACTTGATTGTCTAAGAGGACTGTTTCTTATTGGGCCACCATTGTACAGCGCTTTTGCGACGGAGTTTTTATGGATCGGGGATTTTCTTTTCTGCTGGAGGCAAACAATAAGCGTCGCTAATGGTCAGCGACTTGGTTTGAAGATGTTGAAACGACACAAAAAAAGTTCTTGATACCACGGTCGACATGATTTTCAAGGATAGTTACGATACGGGAAGGAAAAGCATAATGGAATTTTTCACTTTATCCACACAATTTGCTCGTGCTCTGAATGATGATGTCTTCCTTGACCATAAAATCTAATTACTCTTATGGTACCATCACAGGAACGTACTTTGAAGCTGCGACACTTAAAGTCACCATCATTGCCATTATGTTTCCTTCTACTGACGAGGACTTATCAGAGGATTCATTTGATTCGACAAAAATTGTTCTAAAGCATTATCGTCTCTAGGAAGATGCCTTTTAAAGATTGATGCTATGTCGCTTTACTTCACTCCTTTTTCATACGCCTTGTAGGCGTTGTGACTTGATACATGAATATCCATCCACTTTTTCAATCACCACTTGCCGCTCCCTGATTTTTGTCCACAAACCTCCGGCTCGTTGCCTGTTTAGTTCTTCGTCAAACGATGAATTTCTGACAGGTAGAATCGGAGATCCTCGGGGTTGACGCCCGGGGTGATGCCTAACATGATATTATCAGCCTTCTTCCTTTCTCCGTACAAAATGCAGCGAATAAAATTGAACGCATCGACTTACCGTGGCCGAGGTTTGCAATCCATCCCTTCTTTCCGTTACCGTAGAAGCCCTTGACCATGGTCTCGACAGCCTCCGTCATGCGCTCATGGGTACCGTACAACACGCCAGGGTCTGCGTTGCCCTGGAAAGTAACACGCCTGTCGCCGCGAATCTTGACAGCTTCGGCGGGGTCCTGGAGCCAGTCGAGGCCGATGACGTCGTAACCAATGTCAATAACGGAGTCGAGAGCGTGCCAGGCGCCCTTGGGGAAGACGGTCATGGGGACGCGCTCCAGATTCATCTCGGCGAGCTTCTTGGGGAGGTTCTCGGAGATGTAAGACAGGTACGGCTGGCTGAACTCCTTGAAGGCCTCGGGGCCGAGCTCGCCGGCCCATGAGTCAAAGACCATGATCATCTGGGCGCCGGCCTTGACTTGCAGCGCGAGGTACTCGACGCAAACCTCGGCAATCTTTTGCAGGAGCGCCTTGGACTCCTCGGCGTAGCGGTAGATCCACGTCTTGCTCTGCATGAAGAGCTTGGTGCCGCCGCCCTCGACCATGTAGCAGAAGAGCGTCCAGGGGGCGCCGCAGAAGCCGATGAGGGGCACGCGGCCGGCGAGCTTCTTGCGGGTGAGGGTGATTGCCTTGTAGACGTAGTCGAGCTCGGAGGCGACGTCGACGTTCTTGGCCAGGACCTTTTCGTACTGCCCGTCGGTCGGGGTCTTGAGCGGCTCGGGGAAGTGGGGGCCCTTCTTGTCGACCATCTCGACCGTCATGCCGAGGGCCTGGGGCACGACGAGGATGTCGGAGAAGATGATGGCGGCGTCGAGGAGACCGGCGAAGCGCTCAATCGGCTGCAGGGTCAGGGTGCTGGCGACCTCGGGGTCACGGCAGCAGGCGAAGAAGTCGCGGGTGCCCTTGGCTTCGTGGTACTCGGGGAGGTAACGGCCGGCTTTTTCGCAGGTTGTCAGGAATCGGCTGTCCATTCGTTCATGTCCTGTTTCTTAGGACGGGAAAGGGCGGGTTACCTTGACGCATGATCCAGCATGGCGGGCGCTCGACCGTCTCGCCTGGAAATGAGGAGGTCAGCATTTGACTAGACGAGTGGACTAGGCGTAGATACTCACCTCTTGCTGCGCGCAAGAGCAGGTCGTTCTTCAATGGCTCAAATGTCAACTCCATCTTGTCGGCCTGCTGTGGGAATTGAAGGTGCTGATGGTGGGTGTTGGAGATGCCGTTCCACGGATCATCCAAAAAGTGCCCCGCGGTTCGGTCGCTGCAAAACCCCGCCAAAGCTTCAGGACCCCCGTCCACCGCTTCCTGTGTGCCTCCTGCCGCTCTGCGCACGTCGCCGAGGCAGCCGGTCCGGCAGGTGCACCAGCCACGTTGTGGCTTGACTCCGCCATTGAGTGGGCCCGCAATCCAAAGCTCTTTCGACCTCTCTGGCAATTCCCATTTATCGCTTCTCTTCAAACAGCTCTGAATAGTCTCCGTCGAATCAAATCGAGCCAATTGGCAATCTCCGCCCGCGACTGAACACGCAAAAGCAGCTTCACAACCTGGACGACAATGATATAGTCCGAGCAAGATCAATTGAATACCTACGCGCCCGTCGCCATTCGATCCCTTCGCGACCGGGCCGCAATGCCGCCGTCACGACCAACCGTCCGATGCTGCCGCGCCGTCCAGCAACAGCTTCAAGCTTCGCCCGACAACGTATGGATCACGGATGGTCTGTTGGCGAGCGCCTTTGAGCGCTACTGCCACGTATCACGCCTCACGAGACGGAAATCGAGCTCTGTACCCGGCCCGCTGGAGAATCGACGAAGACTGGGCAAAAGGAGGATGGCGGAAATGCACATGGACGGACACTCGACCCTACCACCCTGGGCCATTGAGTTCCCGGTGGACCTGAGTCAATGGAAGTGGCAACCGCCGACACTTCGTACATCAAAGGACCAGAGGGATGATCTACAGAGCCAGCAAAGTCAATCTCTGCTATCTCGTGTTTACAGATGGTCGGTGTCAGAACAACAGATGAAGGAGGAAGAAGTTGACCGGAACGGCATTGAGGATGCGCCAGCCTCCACATTTGACGATCGGTTGTCTCAAGCCCGAGCCGCCGTTGCGGCATCGACACGAAACGCGATCGACTCGGGTTATTACGACTTTGTCGAGGCCCTTCAAAAGGAACTGAAATTGGGTGCCCTCGATCCCAGAACCGTGGACTTGGCTGTTTCGAAATTCCCCGAGTCTTTGAGCGGGACAAGCGCTGACGGCGAGACGGTCAGCACAGCCATTGAGCTGTTTCTTTCGGCCGTTGTCAACGGAATCGCATCTTCGAAAGTTTTGGGCCCGTCAGAGTTTGATGCGAGCTTTTGGAATCTTGTGCTGAATCGGACGTCTCAGCTGCGGGCCAATGACGCGACGATTCTCTTATTCCAGGCTACGCTCGATGCGGTCCCTCGCCCATACCTGAACGACGTCCACGAGGGCATCATTGCGGCAGTGCAAACACTAGCCGTGTCTCAGTCGACGGGGCGCAGACGGGCCGCGGACATTGGCGTTGCGCTCCGCGAATTGTCACCCGACAACCACGGTGCGCTTCTCGAGGGGATCGAAACCGCAGTCTACCAAGGTTCGGCAGTCTTTGAGGAGGAAGCCCGCCAAAAGCTTCATTTCCTTTGGCTGCAGGTCTTGGCACACATGCCGCGGGTCGACTCCGTCTATCTCTTTGATGCTTGCGTCAGGTCCAAATACTTTGACCGCGAGCTACCCTGGCACGACGACCGAGATCTCAGCCAGCTTGTCCTCCAGCAATGGACTAGCCGTGGGTACCTAGGCGATCACGAGGCTGTCGCAGCATTCTGGGACCGCGAATCGTCCAGACATGCGAGTTCGAGCCTCGCTGCCCTGGTAGCCGGCATTTGCGAAATTGAGCACGATAAACCAAATCATTTGAGGAGGGAACATATCTGGCTAATCAAAAACCTCATGAAGCTGCTGAGTCGCTTCGGCCGCCAGGACCAGCTCATCGCCTCGATGCAACGTTTTGCGGAAACCAGGGATTCGATACCTGTCATGCCATTCATGCGAGTCGCTTCAGCCAGTCACGACTACAAGACGGCCCTCAGGCTGAGATCGATCCTGCTCTCACACGAGAAGAAGCTGGAGAGCCAGATCGAGTCACGGTGGCATTGGACGGCTTGGGTGCCCTACATCAAGTCCATGATCAGAGACGAATCGGTAAAATCCCGGGACATTTGGTGGGCAGTCCACTGCGGAGACGGCAAGATGAAGCGGTACGCAGCGAAACGGCACGAGCTCTCGATCAGGAGGAAAGCTCTCATGGAAAACATGACGGTGTGGTTCGCGAGCGCGACGAACCGGTCAGAGAGGAGCACGTTTCGAGACATGTCCAGGTGCATCAGCTGGCTCCGGAACAACAAGGTGCCGCTCAGCAACCGCTCGATGACGGCCATCGCCAAGGTGGCCACGCGGGAGCTCAAGAGGGGCGAGTTCGGGCGGACGCAACGCCTGCTCTGGTTGTTGGATGTTATAGGACAGTCCAGGGGACCCGAGCAGAGGGCTCTCGTCGCCCGGGTGCTGCAACGGTGGAGGCAGACCAATTCCGAACTAGAGAGCAAGAGGTGCCGTGAGGCTGAAGGGGTGCCGGACGCCCAGCAGATCAGAGAGGCGATTGGGGCTCCGGAAAGGAGCAAGTGGTAGATGATTGGGGGTGATTGTTAGAGAGTAATACTAAACACCCACATTCACACATATTCAAATACTACGTCAAACGCAAACAAGATGAAGTCATTCGGGCCCAGCAACAAAGACGTGAAAAAGGGGGAAAGACGATGAGTGGTGTACCCGTGGTACTGGAGGGCGATCATGGTGGGCAGAATGAGTAGTGAGACAAGAAGGTAGGTAAGGTACCGTGGGTACCTTTCGCATCTACAACCAGCGAAGAAGCGGCACGGCCCAGTACGATTGGAATTCTGCAATGGGATGGGAGAGAGACAGCGCCCCTTGTTTCGTAATCGCGCGAGAAAGCTGATTCGGTTCGTTCAAAGCTTTTGCCACGAGGGAATAAAATAGCATCATCTGCAGCGAGCCGCAGCAACGCTGAACGCTGGAATGTATGAAAGGGCAAACGCGGGCGGGCGAAACAAGCAGGAGAAGTAGGACGGCGCCGCACGGCATTCCATTGGTTTCTCTTTGACGGCGTACGGGCTCTCGGCCGGGTTGCGAGGTTGATGCATGGAGAGTTTACGGAGTAGTGCGTTGTTGAGTGTGTCGACTTTTCTGGCCGCATGCGTACAATGAGAGATCATGTTGGTGGGCGGGTGGGTACACACACACTCACACACACACACACACACGCAAGTTTCCCTTCCGGTCCTCGAAACCGAGGAAGTCGCGAGGTCGCGAAAAGTCTCATGCATTTTTTTTTCTCTCTCTCTTTCCTTTGTTTGAATGGTATGAGACAGGGAAAACCTTGATTCTAGTTTCCCATTGTCGTAAGTTGGAGAATGGTTAAATTGAAGAATTCGTTTGGATTCATGGATTATTGGGCCCTTTCACGTTTTGGGTATTGGTTTTGTCTCTCGTCGCCCGTGAATGTGTTTGTTTCCTTTGCGGGCAGCGGGCGGAATATGGGACAGTAGGTTGAATCTGGTGGGCTTAGAGCCTCGTTCGGCGCCGCCCGGTCGATTGACACCTCACCCCCGGGACGGACGGGAGGCGGAGGGGAAGAGGGGGGGATAATCATAGTCATTTGCGGTCTACGAAATGGGGGAGGCGGCCGGACGACTGGTTCTAGGCGAGTTGAATAGACTCAGAGCAACATCGATTACCTTAGTAGTCACCCAGGGTGGCGGTGATCAAGGGGCGAAAGATTTGCAAAGGGTGTATAATGTAATCATCCCGTACCTTACATTAGGGCCCTTTTTTCTCTCAGCCCAGGCACATAGGCTGGACATTAGCAGAAAGGTGTTTCGATCTTGGTGAAAGAGTGAGGTAGGCTCTAGTGCAGAGAAAACGGGCAAAGTTTATTAGTGGACGGGAAGCCGGAATATTCGGGTGGGAGGGGGTGGGCCGATAAGAGAAAGAGAGAGGCGAGTGAGGTGAGGTGAGGCGATGAGTAGCGAAAGAGAGATTGTGTGCGGGAGAAGTGATGCTACGGTCGCTGCATTTGGGTGGATGAGACTCTGGGTTAACCACTTGAGGCTCTCACTTCGCCAGGTTGGGGGAGTGGACCACGCATTGTCTGTCAGTGTGAAGTTCTGAAGAAAAAACGAACAACCTAAGACGAGGTCTGGAATGTATGGAAGATGGATGGAAGCAGCGCCATCGTTGATTAGGTTTGGTCCCTTGTGGAGCACTGGAGCTACGGTACCTACTTGGTAGTTCGTACCCAAGCTCCCTATTGCCTGTATTCCTTAGTCCGTACACAGTACCGCGAGTTACCTACCTAGGTACCTTAGGCTCGGACTCCTCCTCGAGGAACTGACGTGCAATACCTGCGGTGCTGCGGTCCGCGGATGGGGAATGAGGGGAGGGGCGACGTATCTGCATGGCATTTGATTCTTCCTCAATGGATGGAATCGGGGCAGCTCATGCCCAAATCGTAACATTGCTGGACAAATTTTTGCTCATCGAGGTGGGGGGTTGGCTGGCGGCGGAGGCGGGCAGAGATTGAGGATATGTGATGGGCAGGGGGGAGGATGCCGCAACTTCTTGGAGCTAATACAACCTGCCCTGGAGAGTACATACCACAGTAACTCCGTACGGGTAGAGGAAAGCCCAGGAAAGGCGGCAGAAAAGGGTAAAGGCAGGGAAAGAAGGGTTCTGAGAAGGGTTCGTTTCGGCCGAGGCATAACTGGCGTGCCCCTTCCATCTCCCGCCAACATGTCCCTCTTGATTACGTGCAGCAAAGATGAGCACACAAAAAGAAAGCAAAGGAAAACGAGATGGGTGGGCTGTGTCCAGTGAGAGGCCGTGGACGGCATCGGTTCGCGACTGATGACATAGAACTCGACTGACATTTGCCGTAGGCCCGTTGAGGCGACATTAGCCTCCTCTGACCTTAATATGACCTTTGCTCAGACGAACGTGGCACGCATGGTTGGAGGGGGCCATGGTAGCATCGCGGGGGCGGCCGCCGTCTATCATTCATTAGACTCAAGTCAGAGACTCAGACTCACAGACTCAGACTCAGGGTTCAGAGGCAAACGTTGATGCAAAATTAGGGTTGGTCAGTACGGGCATAGTGTATGGACACTTGTAACTCCGTACGCGACGGATGTCCCGTACGTGCCATGATAAACGAGAGCAAAAGAACCCTGCACGTTGAGCAGCGTTGTCCCATTCGCTTCGTCTTCATCCAAAGACACGTCTGTAATAACAGTTGAGTGATAGGCAAGCCGCAAGACAGGGCAGACACGGGACAGGCTGCGGCATGGCCACGGGATGGCGGCATCCTCGTAGGCGGCATGACATGGCATGGCGTAGGTAGCTACGACGTACGGTTATCCGCACACGCCGTACGGATAGTACCGCCGTAAAACACAGAAAGAGAGAAAGAGAAGAGGTGAAAGATGGGAACGTTCCGGACGGTTTGGAACGCCGACGCCAGCTTCTCCCGTCGGCAGCTAAGCAGAGTCGAGGGAACGGCAGCCCAGAGAGTGCGAGAGAGAGAGAGAGAGAAAGACAGAGAGAGACATGTACTTCCATTCTCAGAAAGATTGAGAGACATGGCGAGAGAAGGAGCTTATCTGCTTTGGTCTTCCATTGGGAGATTATCGTAGGGTTCGTAACTTGGTCCAGTCCAGATGTTCAGTACCTTGAGGTAGGTGAACGGGAGGAAGGCAAGCTGTTTCTGGAAGGGTACTTATCACAACACTACTACTTGGTGCAAATACGGAGTATCTTTATAGATCAGTGTTGTGCGCAGATTAGCGAAGAGACAACGCCCTGAACATGTTGCGTGATGTTGCGATGGACTATTCCTTCCCGGGAGGTGTGTCTTGGGCAGAGAGAAGGAGCTCAGGGGTGCCGAACCCCCGCATGCGGAAGTACCCGGTACCTGCGGCGGATCTCCTCGCCCAGTCGCACACGCGAACCGGCCCAGCAGGTCTCGCCTGCTCCGTCCCGCTGCCTTACCTCAGGTACTCCTACTGCGAAAAAATATGCTGTACGCCCACTATTAGATACCTTACATCACCCGCTGATTCCCCGAGGAGGCTGCTGCTGCGGCCACTGCTGAGAAGCCAGTACGAAAGATGCGGAGACTCGGCAAGAGGGTGCGGTTCTCCCCTCCCCTCTTTGTCTAGGCCGCTCGAAGTACCAGGTACCGCCTACTTTGCCTTGCGGGAAGGTCGTTCTGGGCCATTTCATCCTGCTCCACACACCTCTCCCACCATCCTCCATCCTCCCATCTTCCCGCAACAGTTACACGCTTCGTTCGTTTCGTGTCTTGCTCTGCTGGTTCTACCTCTTGTTCTCTTCTTCTTCTTTTCCATGTCACTTGCTCCCACGTTTGTGTCTCTTCCTTTCTCTTTCTCCCTCTTCCCCCTTCTCTCTCTCTCTTACCTTCAGGTAGCTTCCTTTTCGGCCACGCCCCTCCACCCCTCCTTTTCGTCCTCTTATTGTCCGTTGTTGGACAGGAAGTGACACAAATCAAGTTCAAACTTAGTCCCAATCGAGGATACCCTCTTCTTCGCCGGCCTCCGCATCTACCGGCGTCTATGTGAGAGGGTGAGAGAGAGAGCTGTATCCGTACGTGGATGGGCACTTACATAGGCTTGCGCGCGCCCACCCCCAACTTGTCCTCCTCTCACATACTTGGCTCCTCGCTCGCCTACTCGCCCACCCAACCACCACCATCACCACCATCACCACCATCTCAATCCTTCGGACTGGGATTAGTCGTCCACAACCCGCAACCACCATCACACACAACCAGGACAAGGACCGGGACCAGGACCAGGGACCAGACTAAAAATCAACTCTCCTGCATGTCCCGCCCGCTCCTCTCACATATCTCCGTTCACCACTGGCTACCCGGCTCGCACCCGTAGGCTGTAGCTTCCCACGTCCCTTTTTACGTCCGTAACTCCCCCCGGAACACCCAGGTAACCCTCGACCGTTCCCAGTTTCTATCCTCTTTGGACCGCATCCTCGACTCTCTTCAACGAATGACCGTCTTGTTTGCTTCGATTTTCATCCCGACAGCCTCTCATAACACCCTCCTTTTCCAAACGCTCGGCCATTGACAAGAATCCGAGATCTGATCAGACCGGCGCCCGAACCGCCAACCAACCATCAAATGGATTCTGGGCACTATTCCGCTGCACGTCATGCTGCTGCCGCTGCCGCTGCCGCCGCCGCCGCGGGTGGTGGTGCCGTTTACTCGGCTCAGCCCATGGACCACGCACACGCGCACTCGCACGCTCACGCACAAGCACACGCCTACCATCATGGCCACTCTCACTTACAAACACCCGCGCAATCACCCCATGGCCAGCCACAGTACTACTCGATCAATCCCGTGAGCCCAACCGCACAAGGGCCTTCCATGACGAGCCCCCGCGTCCTGCCAAACTCTGATCTCATGCCTGGCGCTCACTCACCGGGCTCAGCAACTTCTTCCGCGCCGCACGGCATGACCGGTCTACCACCCAACCGCCCTTCGTCCCCGGCCGCCTCTGTGTCGGGAGCGCCTAGTCCCGCCTCCAAGCCTATCCGGAGGCGCATGCGCATGATTACGTCCTGCCTCGAGTGCCGGCGCAGGAAGCTCAAGTGCAACAAGTCTCAGCCATGTGTCAACTGCATGAAGTTTTCGCGCGACTGCGTCTACCTTAGCCCCAAGCTCGATGAGGCCAGTCAGCTCCGTCTGACAGAGATCAAGGAGAAGGTCGGATCCCTGGAGCGCCAGTTGGAACGCGATGTCGCCAAAACGTCCCGAGCCGCCCAGCAGCAAGCTATCCTCGCCGACGATGTTGAGGACGACTTTGCCGAGGAGCGCGATCTAGAGCCGACAGATATGACGGCTCTCGATGTCACATACGAAGAAGACGCTGACGGGACCGACGATCTCATTGACCTGGGAGTACAAGTTGGTCGCATGCGTATCACAGAGCGCATCGGTGGCCTATCCAGACCCAGAATAGCTGAAGAGGTGTGTCCAATTCTACTTTTACTTTTCACCAGTTAAATCCCAGATCGTAATCACCTGTCTCGAGTTTGCGATTTTCTAACGCAACAGTCAGATCTCAGCCGGCATATCTGGCCCGGGCGGTCCGCCGGGGGGTCCCGGTGGTCCGATGGGTGGCCCGATGGGTGGTATGGGAGGAATGATGGCCATGATGGGCGGTAGGGGCATGGGCGGGGCCGGACGAGGCGGGCCGCCCCGTGGTGGACCGCCTCCTGGGTATCCCGGCTTTGGTGGTCCACCACCCGGCATGGATGCCATGTCTGTCGTGAGCGGAAGCTCTGGTGACTCGATCCCCGACTTTTTGAGGCCTGGCGAATCCTACATCCCCCCCTCGAGTGGCTTCTTCTTTGGCCACACCCCTGAGGCCCTCTCTCTTGATAGGAGATTACCTCAAAAGGAGGCTGCTGATCGACTCACGCAACAATACTTTGCAGCAGTTCACCCCATTGCACGATGTGTCCACAGACCATCCTTTGAGGCTGAGTATGTGAACTTCTGGGATGAAGTCTACAGCAATATTGAACCCAGGGCCTCCACACAAGCCGTCATGTTTGCGGCTTGGTTCAGTGCCGCCGTGAGTATGGACGATCCGACAGTAAGGACATTGTTTGGCGTCACCAAAGCCAACTTGATCGACCGAATGAAGACCGAGACAGAGAGAGCTCTCGGCAAGGCCAATTTCCTACGCACAACTAGAGTGGAAACTATGCAGGCTTTCATCATGTATATGGTACGTTGCGCCTGTTTGTGTTACAGCATGCTCGGTACTGACACCAACCACAGCTCCCGCTCTGCAGAGCCGAGGTATCTCGAGCTCACTCTGTTCTGGTCGGTGCAGCTGTCAGGATGGCGGAGTGTATGGGCTTGCACAGAGACGGAGAGACATACGGACTGAATCCTCTGGATACTCACGTTCGTAGACTCATCTGGCATCAACTCTGCTTCCTCGATATCCGCACCTGCGAAGCGCAAGGTCCCAGGCCGGCTATCAGGAGGGAAGATTACGACACCAAGCTCCCACTCAACTGCGAAGAAGAAGACTTTTACGCCGCTGGGCCACCACCTGAGCCCGCAGACGTGTGGACCTCTTCTTTACTATCAGCGATTCGGACCGAGTGCAACGAGATGATGCGCGTAATCTGGCTGGACCGCCGCAGGCTCGAAACACGCAAAACGACACTTACTGCTGTCCTCCAGAAGATTGAAAATTTTAGGCGGCGAATGGTGGAAAAGTACGAACATTTACTCGATGGCGAGATCCCTATTCAACGCTACGCCAAGTTGGTCATGAATCTGCTCCTCTACCGCCTCCACGTCATGATCCTTCACCCCTACCACGCCAACGCCAACAGTCCCATGACCCACCGCCTCAACAACCTACTCGTCACTTCTGGCATCATGATCATTGAGATCTCGATACAGCTTGAGAACGACCCGCAATTCCGAGACTGGGCCTGGTATCTAGGCGCCTACCAACAATTCCAGATTGCTCTGCTCTTGGCCACGGAGATCTACTACAGACCGCAGAATAGGGAGGCCGACCGTATCTGGGCTTGCCTGGATTACGTCTTCGGAACAGACCGGACTCTACCGCCTGAGATGAAGGGCTTGCAGATTCTGGGGGAGATCATGAGCAAAATGGCAACATACCAGAGTATGCGCAAGATGCGTGCGCCAACAGGAACCTCTCGAGCACCGCTAAACAAGACGGCCGTCAACGTGAGAAACGAAAACCAGGGGGGACAAAATGCCCAGCAGCCACATCCTGGACAGGGCATGCCGATGGGCTTCAAAGCAGAGCCTGGCATGGGTGGTCCTGGTATGCAGCAATCTTCACCGATGAGCGGCATGGGGTCTCCGGGGATGGCGTCTCCGCCCAACGCCCAGATGCAAGGTCCGCCCCCAGGAATCGTCTTTGCGGGTGTGTCAAACGGCGAGGCCATCTGGAGCATGCCACCCGTGAACGCGGACAGTCCAGAAAGTGTCAGCGACGGGGCCAGTATGGGCGGTCACAGGCCCTCGCAACCGATGAATATGATGAACCCTCTCGAGGGCGTAGACTGGGTAAGTTCATCTCGTACCGCAACACAAGTGATTCGCAATATACTGACTTTTTTGTTCTTCCTCTTTAGGATGTTATCAACGGTCTTTTCCCTCATGATCCTAATACTGGCGAACTGAACATTTCCGGCTTCAACGACCCAACGCTCGGTTTGGTGAACGGGTTCCACTGGGCTCAACGATGAGCGTGGATATAAGAGGGCGTATTTCTTGCTATTTATGCTTATTTTCCTGCTTCAATGTATTCGACCGTTTGCGCGACCATGTTCAATGGGCTGGAAAGCTACTACTGCTTGCTGGCTGCTGGAGCTCAAAAGACCCCACGATACCACGGCTATTTTGTTTTACGCCTGTTTGGGTTTGATTTATGCGTAACGCGGAGTTTGATGGGGGCGAAGTCTTCCACAGAGGGAGAATAGTTTCACAAACGGGAAGACATCTCTTGGTCACGAGTGTTAATAGAGGAGGACTAGCAATGGAGGACGATGTACTAATGGTTCATCAATGAACGACTGAAATGCCTAGAGGGAGTTTAGTGAGGGGATGACATAGGTGAGGTGTTTGCATGAGGTAGTGCGTAATAGAAGTGATCTCTTACAGGAGTCAAAATTTCTTTGAACCAGGACAATTTACTTGACATTGGAACTGGGTATTTTGCGTCCAATCGTTGGTGCAAAAGGGAATAGACCGGTACAGCACGAACTGCGACGGCATCTTTGTTCATGATTGAGTGAATTCAAATAATATGAAATATGAAATAATAGTAACCCAAGAGGTATCGTCGTGCACTCTGCCAAAATGAAAAAACAAAAACAAAGCAAAAACAACACAAGCCATTCTTTTTAGCCTTGCCTTCCCTGCCCATCCGTCCCATTCTGTCCCCTTCTCCCGATGTGCCAGAACAAAATGGGAATATTTCGTAAACGTCGTAATCTTTGGTTTGTTCTTGTTTGTTTGGTATCCCCGTTTCCCTTGAAACCAATGTACTTAATCGTCCCATATAATGTACTGTCCCACAACCCGTTCTCCGGGACCTCCATCCGTTCCATTACATCTATATTACGCCCATCTTTTCATACTTCTCTTCTTCTCTCTCACACACACAGACATGGTATTCATCGTCAGGGCAAGCTCCTTTACCGCAAATTGGAGGCTTGATCGGGCAAGAAAGTTCCCATGCTGAGATCGCTGTGCGTGGCCGCCGTCTGCCCGCCGAGCGACGCACCGCCAGCGTCGCTCCCGGGCGTAAACAGCCTAACGGACTTGCCCTTGGGCCGAGCCACCAGCACCTGGGCAGGACACACAACAATCTCGTCGTCATTGTTACCGCCGTCGTCGCCCTTCTTGACGACGAGCGGGAACAAGACGATACGCACAACAGCGCTCTGGGCCTCGAGGGCCTCGTTGGTAGCAGACTTGTCGGCGCTGCGCTCGTTCATGAGCGCCGCGTTGAACGTGACAGTCTCGGCGAGCTCGCCGTCGGCGTCGTACTCTGGTTGCAGCGGCGGGAGCATCATGTACTCAGCGCGCTGGGTACGCATCTCGATGGAGAGGTCGACGGCCTCCCGCATCACGCGGCGCAGCTGTGATTGAATCTGGTCCTCCAGGTTGGAAGGGGGAGGGAGGACCCTGGACAGCGTTTGGAAGATGGCTTGGACCACGGCCTCGGTGTCGAGGTCGCGCTGGTGCTTGAAGCTGGGGCGCTTAGAGAGCAGCGTCAGGGTGACGGCGCGCCATTGTCGGACGGCCGGGGGAGGGCCGACCTCGGTAAGCAGCTTTTCCAGCGACTTGAGCTTTTGTCGCTGCTCGCGGTCCATGCCAAAGAGGTAACGAGTGAACACAAACTCCCAAATCATGTTCATCGTCATGGACATGAACACATCTCGGCGCCTGACGCGGTCGCCGAGGTAAGTGTCCACATCGGTGCCATCGAGGATGGCGTTGTCGAGACGGTCAATGACCTTTTCGTCATTGATCTCGTTTGTCTTACGGCAGGCGCGCATGTCAGAGAACTTTGAGAAGCGCAGAACCCACTGCTGTACGTGAGAGCAAAGCTGCTGACATCTGTGGTCAAAGTGGTCGACATCCTTGACATTGAGGAAGTCACTGTCAGCGCCCTTGGATGCCAGGATCTGGCGCTGCATCTGTCGGATCTTGTCCTTGGCCGCATCGAGCTCAGAGCGTAGGCGGCCAATCTCGGCATCCTTTTGGAGAAGTGACTCCTGGAAGTGATTATGCTCGGTGCGCGCTTGCTCCAATTGCCGGGAGGCATCAGAGTGCTGAGTCTCCAATGATCGGTAACGCTCATTGTGTTGGGCAGCGAGTTGGGTATTGGCGCTGTTCAAGCCCTCGTTGACCTCTGTCAATCGGGCAACCTCCTTTTGTAGAAACTCAAGCGATTGCTTGAGAACGTCGATTTCGGCATCGCGCTCTGCTAGAATGCCAGAGGCTCTGTTGCTGTTGTGGGTATCGGATTGGGATCGGGTCTCTGTGAGCATGCGGTTCTCCGCCATCAATTGTTCGACGCGGGACTCGAGCTCGAGGACTTGCATGCTCTGGCGACGCCGCATGCTGTGTGGTCGGGTAGGCGATCGGGGAGAGCCGATGCGGCCTTCACCGAATCCATCCTACGATTGAAGGTCAGTCAAAGTTCGTCGTGTTGGTGGCTAGCGATGCGATCATAAGCGCTTCCAGCAAAAAAACAAACACAACCTGGGAATCGCAGGCGGTGAGGCAATAAAGCAGATGGAGAGAAATAATTGAATTAAAAAATGTGCGTTACTTACGAAGACGTCGGCCATGTCCTTGGTACGGACACGACCTTCGTTGGCGACGGGGGTGTTGGAGGAGCTGGTCGGGTCCTTGGGGTCCTTGTTGAGGTCAAGCTGACTTCGTTGGCTGATGGATCGCAAGTCTCCGCTTACACGCCTGTCGACCCGGCGAAGAGGCGGGGTGGCGGTGCCTGACCGTTGGATGCCTGGGCTCTCAGGCCGGAACTTGAGCGGTTCTGGCGTTAGCGCCCCAGTGGCCCGCCGGTGCCGTGACAGGCTGCTGTTGGACATGGACCTGCGCGCTATAGGCTCTGTAGGTGCTGGAGACTGCAGCCGTGCGACCCTGTCGGAAACGCTGCGATTACCTGGTGGCGGAGTGCTGCGTGGTGACGAGACTGTGCTGCTGATTGCTGCACCAGCCAAGGCAGCCGACGCCAGGTCCTGGTACTTGTTTCTTCGCATCTCAAGCTCTGGGCTGATGCCACGTTTGTGCTTCTGCGGCTCTGGAGTCAACTCCCTTCCTGCAGGCTCTCGCAATACGGGTGTTCTGGAAAGTGGGTGATCGCGAGCCTCTCCTTCGAACAGTGAGGTCTTCTCCGGCGACTTGACTCTCTCCAGATCTCTAGATCGTCGTCTTTCGCTTTTGTGAACCCTCAACTCTGGAGTCCGTTGTCCATCGCGGCCCGGTGATCTTTGTTCCTGCCAATCCCGAAGATGAACTCCGCTGTCTCGTTGCTCCTCATTGTCGAAACCTCCCCTTCTGAGAGGGTGAGGCGAGCTGGGTACAAACCCGCTGTCTCGGGTTGGGTCAGGTGAACCTGTAGTTGTGCGAGAAGCAGGCCTGTACAGCAATCGAGGCTCGATATCGCTTCCATCGTGACCCTCCTCCTGAACGGGCGGCAAGATGCTCGGCACCGGACTCCGGAAACCGCTCATCTCGAAGGTCCGTTCAGGGCTGTTTGGTGAACGTCCAACGAATAGATCGCGACGGGCCTCAGCCTCGAACCCACGATCGACTGCTTCATCCATATCGCTAACCATGGTGTTTGTCATGGGTGACCTGGTACCCCGGTTCAGTGAGCGTTGTTGTGTTGTGATGTTGGCAGGCTCGCTCGCTTGCTCCGTTCCGATTTCTCTGCCAAGAATCGGGCTCTCAATGTTGTCGTCTTGGGCCTTCTCCTTGAGCGGTGCTGTGAGACTCAAAACATCCTTAGCCTGTTCCTCCTCCTGTGACCTTCCTTTTGATACGTCCTCTACCAAGCCTCGAGATACTGGAGACGCGCTGGGCTCTTGTTCATGGACAATAGTCTCCTGTGCTTCAACGGGGACGCCCTCCTGTTGCTGAAGCGAGGGACCGAAAACGTCGTCCGCCATCCTACTCGTTCTTGTTGACTGCTCAGGTAGCTGGTCATCGGCCGCATTCTCACCGCCGCCCCAAAAGTCTTCCACCTCTTTGCTTGCAATCTCGCTGACATGTTTCCTATCGGCACCTTCCCAGAGAGAAGGATCATCAAACATGTCTTCCTCTTGTGCCACGCGCTTGTCCTCGTACTTGGACTTCTTTCCCTTCTTCTTCTTACCGCTGCTCGATTTGCTAGCAAGGACTGCCGCACCGGCAGCCATTGCTGCTGCCCCGACTGCGGCGCCGATGCCTGATGACTCGGATGCCTTCTTCTCTGGTGTGATTGGCTGGACAGATTCATCCGGCTTGTGGTCATACTTGTGCTCCATGTACGAAGCGGCGATGTCAAGGGATTCAGCCGGCTCTGGTTCCCGAAGAGGCTCATGTTTGCTCGCACTGGGACCGGGAATCTCCTTTTCACGAGGCAGATCAGCTTCCGGGGTAGGGAGCTCATCCTCAATCTTGCTGATGCCCGCAGCTGGTGTCTCGCGGTCATCAAAGTACGCAGCAGCAACATCTCTAGAGCTGACAATCGGCTCGGGAAGGAGAGTGTTGGACAACTCTCTCGTCTTCATCTTCTTGCGTTTGTTTGACTGATCGAAAGGTAGTTCATGAACGACGTTGCTGGTCTCCTGTGCGGGAGTGAGATCGATGTCTACTGACTTATTCGAAGTAGGAGACGTGGCATTGACACCAACAGGCTCGGGAACTATGCCTGCAGGTGATTCGAGGGCTGATGCGGTTTCTGGAGGCGGTGGCGCTGAAGGGCTTCGAGTGATTTCGCGAGGTGCACTGTCGAAATAATCAACCGTATCTTTCGTATCTTCAGTTCGGCTAGGTCCAGGCACAATCGTTTCTTGTCCCGGCTGTAAGTTGGCGCTGATCGGAGAGCGATCCAGTGAAATTGACTGCTTCTTGCTCTTTTTGTTCTTCTTCGACTTCTTGGTGGCGGGAATGTCCCATTCATCATCACCAGCAGCGACAGGTTCAGTCGTCAATTCTGGTTCGCGCATAGCCGCTGTCTGATGACCTGGGTCTTCCAAAGAAATAGAGCTCTTCGCAACATCCGTCTCAGTAGCGGTGACCGGGAGGTTCTTTGACGTCTCCAGTGCGGCGAAGCCGCCTTGAGGTAAGACTGGGGCGCTGGCCTGCTCCTCAACGATCGTTTCTGGCTCATCCGCAAAGGAAAGTCTCTTGGCCTTCTTCTTGTCCTTCTTAGACTTCTTGGAGACAAACTCCTCCGCAATGGGTTCTTGCGGTGCAAGGTCCATGACTTCGGGCTCCTGGATGACCCCGCGAGAGATGTCCTCAGGCCCTGGCTTGGCGAAGGTGGCTTGCTCAGAAGCTTCGGCGGTCTCGAGGATGGGCGTGGCCGGCTCCTCAAACTGCACCTGGCTGGCGCGCTTTTTCTTGTCTTTCTTAGACTTCTTGACGACAAAGGTCTCTTCAGGTTCCTCCGTGAGGGCACTTTCGCGGACATCTGGTGCGCTCGTTGCCTCTACGGCGTGCTTATCGTCCTGTTCAGACACATCCATTGGAGCGCTAGGCAAGACGTCATCCACCTGATCAACTGAGATCGTCTCGTCACCGACAACCTGCTGCGGCGTAGGTTCAGCAGCCAGCTTGTCTTCGGAGATTGTCTGAACTTGATTGAGATCTTCGCGGCGTTCAGGTGTCATGGCGTCCATTATTTGGGGGCCAGCTGAGGCGTCAAGTGTGGAGAAGGATTGAGGCACTGAAGTGGATTCGAAGGATCTGTCTGTTGCGAGATCATCCCTTGTGAAGGCCGGCTTGTCGCTCGAAGCATGATCCTCGTGTCTCGAGATATCTTCCGCTGGAAGAGGCTGTTGATCTAAAGCTCGCTCGGTTTCTTGCTGCTCCGTCGACTCAAGCTTAGGTGTTGCCGTGCCAGGAGCCAGGGGCGACTCGGGTTCGACATCGTCGAATGCCAGGCTCTGTCGCTTCTTTTTTTTCTTGTCCTTTTTGCTCTTCTTCGCAGGCATGGAATCGTCAAGATCAGCAGGAGCTGCGGCCTCTGGCTCAGCCACGACGTTGGAGCTTTCGACTGAACGGACTTGATCAAAAGCACCCTCGGGCAAACTCTCAACTGCGACGGGAGCGATGGATTCTTGCTCAGTCAAAGGGGCAGCATCAGACTGGCTGTCCAGTCCTTTTGGCTTGGGTTCAAGGTCCAGAGTGGTCGTTGGCACGTCTGACTCTGCAACATGTCTTGGCTGAGCATCTTGGGAGTGGACAGTTGCGGGCTCAGTCTCCGGAATCACTGAGGCTGACTCCTCAGCAGGCAGGGCCGTTCCCTCCACAGGCTCGACGGCCGAGCTCTCCAAGATGGGTTCTGCGGTGCCTGGCTTTTCGACGGGATCAGTGGTAGTGTTTTCCAAGGTGGCCACTGGCTCCTCAGCAATTGGAGTAGGGTTTTCAAGCTCGGTCAATGTAGACTTCCTCTTCTTCTTGTCTTTCTTAGACTTCTTGAACGTGAACTCTGAAGGCTCCTCGGCAGCCGCTGTCTCTTCGGCAGTCTTCTCGGGCTCAAGCTCGATTGATTTCACAGAAGCTGATGGCTCAGGCTGGTTCTCGGCCAAGAGTGCAGGAGAAGGTTGTTGTGTGTCTGCCACCAGCTGTTCTTGTGAGACATCCTGCGATGACGAAGGCTGTGCTACCTCTGGAGCTGATGCTTGTGCCAAGTCAGCCTCAAGTGGCGCTTCCACTGAAGCCTTAGCAAGCGGGATATCTGATAGCATCTTGTTATCGGAGGTCAGGGACCTGTCGGTATTCGTAGTATCGTCAACATGCGCTACTTCCTCCTTGTTGTCTTCGACGGTGGTCGCCATCGGTGTCTCGGTTCCAGATGCAAGATCGAAATCTTCCTCGGCCATGGACTTCTTCTTTTTCTTTTTGTCCTTCTTAGATTTCTTGACGGGCGCGTTCTCGGGCCATTCTTCCTCAACTGGTGCGTCAATTGGAAGCTGGGAGTCCTTGGCGATGGTATCTTGATCGATGGCAGTCTTCGGTTCAGCGAAGGGCGCTGGCGCGAGTATTTCCGCCACTGAACGGTCCTCCACCTCTTGAATTGGGGTGGAGATTGGCTCAGCCTCGGGGAAGTTGGCATCTGTAGGAGTCTTGACTGGCTCGACAGAGACATCGGGCGACTGCATTTGGTGCGTCTCAGCTTCGAGTGCATCAGCTGGAGTGACAGCTCCCGATGTGATCTCAATGTCGTCCTGAGTCTTGCCCTTCTTCTTTTTCTTGTCCTTCTTTGACTTCTTCTGGAAGGCTGGAGACTCGTCGTCGATGCTTGGAATCTCGGAGGAAGCCTCAACAGGGGTCTCGATGGGGGCCACAGCGGGAATCTCAGTGGAAGAGTCTGCAACTGGGGCTGAAGTGGCATCTGTATCAATGGTCGGCAACTCGGCATTGGCCAAGTGCCTCTCCTCGGCCTCATTGGTAACAGAAGGGAGCTCGCTCCCCACCTTTGCCGTCTCTCTGGCGTCTGCAGTCACGGCATCTGCTTGGGGTTCCAAGATGTCTACCGAAGTTTCTTTGGTCAATTCGGTTGAGTCAGGTGCAGAAATATCAGTGGTAGCGGCGGCTGGTGCTTCGTGAACATCGGGAGTAGATGCATCAAGGGGGTCTGAAGGCTCCAAGGCGGCGGGTGTTGCCGTTCCAGAGTGGGGACTCGAGTCATCCTGAAGCTTGCCCTTCTTCTTCTTTTTCTTATCCTTCTTAGACAGCTTCGGAGAGAAATCCTCCTCCACAGATTTAGAAGACTCCTGGGCGGCAGCAGCAATATCGGCATCTAGGTGAGGCTCGTCTGTTACCACCGCTTCGATGGCCTCTTTGGCAGGCTCCTCGATAGGTGCTTCGGGGCTCTCGAGATGTATCGACTGATCGGCAGACTGGTCCATTGTGGCACTTGGTACTGAGGGAGAAGGCTCCTCTACTGCGGTATCTTTGCGTTCGGCGGCTACAGTAGGATCGCTCAGCGGAAGCTTTGAGACGGTCTCGGCAACAGCCTCGGTAGAAGGCTCTGCGGCAGGTTCGCTTGCTTGGGCGCTCGTCTCAGTCGAGGGGTTGGAGTCGAGGATTTCCAAGGCCTTGCCCTTCTTCTTCTTGTCCTTCTTCGCCTTCTTCTCGACCATCGGGAACTCGTCATCGACATTGACATCCGGAATTGCGGAAGTATCGACCTGGCTCTCAGACTTTTCTGACGCCTCCTTCACCTCAGGAAGCTCAGGACTAGCATCCCTAGGAGCATCCTCAGACGTCGCGGCAGTCTCTACTTCAGATGCGGGTGGCTGCTCGGATGAGATGTGTGCCTTGTCGTCTGCAGCCTTGTCGTGGTGGACATCCCTGACTTCAGATGCGATGACTCCGGCGGCGGCTGCAGCAGTAGCTGCGCCTGCCATTTCGGCCATCTTCTTCTTCTTCTGTTTCTTGTTCATGCCCTTGAAAGGGTCCTCCTCGACGACGGGTGATGCCGACTCGGATTTGTCGATGGGCTTCTCTTCGGCAGCTGCCTCTGTAGGAGTCTCCTCAACGATATTGTGCTCAACCGCCACCTCCTCGGGCTTTTCTTCAGGGACTTTTGAAGCTTCAGTGGTGGCAGGCTCAGAAACAGCTGCAGCCAACTCTGCTGCAGCGGCCATCTCAGCCATCTTCTTCTTTTTCTGCTTCTTGTTCATGCCCTTGAAGGGGTCCTCCTCGACCTGAGCCTCGACCTGGGGCGCCTCTGGGACGGGCGCGTCTTCAACAGCCTTCTCGTCGGTGGGTTTGTCGGCAAGAGTCGACTCCTCGGCAGGCGAGGCTTCAGCAGGAGTTTCTTCAAGAGCGACATCTGCAGGTATCTTAACGGCAACCTTGTCCTCACCGACCATCTGCTCAACTGCTTTCTCTTCGGCCTCAGCGGCGGCCATTGCAGCCAATTTCTTCTTCTTTTCCTTTTTGCTCAGGCCAGCGAAAGGGTCCTCTTCGACTTCAGGCTGCTCGAACTCCGGTTCAGGCACGGACTTCGACTCAGCTAGAGTCTCCTTGGCAGCAGACTCCTCAACAATAGGCTCCTCGTCGACGAGCTTGGCTGGAGCAGGCTCAGAAGATACTTGTTGGGCCTCCGAGACAGCCTCACCTGCGGCGGCAGCTTCGGCAGCCTCGGCGGCGGCAGCCATCTCGGCCATCTTCTTCTTCTTTTGTTTCTTGTTCATACCCTTGAAAGGGTCTTCGTCTGCCTGGGCTGGCTCTGGTACTGCCTCTGACACAACTTCTGGTTCCGCCGCGCGTTCGGGCTCCACGGCGGACTGCTCCTCGGTCGGCGTCTCGATCGCAGTCTTGTCAGAAGTCATCTCTTCGACAGGCGTCATGTCCTCGGTGGTAGTTTCCGGTCCGGGCGTGTCGTCTGTGGAATGTGTCTCGATGGGGATCTCATTGGCAAACTTCTCATCGGCAGGCTCCTTCTCAGTAAGCTCCTCCTCGGTGGACGTTTTCTCAGCAACCAAGTCCTCTGCGGGGTGCGCCTCGACAAGCTTCTCAGCGGCAGCATCGTCTTCCGTGGGCTTCTCGATCTCGACAGCCTCAACAGTGGCGGCAGCCTCAGCAGCTTCAGCGGCCGCCTTCATCTCGGCCATCTTCTTCTTCTTCTGCTTCTTATTCATACCCTTGAACGGATCCTCTTCAGACTTCGTCAACTCCGGTGTGACCTCTGGCACACTCTTGACTTCATCTGCGGTTTGCGGCTCTGGCGCAGAAGGTTCCTCGGCAGCGGTTTCCTCGGTAGGCTGCGCCTCTGGTGGGGTCTCCAGAGTAGCAGGCGTGGAGTCGGCGGTTTGTTCCTCGGCGGCAGGCGTGGGCGAATGAGCAGCGGCTTCAGTAGCAACGGCCTGTGCGGCAGCGGCAGCTGCCATCTCTGCTTTCTTCTTTTTCTTCTGTTTGTTGCTCATGCCTTTGAAGGGATCCTCCTCGACCTTAGGCTGCTCCGATTCTAGAGGCGCCGTCTCTTCAATGCCCTTTTCTTGCTCAGGCTCGACTCTGGTAGATTCTTCCTTTTGCTGCTCGGGAAGTTCAGTCGTGACGATGGGCTCTTCAGCGGTGTCCTTCAGTTGGGCGATCACCTCGTCACCAGGAACGACGGCTTCTTCGCGAGTTTCCTCCACCTGCAATGTGGGTATCGATTCAGGCGTGCTTTCTGCCTCTGGAGCGGGAGAGTCCTCCAAAATATCTTGCGCGGTGTCCTTCTTGCTCTTCTTCTTTTCCTTCTTCGATTTCTTCGAGGTGGTAAGCTCTTCCTCAACAGTAGTTGGCGTTTGGTTCTCAGAGATGGGAGCCTCGGATACAACGGCTGGTGACTCGGTGTTCGCCGCTGCCTCTGTTGTAGTAGCCACCTCCTCCACGGCTTGGGATTCTGGCTCCTCTGCGGCCGGCGTGACGGCAGGCGTTGTTGATGGCTCAGAAATCTGCGGTGCATCTAATAGGTCAATCTCCTTTGCCACGAGCCGCGCTTCCGGCGTGGCTGGCGGCTCATCTTGGGTGTCGGAAGCAAGACCCTTCTTCTTCTTCTTATCCTTCTTGGACTTCTTGGTGACAGCTGGGAACTCTTCCTCTGCAAGTGGAGTGGTGTATTCTGCAGGTGTCTCGAGCGTTGCTGGAGAAGGATCAGTTTGGCCGGAAGGCTCTGATGGCAGTTCCTGCGTGACTTCGGATTCTTCAGCCGTAGAGGCAGAGGAGGCTCCTGCTTCCAGGTCGGCAGGCTGCAAAGTTGCTGGTGAGTCCTGGGGCGGTGCTGCTTCCTCAGACTTCAAAGTTGAGTCGTCTTGAGCATCGGCCTTTAGTTGGCCTTTGGACGCTGGCTCTGAGGAAGCTTGCACATCTTCAGATGGCATCTGTGCTGCGTCGCCAAGCAAAGGGGCGTTGTCAGGTGAAGCAGAGGAAGATTCCTCTAGCGGAGTCTCCAGCTGAGGGAGTTCCTGGCTATCGTCCAATGAAAGACTTTGCTGCTTCTTCTTCTTTTTCTTGTCCTTCTTGCTCTTCTTCGTTGGCTCAAAGTCATTGATGTCGGCCTCTGCTGGTTCAGCTGGCAGCTCATCCTTTGTCGTTGGCTGTGGTGAACTTTGAACTTCATCTGATGTGCTTTCCGCCGGGGTTTGAACTTCTTCACTTTGCTTGGGCTCTGCACCCTCCGGGGTGCCCGCAGACTCCTCTGTTGACTTGTGGTCGCCAGCATCATCGCCCTTGGAGGCTTCGTCTACTGAAGACTGTAAAGGCGTTGCAGGCTCGGCGGGAATTTCGCGCGTTTCAGGCGCAGGGGAAGGTTCGGCGCTCTGCTCTTCCACTGCAGCAGATGCCTGAGCTGCAGCCTTCTTCTTCTTGTCTTTTTTACTCTTCTTGCCAGCTGGTTGAATTGCCCATTCATCCTCGCCAGCCTCAACCGCTTCTCTTACGGTGGTTGCTTCCGGGGCGTCCGTGACATCCGGCCCCGCCTGCTCCGGTGCTTGGACTGGTTCGTCAACGGCCTTGACAGCCGGGGCACCATCGTCCACAATCGTTGACTTGAGATTTTGGACATCATCTTGAGGAATTGGTTCAGACGTTGCAGCCTTGGTCTTCTTCTTGCTGCTCTTCTTTTCCTTCTTGGACATCTTGCTCGAGCTTGAGGGCTCGGAACCGACGTCGTCTTCCTGACCGACTTGTGTTTCGGTCTGTTCAGGGTCGTGAGTGGTACTCGGGTCCCCTGTTGGTTCAAGGCCGGGAAGAGTCTCCGAAAGCGGCTCTAGTTGCAGCTCCGGCAAGATTGGTTGACCCAAAGATTCCGATAGATCTGACTGACCCGGGAATCCAACATTGGCGGCGAGAGAATCGAATTCGTCTCTCCGGTCCTTCTTTTCTTCTTCCTTCTTTTCGACGTCTGAAATTTTGTCTAGTTGTTGAACGTCTTGCAGAAGGGTCTCGGTCTCGGCAGTAGAGTCAGTAATCCCCGCGTCAGATTTTTTGCCAACCTCCAATGATGTCTGACTGGGTACCTGTCCCTCCTGTGTGCCCTGTCCTAGAGGTTGGGGGATCGCCGTGTTTGTGTCTTGGTTCGCCAAGGCTGTGACCGGGGTCCGAAGTGGGTCTCCAGCCTCCAGAAGCTCCAGAGCCGAGTCGGTGAGGGCCGGTCCCACGGCTTGGGCATCCGCTATCCGCCTGTTTTGCGTGTTCTCCAGTGATTTGTCGTCAATCGGCTCCACACCCGCATGCAGGCCGGGGTCCTGGCTGCCGACCTCTCCCGTTTGAGCGTTGGATCCCGCTGATGGTTCGTCAATGGTGTCAGGGCGGCCCGCAGCTTCGGGGTCCGATGTTGCACCAGCCTGGGCCCTAGCCACCTGCTCCGCGTCTACCTCGTGCTCCCGCTCTGATGTCTCACCGCCCTTCTCGTTGGCCACTTCAGCGCCGCCTTCACTGGAAAAGGCAGGCGTTGAAGGCTCCCGGGTCGGAGAATCCATTGGCTCGCCTGCAACTCCCCGCGTGCTTGCGTTCAGCCCAGGAGATGACGGAACATCATCGCTGGGGGTCGCGGTTGTGTCTTGCAGTGTGGACAGGGCCTCCTCACTGGGCTTGCCTGCAGGGTGCATCTGAGCTTGGCCATCGGAGTCGAGATCCTTCTCCGCCACAACTGTGGCTGTTTGTTGGCCGACATCCTCGTCTAAACCTTGCGAGGTCGGAACATCGCCTGGACTGCCTGCTTCGGGCAACTCCCCTGCCCTTGACGTATCCTGAACCGAGCTTGGCTCGACTGCGGAAGATGCCTCAGATATGGAGTCGCTTTCGTTGGTGCTTGTCGTCTCCAAGCCGTTGTCATCTTCATAAGGCATTTCAGGCTCAGGCTCAACAAAGGTCGAGAAAGACTCCAGTTCAGGTGCCCAGGTCACGGATTTCCTCTTCTTCTTGCCCGCAGTTGTAGCAGTCGGCCACTCAGCCTCTGTCGGCGTGTCTGCTTGCGGGAAGGGGATTTCGTCACTGCTAGGCTCTCCCGATGGAGAGGTCAAATAAGCGGACTGTTCTCTTGTATTCGCTACATCTGCCGAGTTTTCGAGGGTACTCTCCGGGTCCAGGGTGGAAGACTTCTTGCCCTTCTTCTTCTTCTTTCCCTTTTTGGTAACAGTTGGTCCTGGGTCTGCCTCCTCTGAAATCTTGCTGTCCGTAGCGAATTCTCCGCTCGCGGTGGGTTCTTGCGATGATTGCTCCATCTCCCCAATCTTGTCTGAAATGGTCGTGTTCGAGTTCTCAATGTCTGTGACCGTCTTGTCCGTGATCGACTCATCCGTAACCGTCTCGTCCTTAGTATCCGAATTCTTGGTAGCGTCCTCAACAGCTGGCTCCAATGTGGTGGCGGCAGCGAAAGCGGCTGCAGCGGCTGCAGCAGCCTTCTTGGCCTTCTTCTTGCTCTTCTTGGATGATGTTGCTTCGGGTTCAATTGGAGACTCCGGACCACGGTCCTGCTGGTCCTCAGCGAAGATTTCTTGCGGTTTGGACTCAAGCGAGTCAACTTGGCTGTCAACAAGTGTCGGCTCCTGAGAAGCATTCTCGAAAACCTCGTCTGGGCTAATGGGAGTCGCAGGCCCTTGCGGAGGTGTGAGGAAAGCCTCATCCTGGCTTTCGGTCATTGTTGGCGTTTGAGGTTCCACTTGAGTTGCCTCCTCTACAGCGAAATCCGTCGGCTTGGCATCAATTTCCTGCGATTGATCGGCTTTCTGCGCGTCAGTCGCAGAGGACTTCTCATCAATTGGTGGCATGGATGAAGAAACCTTTGCGGGTTCGGCATGGAGCTCTTCGTTGATGACTGGCACCTGGACACTATCTTCGGCTGCTTTCTTGTCCTTCTTCTTCTGTTTCTGCGACTTTTTAAGTGACTTAGAAGTCTCGTCGGTCGGAGCTGAATGTTGCTGTTGCTCAGTAGAAGGCGAAGAAGGTGTAGTTGTCTCGAGAGTGTCCGCTGTGACTGGGGGGGCCGTCTGAAGGTTGATGTCTTCCGGTTGATGTGCGTCCACAGGAATGGCTTCAGAAGCGTCGGTATCGGTGACGGTTTTCTGGCTGGACGGGTCTTCAACGAGTGCGTCCGTAGTTAATACACTCGATACGGGCGCTTCTGCCGCCGCTGTCGAAGTCTCAACCTCCGGAGTCTCAACAACCGGAGTCTCAGCGACCGGAGTCTCAGCAGCCGGAGTCTCGATAGAAGTCTCAACGGCAGGAATCTCAACGGCAGGAATCTCAACGGCAGGAGTCTCGACGGAAGGAGTCTCGACAGAGGGAGTATCAATGACAGGAGCGTTGGTAAAGTACTCGGGGGTAGGGCTCTCGATTCCCCAAGCATCGAACGCCGGGGTGTCGATGACGGGACCATCGCTAATAAGAGCATCGGTAGCGGCAGGCTCATTGACGGGAGTCTTGTTGGTAGGAGCTTCAGTGGTAGGAGTCTGAATGCCTGGGAACTGGAGAGGAGTCGACTCAGACGACATCACGTCATCCAGCTGCGACAGCGAAGCACCCTTACCCTTCTTCTTCTTTTTCTTCTTCTTGCCAGATGCCTCAGGCTGAATGGGCTCAGCCGATGGCGGCTCCGTGAGACTAGGCTCAGAAGTTGCCATTGCGTTGTCAACAGCGGCTGGCACATTGTCAGAAGTTTCAGGGGCAAGGATGGAGGCTCTCTCGGTAACATCCTCCGGAAGGGGGATTGCAGCTGCAACCTTCTCAGCCGGAGCTGGTTCAGATACATCAGTCTTCTCGGTAGCGTCTTCCGGAAGAGGCACTCCTGCAACATCCCCTTCGGCAACACTTTGTTGGGGGGTCTGCTCAACGAAGCCGATTTCATCTTCTGGAAGAGGAATGGTGGTGGCATCTGGTTCAGTATCGGGTAAGACGGACGTCTCCTCCGATGCTTTTGCGACGGGCGTTTCGACTGTTGCGTTCTCGACAGCAGGTTCTGCGGGGACAGCTACAGAAGTGTCGTTATCGGTCGAGATCAAGCCCACTTCCACAGCAGAAGGTTGTGTGCTTGCAGCCGTTTCGGTGGAAGAAGGCTTTGCTTCGGCCTCGTTCAAAGCTTCAGCGGTCTGGTCCTTCTTGGACTTCTTCAGCTTCTTCTTCTGCTTCTTGGATAAGGGAGTAGACTCGGCCTCAGCTAGGGCCTCTGCCTCACGCGATTCAACCGAGGTGTCATCGATGATTTGATCGGCGACCGGTGGCTGCGAAACCTCGTCGCTCTTTGAAGCAGAATTGTCTTCTTGACCAGAGACAGAAGGCTGCTGTTGCCATGGGTCCTCGTCTAGCTGCCAGGGGTCGTCTTCAAGCGTGGCCGGGCTTTCTTCTGGTGCTAGAGGTACAGGCTGAGTCTCGTCAATGGCCACGTCGGTGTCGACAGGCTTGACGTCTTGGTCAACAGTTGCAATCTGCTGCTCAGCCAACCCGTCAGCTGGTCCGAGCGACTTGTCCTTAGACTCGGAGAAGGGCGGCAGTGATTCCGATGGTGTGGCGGCCTGTTCGTGGGGGCCACGGGCATCGAGTTGTTGGTCGGGGAGGCTTTGCTGGATCTCAGCAGACTTGGCTTCTGGCGCCTCAGGGGCGGATTCTTGTTGCAAGGATGCAACATCATTAGCGGTGCTAAGCGACCTTGCTTCGATGTCCAATGTAGGAGTGTCTTGTTGGGAAGAAACAGGGGAGGGCTCGGGGACAGAAGTAGATAGAAGAGTTTCGTTTGTCGCATCCAAGGATTTCTTGCTCTTCTTCTTCTTTTTACCCTTCTTAGTGTCAGGAACCAGAGGTGAAGCAGGCAAGTCAGTCTCGACTTCCTCCTTGGAATTGCTGACCTCAGGCAATGGTTCTTGGGCCGCATCTAGGACGGGGGCGGGAACCGGCTCCTCCGCGACGGGGAGTGCCGGCAGCTTCTCAGCTTCATCCGTGTCCTTGGCCTCCTGAACATCGACAGAGGGTGTTAGAGAAGGCTCGGGAAGGACCTCTGACGTCTTGAGAGTCTCGCTGGCTTGAGCAGCGCTAGCTTGAGCGGCAGCCTCAGCAGCAGCGGCCATTTCAGCCAGTTTCTTCTTCCTCTGCTTCTTGCTCAAACCTGCAAGTGGATCTTCCTCTACCTTGGGCTGCTCCGGCTCTGTTTCAGGCTTCTTCTCCTCGATGTCTGCGAGAGAAGTGGTTGCAGGCTGCTCAAGCTCAATGGGCTCCTTAGCTTGAGAGATGCCG